GGGCACTGCCGGCGTCCTCGCTGGCCGCCGGGCTGGGGCTGGGGCTCGGGCTGGGGCTCGGGCTCGGGCTGGGGCCGGGCGGCGGCGGGCGGCGGCAGAGGCCGCGCGAGCCGTCCCCCGCGGACGGGCTGCTGCTGGCCCGGCTGCCGGTCGTGCCGGTGGCCGCCGCCGCGGCCTCGTGGCCCCCGGCGGACGTGGCCCGAGGGGCCGGCGGGGAGCTGGCCAAGTACGGCCTGCCGGGGCTGTCGCAGCTGCGGAGCCGCGAATCCTACGTGCTGTGCTACGACCCGCGCGCGCGCAGCGCCCTGTGGGTCGTGGAGCGCCTCAACCCGGCCGCGCTGAGCGGGTCGTCGGAACGCGGCGCCTGCGAGTTCCGCGAGGACGACTCGGTGCACGAGTACCACCGCGCCACCAACGCCGACTACCGAGGCAGCGGCTTCGACCGGGGCCACCTGGCGGCCGCGGCGAACCACCGCTGGAGCCAGAAAGCCATGGGGGACACCTTCTACCTGAGCAACATCGCGCCGCAGGTGAGGCCGGGAGGGAAGGCGGGCTGCCCGCGGGCGGCTTCCCGGGGAAGGCGACCGTTCTCGGGACCGCAGGTGTGTCCATTTGCGCTTTAAATTTCCACAAATTGCAGTTGGAAAACGTATTAACACAAATGAGGATGCCAGAATAAAGAAAATGCGCCATAATATGAAACAACCAGAAATAAACCCACCAGGTAATAAGTAGCCTCTCCCTGCTGAGCTTGAGGGATTCGCAGTCAGAGGTCTTGGCAGCCTGCCCTGAGCCATGGGGCGGGAGGCCCGTGCCGGTTGGGGAAGGTTGCAGGGCGCCTGCTTGCACCTACAGCTGTCCGTCTCCCTGGACGGACAGGGCCGTACCGCTTCAGGTGGACTCTGGCTGGGTGTGGGTGGGGGTGCCATTTTTAATGCTCCCCACATTGAAGAAGAAACATTGGTCCTACAAGTAGAAAATGGAAGAGAAAGGTGAGAGTTTCTGCTTTGCTCTGCCAGATGTCTGTCTGCAGAGAGCTGTGTGTGCAGGTTTCATCACAGGATGGGAACATGAGAGGTGGCCGAGACCTGCAGTACCGCTCAGCTGCTCATGGCCCACTGGGCCTGGGGCTTCTGGGAGTTCCAGTCCAGAGCATTTGGGGGCCACCAGCTTAGCTGCCGTGGGGGAGCACAGCCCACTCCTCCCCGTTCGGTCTCTCAAGCCACTGGCATTTTGGTTTCCAGAACCCGCACCTGAATCAGAACGCTTGGAATAACCTGGAGAAATACTGCAGGAGTCTCACCAAATCGAACAAGAACGTCTATGTCTGCACCGGGCCACTTTTTCTGCCCAGGTAGGTAGCCGCTTGCTCCTTTTCTGGATGGATTTTCCCCGTCCGGGTCTGCTGTGTTCCTTGCACTGGCAATTGTGTCAGCTGCCATTTTTGGAGAATCCCTGCAGATCCTGTCCTTCCAAAAACTTATTCCAGGAAAGATGGCAGGGTGGGGGCACCACGCAAGCTTCTCATGGAGAGCATTCTGAAGCTTGATGGGGGGGACACACAACTGAAAAAGTCCTACCTCTGGTGGCCACCCAAGCCCCAGAAATGGGGGGCAGTTGATGTAGGGCCGTGGTCTTGATCAGTTTTGCTCTCTGCCTTTGAAGAGGGATTTTGAAATATTTTCCTCACTGGCTGTTTTTTTAGGTGGGAGTGAAAAACAAAAAAAAAATGTTCTGGCAGAACTAAAAAAGAAAACACACTTGAGCCAAATCTGGTGCTTAGTGTCAGAGAACACCTCCCAGAATCTCCCAGCTACTTTGGGAGTTGCCACACTGGGGAAAGCTCCCTTCCAGCTCAGACTGGAACTGCAGACTGGGCCCTGCAAAGGGGCATCTGTGTGGGGAAATCAGAAGATGCTGCAACCTTTTTTTCTGTTCCCACTTAGCAAAACAAAAAATCCTGTTCCTGTGGGGTGGGGGGGAGACTGGGATGAGCTCCAGCCCCAAAGACTGTAAGTGGTCACCTGTGGCCCTTGAGGCACTTTGGCCTACATGCCCCATCATTCTGATCTAATGAGTGTCCAGAGTTGTTTCAGCCTGGCACACAAGCACTGGCCTGCCTTACTTGACCCAAAGAGGACTAGAAACGTGTCTGTTTTGTTTTATTGCAAAAGCAGTGGGGGATAGGGAGATGAGCTGATTGCCCTTCTCAACACGGATCCTAACAAATACTCGTCCCTTTGCAGAATGGAGGGTGATGGGAAGATGTACGTAAAGTACCAGGTAATTGGGAAAAACCACGTGGCGGTCCCAACACACTTCTTCAAGGTGCTCATCCTGGAAAAGCCCAGTGGGGAGATTGAGCTGCGCTCCTATGTCATGCCCAACAGCCCGGTGGATGAGAAGATCCCCTTGGACCGGTTCCTGGTTCCCATCGAGAGCATCGAACGGGCCTCGGGCCTTCTCTTTGTTCCGAACATTCTGAAAAGGACTAGCAACTTAAAAGCCATCGCAGCTGGAAGCCAGATCCCTGGGAGCTGAGCCTCATGCCAGGAGACCTGAACTGGGATTCCCCCAAGGACACGGCCCCTTTTCCTGCAACTGACGACTCTCTGGGAGTTTTCTGGGTTTTGTATGTTTCCCCCCACTGGGAATGGGTGCAGTGCTTCCCCGACACCCTAGTTCAGAGCTTTACAGCTGGTCAAAAACCCCACTGGCCTTTGGCCTTTGGTCCCTTGCCATGGCCTTCCCCACCACTGGGATGTGGCCCTCAAGGACGTCCCGAAAATGAATTTGGCCCCAAATGTGCTGAAAGAGATCAAACCCTCCTGCGATTTGCGAGGACTTCCTGGTATCCGAGTACTGAGTGTCTGGGCTGTTCAAACGTGCTTCCTGCAGCACTTAATTACATAGCAGGCAGAGTTATTTTCTGTCTGGCTAATTACTGTGACATGGGGGGGGGCAGAGCCAAGGGCCACTGGGAGGCTGCCCCCCCCATCCAGCAGCGTCACTTTGCCTCCTGATTCCCCCCTACTTCAAACTGCAAGGACTGCAAAGCTTGTGCTGACAAGTGATGTTTGCTGCCTTGTAACTGGAAGAGTTCAAGCAATAAAATTAATTTAAATTGACACAGCGCGGTTTCCTCCAGGCATCTTCCATTGTCTATTTCAATTGTTCAGCTCATTCTGAAGCAAAACAGAGGCACACTTCACTAGGTGGTCTCACTGGGTCCCAGAAGCTCAACTTGGTCCACGGTTCACGCCACAACTGAGGAGCAGGTACTCCAGATCCAAAAGGATCTGGACAGATTATGGAAGTGGGCAGGAGACAACAGGATGGCATTCAATGTGGATAAGTGCAAGGTCTTGCACTTGGGGCATAGGAATAGGTGTCATAAGTACAGGTTAGGGGACAAGTGGCTGGAGAGCAGCACTTGTGAAAGGGACCTCGGGGTGCTGGGCGACTGCAGGCTCAACATGAGTCAGCAGTGTGATGCAGTGGTTAAGAGTGCGAACGCCACCCTTGGTTGCATAGCCGGAAGTGTGGCTTCTAGATCAAGAGAGGTATTACTACCACTCTACACGACTCTGGTGCGCCCACAACTGGAGTATTGGGCTCAGTTTTGTCCCCTCATTACAGAAAGGATATAGCCTGGTTAGAGTCAGTGCAGTGTAGGGCCACAGGGTTGGTGGCCGGTTTGCAGGGGAAGCCGTATGAGGCGAGACTGAGGGAACTGGGTCCCTTCAGCCTGGAGAAGAGACTCCAAGGGGATCTGTTGGCGACATGCAGGTACAGTATATCACAAAAGAGAGTATACCCCTCACATTTTGTAAATATTTTATCTTTTCATGTGACAACCCTGAAGAAATGACACTTTGCTACAGTGTAAAGTAGTGAGTATACAGCTTGTATAACATCGTAAATTTGCTGTCCCCTCAAAATAACTCAACACACAGCCATTAATGTCTAAACCTCTGGCAACAAAAGTGAGTACACCCCAAGTGAAACTGTCCAAATTGGGCCCAAAGTATCAATATTTTGTGTGGCCACCATTATTTTCCAGCACTGCCTTAACCCTCTTGGGCATGGAGTTCATCAGAGCTTCACAGGTTGCCACTGGAGTCCTCTTCCGCTCCTCCATGACGACATCACGGAGCTGGTGGATGTTAGACTGCACTCCTCCATCTTCCATTTCAGGATGCCCCACCAATGCTCGAAAGGGTTTAGGTCTGGAGACATGCTTGGCCAGTCCATCACCTTTACCCTCAGCTTCTTTAGCAAGGCAGTGGTAGTCTTGGAGGTGTGTTTGGGGTCATTATCATGTTGGAATACTGCCCTGCGGCCCAGTCTCCGAAGGGAGGGGATCAGGCTCTGCTTCAGTATGTCACAGGACATGTTGGCATTCATGGTTCCCACAGTGAACAGTAGCTCCCCAGGGCCGGCAGCACTCATGCAGCCCCAGGCCATGACACTCCCACCACCGTGCTTGGCTGTAGGCAAGACACACTTGTCTTTGTACTCCTCACCTGGTGGTCGCCACACACGCTTGACACCATCTGAACCAAATAAGTTTATTTTGGTCTCCTCAGACACAGGACATAGTTCCACTAATCCATGTCCTTAGTCTGCTTGTCTTCAGCAAACTGTTTGCGGGCTTTCTTGTGCATCATCTTTAGAAGAGGCTTCCTTCTGGGACGACAGCCCTGCAGACCAGTTTGATGCAGCGTGCGGCGTATGGTCTGAGCACTGGCAGGCTGACCCACCACCCCTGCAACCTCTGCAGCAACGCTGGCAGCACTCATACGTCTATTTCCCAAAGCCAACCTCTCGATATGATGCTAAGCACGTGCACTCAACTTCTTTGGTCGACCATGGCAAGGCCTGTTCTGGGTGGAACCTGTCCTGTTAAACCGCTGTATGGTCTTAGCCACCGTGCTGCAGCTCAGTTTCAGGGTCTTGGCGATCTTCTTACAGCCTAGGCCGTCTTTATGTAGAGCAACAATTCTTTTTTTCAGATCCTCAGAGAGTTCTTTGCCATGAGGTGCCATGTTGAACTTCCAGTGACCAGTATGAGAGGGTGAGAGCGGTAACACCAAATGTAACACACCTGCTCCCCATTCACACCTGAGACCTTGCAACGCTAACGAGTCACATGACACCGGAGAGGGAAAATGGCTAATAATGCCCAATTTGGACAGTTTCACTTAGGGGTGTACTCACTTTTGTTGCCAGTGGTTTAGACATTAATGGCTGTGTGTTATTTTGAGGGGACGGCAAATTTACAGTGTTATACAAGCTGTATACTCACTACTTTACACCATAGCAAAGTGTCATTTCTTCAGGGTTGTCACATGAAAAGATACAATAAAATATTTTCAAAATGTGAGGGGTGTACTCACTTCTGTGATATAGTGTATGTGAGGCGGTGTCACACAGAGGTGGGCAGAGACCTGTTCTCCCCTGCAGAGGAAGGCAGGATGCGCTCCAACGGAGCAAAGCTCAGGGAGCCAAGGTTCCATTTGGATGCCAGGAAGCACTTCCTGACAGTCAGGACCCCGAGGGTGTGGAATGGGCTTCCCCGGGAGGTCGTTGAGGCCCCACCGGTGAGGGGTTCAAGGACAGGCTGGACATGCACATGGTGGGCATGTTGTGAGTGGAGCTGGCTGGAGCCGGGGGTCAGACTAGATGGCCCGGCAGACCCCTTCTGACTCGCTCTGTTTCTATGTTTCTATTATGCAAGAGGAAGTCAGTCCTGGTGCATTTCTTTTTAAACATATTCATAATTATTTTTCAGAAGGCAATACTATGAAATAACATCCCAGAACATTCTCCCCTTCTTTCCACACAGAATGGTCTGGTTTGCTCAGCCAGTCCGCATCACTGTACTTGTTGCTGCAGACTCGTGTCCGAATCCAGGAAGAGTGGCTTGTTGGGGGGCTAACAAAGCGCCCCAGAAGCCCATGGGTTCCAGTGGTTTGTCATCCAATTCAACCAGCCACCCCTGCTGTGTTCAGACAACACGAGGGCAGTTTGCCAATCTGGGCAGCCCGCAACCAGCAGACAGACAGGGAAGTCAATAGGTAGCCTCGGCATATTAAGTACCCCGAGACGGCGTGATTTGCAGTTATTCCTCCAAGTAAGTTCCTTCAAAAAGTGCTTCTGAAGGTTGCCTTTTGCATTCGCCTGTCCTAATAGATCTTTCCACAGTCCTCCATCCCCGTGTCAAATCATCCATCTGCCCAGTCTTGCCACAGAATGCAAAAAGCTCCTACGTAAGAATTCTTTGTCTGCTGCATTTCTGAGGAAGAACGAAGAGGAAGGTGGTCCCCTTGTGTGGCCACGGAAGAGCTCCCGCCTCGTTGGCTTTTCAGGGTTGAAAAGCAAGCTCTGGAGCAAAGTGAGGTCCTCCTGCATCTTAGCCCGCTTGCTGGCTCGCTTTCACGCCCCCGTTGCCGCCCTCCTTCGCTGCTCCGGCGATGCGAGGCCTCAGTGCCGAGAGGGAGATGAGGATGGCTTCCTGGAAGAGAACCCCAAAGCACCACAGTTAGTGCTCAATGCGTGACCGGAGGCTCCCGTGTCGTGCCCACAGACCCCTGCGGCCCGTGAGGTCCCCCTGCCCTGCTCTTTATTTTATTTGATTTTTTAAAAGATGGAGCTGGCAAACGCGAGGCGCTGCCCTCTTTATCTGGGATCCCACAGGTGGTTCCGCTCTGCTGCTCGGCCTTGGACCTCGCTTCTTGGGTGAGCATGTTTTTCTGGAAAAAGCGTGGCTCCAGGACCGGCCATGCCTGCTGCAGCAGCCACTTTACGAGGGGCAAGGATCACCCCTCTGCCAGCTGCCATTTTGTGAAAGCGCCCCAGCACCCTTGTCCACTTCCAGCTGCACCCGTCAGGCCTGTGTGAGAGCCAGTGCGGCAATTTTTCTCACCCAGGAAGAGCTGTGCTCCCATGGGCACCGTGTGCTGGGCACCGGCTCAAGACTGCCTCACCCGACCCATGCCCCCGAACTGCCCGGAGAGTGTGAGGTGCGCGGCCCAATTCCAGAAATGGGGAATGAGGGAGAACCGCAGGATCCAGGGCCAGGTACAGGAATTCCACCATGGGATCAGCACGGTTGAGTGTGTGCAGAGGGCTCTTATAGGTTATGACCTATAAAGCCCCAAATGGCTTGGGTCCTGAAGGCACGCCTTCTTCCCTATGTGCCCTCCCACCCCTTGAGATCCGAGGCAGAGGTCCCGCTCTGGGAGCCCTCCGTGAAGGAGATCAGGAGGGTGAGTACCGAGAAAAGGGCCTTCTCTGTGGTGAGGCCCCAACTGTGGAATATGCTCCCCAGGGAGGTTCGCCTGGTGCTGGCATGATATTCTTTCCAGCGTCAGGCAACCCCCCTTTTATTTTCCTGCTATTTTAATGTTTAATTGATTTTAACTGAGGTTTCTGTATATCAATGGTCGGAGGCTGTGGGGTTTGTGTTATTCTGCTCATTTTTTGTACGCCGTCTCAAGACGTCTGTAGCGGATGAGTTGGAAAAGCTTTTAATAAACAAACGAATACCAGAACAGGGGCCCACAGATAAGAGCCCCCCGGAGTTGCCTGTATCGCTTGTGTGCCCCCTGCCTCTTCCTCTCGCCAGGTGACGGAGGGGTGAGGGGCAGGGCAGGGCAGGGCAGGCTCCCGCCGAGCCGGCTTATGGCAGCCACGGCAAGGGGGCGGCCGCAAGAGCCGCTGGCGACCGCGGTGCAGAGCAAGGGGACTCGGTGCCGGAGCAGGCCGACGGCAGACAAGGGGCCGACAAAACCGCTGAGCTGTCCCAGAGACAGCAGCGCAGCCTGCGAGGCTGAGTTTGGGCTTAGACCTTCAGGCAGCTCTTGCGCAGCAGGCAGGAAAGTCAGCCGTGGAGGCAAGGCGAGAGGAGCGCTCAGGCCACACACGCACACGAGCAGGGCTGAAGGAAGTCTCAAAGCCACCCAGGCGACCCACCTCGGTCCTGATGGTGCGGCTGCCCTGCCCCGGGCAGGTGTTAAGGTAGAGGTCGAACAATGTGCTCGGATCTGTGACCTCCAGGTTCGGGTCAGCATCCATGCCGGCCTCCAGCCCCTGCAGGCCTCCAAAAACGATCAAAGCGTGCCTGGAAGACATAAACAGACTGGCTGCGGCAAAGGGGGATGCGGGACGCCGCTCAGCCCGAGGTCCACGCTCCATTCCAGGGACACCCACGTGCCAGGAGTGGGTGGAGCCCAGGCCAGAGGGTGGGGCCAAACGGCCCGCACAGTGGCGCGCATGGCTCTTAAAGCCAGAAATAAAATCTTTGGAGAAAAATAGCAAACTTATAGACTAGGAGAAAAAGCATGCAAAATCCAAGGAACTACCAAATGACATGTGGGTGCAGGAAAGGTGGGGGGGGAGTAGGAGGGGGGCACTGGCCGCCCAGGCCAGGCTGCAGGGCTGGCTTGAGCTCCAGGCTTGGTCCAATTACCTGAAAGGCGGCAGGACTGCCTGCTCCACAGGGATCCCTCGCTCCGAGGTGCCGATGGAGAGGTCGTAGCCGTCCTTATACGGGGACTCAGCAAACACGGCACCTGGTGTTTGGGGGCAGGAAAGGATTCTGTTACTTTGTGAAAGTTAGGGGACGTAGTCTGACAGCCTTGTATCTCCCAAGTACCTGAACCAAGGTAAGGCCAGTCCTATAAGGCAGGAATAGGGCATCTGTAGCCCTCCAGATACTTCGGCTCCAGTTTTCATGATCCTCTGTTGCTGGTTCTGCTGGCTAGGGCTGATGGGAGTTGTAGGGCGAGATATATCGGGGTGGAGGTATGGAAGCAATCTGCCTTTACTTATACTACTTATTGCCCATGAAAAAAATGCTTTCTCCTTTCCAGTATCTGCTATAGCTGCTCTTTGGAGCAGTGAACTCCAATGTAAAAATAACAGAAATTGTTCTAACCGGACCTGAGTTTTACCTAGATCCCATGGAAAATCAAAAGGGAGAAAGAAACGGAAAGGAGAGTTGGTGCATGGCAGAAAGGGAAAAAGGATCTTCTCAAAATTTTTGACTATCCCCATGTGCCCCAAAATTTGGGACCTGGTTTGCATAGGATTCAGAGGCGGTTTGTGGTTTACTCCATGCTCTCTGCGTGGCTGGAGCTTTACGAAGCACAAGCGGAAGGTCCCTGCCCCAGGGAGCCTGCAAGTCTGAAGCAAGGAGGTGGAAGGACCAGCGGCAGGGGAGGCGGCGGCGCTACCCACACTTACTCAAGCAAGATGCCAAGCGGACGTTGTAGCCCCAGTAAAGGCCGGAAGCGGTGCGGGGCTGATGCGACGAGACCACGGTGCCTCTCTGCGTTTTGCTGCCTCAAAGAGAAATGAGCGCAGAAGCAGCTGCGGGGCAACGCCTATCATTCGCATTAACCCGAACCCGGCCCCTCTGCCCGCGGCGAGAGCCCACCTCCGCTGCCGCATGCTGCCCTCACAACGGCCGGGGCAGAGGGGGAGCCGAGCGCGCCGGCCCAGCGCCTCCAGGGAGCCGCACGGCTGAACGGAGACTCGGACCCTTCCCTCCACCGGCAAGGGAAGACTGGGAGGGCTGTGAGCATCCGCTCCAGCTTTGCTGGCCGGCCGGTCGTGCCCACGGTGGAAACCCTGCCTGGCCGGGTTCGGCCTGCTGACGTGCCGCCGTGGAGCCCCGCCGCTGTAGGTGGCGGCCGGGAGTTGAGGTGTTACCTGGATTCTGCGGCCCGTCCAGCCGCACCGTGACCCGCAGTCCAGCTTCCAGCTGCTTGTCTATCTGCACCTCCTGCGGGAAAAGAAGAGCACAGGACGTGGCGAGTGCAGCGCAAGCCCCCCAGAGAGATGAGGTGCAGCAGCCCCCCGATCGGCCTCCGGAGGAGTGCAGCCGCTGCCCAGGGCCTCCGGCCGAGAAGGGCTGGCCCACGGGGTGGAGGGCCTGTTCTGGGTGAGGGTCGTGGAGCAGCAGCCGGCAGCAGGAAGTCTTTCGGCCTGAGAGCGGGATTCCACTGCAGAGCCCCTCTGGGGGCCACAGCGCTCTGTGGGGGAGCCAAAGATCCCAGATCCTCCCGGCGTCATGCACCTATCGCCCATGGGGAGGCCTGAGAGGAGTCATTCCCACATTTTAAATGTATTATTTACTGATTTGTTTGTTTAAAACTTTTGTATACCGTCCACTGCCAGTAGCCTCAGGACGGACTTAGAATAAAACAGTAGCACACAGCATGTACTACATACAATAAAGCCCCACTTAAAATCACAATCTAAACCTTAAAATATTGGGATAATAATAAGATTTTGGCCTGGTGCAGAAAAGAATAAAGCATCTCTGAGGAGGGCATTCCATAACGGGGTGCCAATGCAGGGAAGGCCCTTCTCCGGTAGCCACCCTCCTTCATGGACCTCTGGCCCAAATCTTAAGGGGCAGGCAGGCACACAGGGAAGGAGGCGCTCTTTCCAATGCCCGGGTCCGAAGCTGTTCAGGGCTGCACAGTCAGCAGCAGCACCTTAAATTGGGCCGGACATATTTGGTAGGCGGCGCTGACGGTGAAGGACCAGCGCTCCATGTGCACGTCTGCCGGTCCCTGCTAGCGCCCTGGCTGCTCTGTTCTGAACCAACTGATGCATCTGGACCGTCTCCAAGGGCAGCCCCACGCAGAGCGCATTACAATCGTCCATTCGGGAAGTTACCAGAGCATCAGTCACTTGTGGGGAGGAAGGGGGCAAGCTGCACCACAGCCGGGAAAACACCCAACGATCAGCAGCCCAAGGAAAGGTGGCCAGTCCACAGTTTATGTATATCTCAAATGCACCAACAGGAGAGGAAAGATGGCATTCAAGGGATACAGCCGACTCGCTCTGCAGAACTCCCACACTGCATCAAGGCAGCGGTGGAGCTGAAAGGGGAACCTGCGGGGGGAACCACACTTTACCTTCCGCATCCCACAGTTAACGAAGGAGCCTCGGCCAGGCTTGGTGGGCCGGGCCAAAACCACACCTTCCCGGTACTCTGAGTCCTCATCTATCCGCAAATGATGGGGACTGTCCAAAGGATTTAGCAGCCCTGAAACGATATATTTGCAGGCAGAATTATGCAGTCAGGAGACAAGTTTACAATGTGTCACTTATAACCATGCCACAAATGGACAGGTATTTGCCTCTCTGCCACTGAGATTTGTTTGAAAGTGTATTTATTTTGGCTGGAGAAACAGCTGCGTTGCCATCAAAGCCATGGAGAGAGAGCCCTTCCTGCTTCCACTGGCAGGTACGGAGAGCTGGTCAAAGGGTGGGCAGAGAGCACTGCAGCCTTACCTGCAAACTGCAGGTCCTGGTGCTTGGGGAAAAAAGATTTCCTTAAGTACCTGTTCAGGAGAGAAAACGCCAGCTGGGTCACAGTTTGCTCGTGTGAGAAGTGCACGCGAACAGACGGACTTGCTGATAGTCTTACTTACAGGTTTAAAAGAATCCCTCCTACCCTTTGCTCTGCTGTTACTGATGTTTCAAAGCATTCAACTTATTTGCAACGGTTTGTGGTATAAGTTGCTTTGGGGGGGCCACGTGGGCCAAAAGGGGAATCACAGTCCAATAAATAAAGAAGGGCGCACGCCTGCGCATCGCTAGGCCGGGAGAAGAGCACTGGTTGGAGAACACGGGCAGTTTGGGCAGGGGGTGTCTGTCCAGACACGTATAAATGTATGGAAAGAATGCATTTGTCCTCACTCCCCATGCCCGGCTTCCTCACTTCTGTAGGAAGGACTGCACAGAACTCCGTTCCTTCTGACTGAGCTGCTACCTTTCCAGTTGCGGGGTGGGAGAGAGGCATTTTCCCCGCTATAATATGCCGATCCCCGTGACACACAAACCCTGAATTCTTGGACCCTCCTCTGGAGATAAGGATACAGAGGCTCAAACGTGGCACTGCTCTCTTGGGGCTGGGAATATACGGAGACGGGGCTTCACCACCCAGCCCGCCTCCCCACTCCTGCTCCCTGGTCCTGCCTGGGCCAGCTGCGTCTTGCCTGGCGCTGGCACTCTCTCGCTGGGGAGGCAGGAACTCTGGCTGGCCTAGTGGCGTTGCTGCTCCGACACGGGCTTTGCGATCCCAGCTTGCAGAGGGTCCCAAATGCTCCCAAAAGACTTACTGAGGGCATTCCAAGTACTGCAAAATCCGAGCCAGCTGAACGCAGGCCTGGCCTTTCCTTCGGAGGCCCTCGAACTCGCCTTCCACTGTCCTGGAAGGGGGAGAGAACGTCAGCACGGCCTGATACTCAAGGTGGGAACTTCTCCATGGGCAGCTGCTCCATTCTTAACTAACAGCTGCCTGAGCCCTTCTTGCTGAAAGGTAGGTGCACCTTGTTTTCCAAAGAAATAATGGTCAGGAAATGAGCCAAACCCCCTGGCATCGCCCACTTGGCAAGCCAAAGGCCTCGGATTAACTCTCCAGCCAGGACTGGGGAAAGTCCTGGGGCGAAATGCAGCTGTCCACGGCAGCCGGAGGCTTCCCAGAGTCCGGAGCGGCTTCTTGGGCACAGGTGCGTCCTGAGCAAATGTATGGCCTCCAGCCTACGGAGAGGGGGAGACATCATTCCCCCTCGCTTGCTCTATCAGAACTCCAGGACCAGAGCAGCCCCCTGTGCGCGTGCTCGTGCCGCTCCCTCCACACTCCAAATGTGCCCCTCAGCCCCAGGCATGTGGGAAGGCCACAGAGCCAGCGGGGCCCCCTCTCCCTTCACTTTCTCCGGAGATCACGGGGAAAAAGCCAGGGAGCAGACTGGGAGAAGAGGAAGGGGAAGCCAAGCCTTACTTTGCATCTTCTCCCTGCTCATCAAACACCACAATCTCGTCCACGCAGAAGATGGCGGAGGCCCGGGCGATCTGGCCGGCAAGGTACGTCCGCAGCTCTGGAGACTGGGCGTTGCTCAGAATGGATCCCGGAAGTGCCACACTGACGGTGTAGTGACGCCCTGAGAAACACGAAGGGGTGACGGGGCAGGAGGGCCCATGAAATGCGGTCCCAGACGCCCTTTGGGTGGTTCAGGGCAGGGGTGGGAGCCTGTTTCAGGCTGAGGCCAGAGTCATGTCAGGGGTTTTATTGCAGAAGTGGGCATGTCCAAAAGGGAAAGAAATAGGGCCCAGATTACAAAAATATATCAATACCCCACTGGCATGGCTTAAAGCTCTTATCACCAGTCACATTTCAAGTGGGAACGAAATTAAATTCTGCCCAAACTTGGAAAGCAAGATGTGGGGTGGGAGAAAAGAGATGGGCCAGGGGGAAGGGGTGGTACAATTTGGGGACCCCTAGATGGCTGGCTGGGAGCTTAAGAGGGCTGCATTTCTCCCCCAGCCTAAAGATGGCATCTCTGCATCAGGTTTGCTCTCTGTTCATACCAGCATTTAATTCATACTATTTTGAGCACCTGTTGAAAGTGCAGTCCTGCTGGAGGGTATTCAGAAAGGAAAATAAAACTGTAGAGAATGGATGGCAGCTTCTAAAGTTAGGTATGGTATAGGGAGAGGAATTATGGGAACTGTAGTCCATTACATCTGGAGAGTGCCAGTTTGGGAAAAGCTACACTGGACTACTGGGGGTTCCTCAGCTACACCTTGCTTTCGGTGCCAAGTCAAGATTTTTATTTAGCATTTGTTTTCAGATTGGGCTTGTTTTGTTGCTCGCTTGTCTTATTTTATTGGTTGTTGTTATTGGGTTATTGTATTTATTTCCTCCTGTTCTAGGCATTTGTTGTATTTATATTGTATTTTAATTCTATTTGTTTATGGTTTTGGTATGCCATTGTTTTTCATTTTTATTTGTATTTTATATGGCACTGTGAGCTGCCCAGAGAACCTTTGGCTGTGGGGCAGCACACAAATGCGACAGACAGAAAGATAAATAAATATACAATACCTTTATCTTCCTTCGGCTTGGTCTCTGCCTTCTGCTTCTCCATCAGTTCCTGCATTTTCTGCTTCTCCATTTTTTTCACCAGTTTCACCTCCTTCCATTTTTTCTTCTCTTCTTTTTCTAGAACAAAGAGTATTGCAGGTAAAAATAATTATGTCACTGGGTTTCACTGCTGGGAAGTGGCACAGTTAGTGGTGAAAAGAACTTTAAAGAACCAGTACCCAAATATATAATACACAGACACAGACACAGACACAGACACAGACACAGACACACAGACACAGACACAGACACACACAGCTAGGGCTATCGTTTTTGAAAATCTTATGGAAGAAAGTGTAATACTGTTATTTTATCCTACGTTTACCTTCATTTCACTATGGCATTTAGGTTTTGTTCTGTAACGTACAATTAAAAAGAGAGAAAGAGAAAAGGGCATAAAAGTGAGAAGAGGAAGGCTGTTCATAGGCTTCACAATGGAAAGGCAGAATATAGGCATAGGAATAAAGTCACTGACGAGAGCTGCTTTGGAAGGACCTGCTCCTCAAGCTTTGCATGTTAAGGGGAAGAATCCAGTTATCCAAAATGAGTGTTCTTACTTTGTTGCTTCCATTTGCGCCAGTCAATCTTTTGGGCGTCCCCCTAGAAAAGAAGGCAGAGACTTTCTGTTGAGTGCCCTTTATTCGTAAATGTGGAAATCCTACGATGACTCCCTCCTCTCATTCTCCCATTATTAGAAACACAGAATCAGAGCGAGTCAGAAGGGGTCTCCCGGGCCATCTAGTCTGACCTCTGGCACCAGCCGGCTTCACTCACGACATGCCCACCATGTGCATGTCCAGCCTATCCTCGAACACCCGCTCCGGTGGGGCCTCAACGACCTCTCGTGGAAGCCCATTCCACACCCTCAGGGTCCTGACTGTCAGGAAGTGCTTCCTGGCATCTAAATGGAACCTGGGTTCCCTGAGCTTGGCTCTGTTGGAGCACATCCTGCCTTCCTCTGCAGGGGAGAACAGGTCTCTACCCATCTCCATGTGACATCCCCTCACATGCCTGTATGTCGCCAACAGATCCCCTCTGAGTCCCCTCTTCTCCAGGCTGAAGAGACCCAGTTCCCTCAGTCTCACCTCATACAGCATCCCCTGCAAACTGGCCACCAACCTTGTGGCCCTTCGCTGCACTGACTCTAACCTGGCTATATCCTTCCTGTAATGAGGGGCCCAAAACTGAGCCCAATACGCCAGTTGTGGGAGCACCAGAGTAGTAGTAATACCTCTCTCGACCTAGAAGCCACTCTTCTGGCTATGCAACCAAGGGTGGCGTTCGCCCTCTTCACCACCGCATCACACTCCTGGCTCATGTATAGCCTGCAGTCGCCCAGCACCCCGAGGTCCCTTTCACAAGTGCTGCTCTCCAGCCACTTGTCCCCTAACCTGTACTTATGACACCTATTCCTATGCCCCAAGTGCAAGACCTTGCACTTATCCACATTGAATGCCATCCTGTTGTCTCCTGCCCACTTCCATAGTCTGTCCAGATCCTTTTGGATCTGGAGTACCTGCTCCTCAGTTGTGGCCACTGCTCCAGTTTTAGTATCGTCTGCGAATTTGATCAGCAGACTGTTCACCCCTTCTTCCATGTCATTTACGAAAAGATTAAACAGGATCAGCCCCAGGACAGAGCCCTGGAGGACCCCGCTTGTCACTGGCCACCATCCTGACGATTCCCCACTAATGGTAACCCTCTGCTTTCAGTCAGTCAACCATGCCCTAATCCACCGGACAGTGCTTTGGTGTATCCCAAAACTCCTCAGTTTCTCCACCAGGATGTCATGGGGCACTTTGTCAAAGGCCTTGCTGAAATCCAGGTATACCACATCCACTGCATCCCCTCCATCCAGCCATCTCGAAACCTTGTCATAGAATTCCACAAGGTTTGTCTGGCAGGACCTGTTTTTGCAGAAGCCGTGTTGTGTGGCTGTCAGCCTCCCTTCCCTATCTAGCATTGCTATATCTCTCGCTATTATGAGCCTTTCCATTGTTTTTCTTACAATGGATGTAAGGCTAACAGGTCTGTAATTCCCCATGTCCCTTCTACCACCCTTTTTGAAAATTGGGACCACTGACACCACCCTCCAGTCCTCTGGTACTTCACCCGTTCTCCACGAGGTCTCAAAAACGGAGGCCAGCGGGCGTGAGAGAACCCCTGCCAACTCTCTAAGTTCTCTCGGGTGTAATCCATCAGGGCCTGGCGTCATTGTAACGTCCAATGCCCTGAGGAGCCCCTCGACTTCTAGGGGGGTGACTCTAATTCGTGCCCCTAAGTCCCCAGCCTCATCTAATCTCCTATGTGGATCTACCCCGTCCAGCTTTGGGAGAACACAGAAGCAAAATATCATTTAGCAAATTATTCGTATTTTAAATTGTTGTGTTTTAATTTTATTATGGTTTTTATCTTACGACTGTGAGCTGCCCAAAGGTGCTGTGGCACAAAAGGCGGCATACAAATGTTTTAAATACATAAATCCCTCTTCACTGGCAGCACTGATGGGAGCTGCAAGCCCGCAACATCAGAGGGCCACATGCTGAGTCGTGCCCGGTCCAGAGCTGTGGAAGATCCAGCTGGAAGGCAGCAGAGCCCACCCGAACACGAGGCTGCTAGAAGGGCTAAGTGCTCATGAGGACTAGTCACACTGCCATGCTTTGCTCTTCCACCCTTTAACCCATTACGCGCCGCCGCCGCTTCCACGTCCACCTACCTCCCGCAGCCGCTTCGCCCCACTCTTCTCCGCCATGTTCCAGCCGACCAATCACCGCCGCACAACTTCCGGCCGACCCTCGTGCCCGGCCGCTGATTGGACGAAGCGCGAAAGGAACCGTAGAGTTACGCAGCAGTCAAGAGGGCTCCTTGTCTGGATGTGCGTTATTTCCGGGTGTACATTGGAAAAAGTTTCGCCGCGCTGATTGGCACACGAGAACAAGCGATTCTCGCCTCAAAGCCTGCCAATTGCTGGAGTTGTTTTAAATGCAGGAGGTTGGACTGCATGCTTTTTAAAATGCTTAGTTCTCTAAGTAGGACTTAGGTTGAATTTTATCCCTTTGCATGCAGTTGGCACAAAATGGGAACAGTCTGAAAAACGGGGAGAACAGGTTTTCTAAGCATGCAAACAAAAATGCCCGGGATTTAATATTCAGGGGCAATGGGCTCAATTTCAGTGCCGCCGTGAGCACAGAGTGCTGGCGCGATAGGTCTTCGGCGTGAGCCAGCAGGGCTTGTCTACATTCTTATGACACAGAAACCCACGTGTCAGCCACCCCAGATGGGAGCCCATGAGGAACAACCCAGCAATCACCAACCATGGGTCCCCGTCAAAGGTTCTTAGTAGTTCAAAGCCATGGATTGTGAACACAGTTCAGACACCACAATGGTCCATAGCTTGATAGCCCACCCCGACCCCCCGCGAGTGAATCCACTCTTTGAAGCTGGAGGTTCTCTTCCCAGCCTTTCCAAGGGGAACTTTTCCTCCTCTTCTTTGGCGTTTTCAAAAGGCAATGCCAATTTGATCTGCCCTCCACCTCAAGCCCAAGGCAACTTTCTGCTGCTGCAGGCAAAACAGCTGCTTATGCCAGAGGCGTCAGACCTCTTAAATTCCAAACTGCAGCTCTTGATGGCTGCGACCCAGTGATGGCTTGGGCTGAAGGAAAAAGGAATGGGGCAGAAAAGACCTGACTGCCATGAATTAAGCACAAATGCCAAGAAGCCGTCAAATTAAGGGGCTAGGGCCATGTGGGAAAGCCTGCAAGCCATCAGCTCAGCACCACTCCACACCCCAGGACTTCTGCATCTGTGGAACTTGATAGAGGAGAAGCATCAGACCCATTCGGTGCTGGTCTCCTAGAATTCCCGATTCCTAGAATCCCAACCATTGCCCTTCAGGCTGGCAGTGGCTTCTGGGAAGCCCCAAGTATTCAGAGCATAAATTTCCGCCCACTCCCATCCTGGGGGAAACAGGGAAGACCTCCAATTCAGAGAATTTCCTGGCAGGACCCTGAGTTGGTTCTGCTTTCTGGAAAATACATAATCCTAGAACAAATTATGCCCCTCTTTTGCTTTTGCAGATACATTCTTTTTATTTGCCACCAGTCGTGCTTCCTGCTGATTTCCAGAGTACAGTACAATCAAGAGATGGAGTGGGGTCGGAAAGAGGTAGCGTATTCTTCCCCTGAAAGGGGGACGAAAATCCAACTGCCACCATTGCCTGAGGGAGTTGACGGGGGAAAGCACATGGGCCCTGTACCAACATCAGGAGGCTCTTGCATGCAGTCGATCCTACGCGCTTGAGAAAAACACTCGAACTCACTGGCTGAGTTGTGCTGGGCGCTGGACATTATTGTTTATTCCACGGGTACAGCACTGCCCCCAGGACGACTTCCTCCAGTTAGAGTGGCAGAACTTTTAGTAGGTGTGATGCTGCCTTCAGCATCTCTTACAACAAGAGAAAGCACTCAGTGAGGTTTGGACTGGGCGTACTGGTCAGAAATCCAGACCAAAAGGCACCCAGGGAGAGCTTTGGAAAGCTCTTTAGCATGAGCCCAAGGAGTGCTTACATGTTACAAATCGCTTGTGACAGTCAAATGGGCGGATGCCCAAACAATTGGAGGCTTGACACGGCTTCAGGGTTGCAAACAGAATTTCACGGGGAGAATTCACGAAGGCAGGATCCCAGCCTGGGACAGCAGCAACATGCGCTACAGAACTCATGCCAAGGAAACTTTTTACTGGCCAGATTCCTGGCTCCATTGCTGTAAGATGTCACTGGCAGCCTTCAGAGTGGAGTCCTCCTGAAGAACAAAATGAAAAGAGGATTTGTTAGCATTCTCAACAATCCGACTTTCAGCAGGGCTGAAGATTCACCGCCCAGTTCCTTCCTCACTTGCAGTCAAATTGTGGGAGAAGATTCTCCACTACCTGGGAGAACGAGGGCCAAGAAGATCACAAGAAGGAACGGGGCCTGCTTGGCGGTGGCCCCCCAATTTTGCAATGTTCTCCCGATGTGGTTAAGACTTTCCTCTCTGTTGCTTAAGCATTTGGCAGCATATAATGGAGGTTCTTTTCTTAGTGATGTTACCATCCTCTGCATTTTTAATTATTTTTTCCCATTTTAAATTGTTTTAACACTGTGTATGTTATAAGCAACCCAAGTTTCTTTCTCTCTATTTTAAAGAGGGAGGGACCTTCCCATGCCAATTCTTGGGACATTTGCACAAATGAGGTTTTTGGAGTAAGAACCCTGGACCCAATTCCTAGACAGTATCCCCCTTTTTGGCAGCAGATGCAGGGGGGGGGGATGTTAAACCAGAGAGGGCTGAGCAGGCTGCTGGTGGCTTGTGCATCTGCCCCATCTGACATAGATACATAAACAGTTTTGGGCGATAAGCGCTATAAAGCTGTAATCAATTATACAAAAAATGTGAATTCAGGCTGAAAGAAAAACCTTCAAGCAAATACATCCCCCCAGCAACCTCAAAACCAGGGGAACCTCCCTATATCAGGCAACTTTACCTTGGCAAAGCAGAAGCGGATGAAATGGTCAAAGTTCTTCTTCTGCGGAGAGCTGTAGAAGGCCGAGACTGGGATGGCAGCCAAGCCCTGTGGACGGAGAAGCGGGGAGAGCCAAAGAAAGAAGTTTTCCAAAACAGAGAACCAGGTGGTGGTGAATTTCTGCTGAGGGACTATTGGGATTCCTTAATACGTCCTGGGGGAAACGGGTCTGGTGGCTGCGGGACCTTTCTGCCCAAAAACGTTTTGGAGGGCACCGTCCACTATTATCCCGTGCATGCTCCACCTTTTCCCCTCTTCCACAGCTGCTTATCCTGGCGTCCTCCTCGCCATCTTGTCCTCGCGATGACCGTCCCGGAGGTGGCGAATGTGTGGGGAACGGGCCCGAGGCACCCGGGGAGCTTGATGGCTGCTGGGGCAAGAACTGGAGCCTGCCGGGTCCTGGGCCCAACCCAGACCTCGCGCACCACACAGCCCTCCTAGCGGAGGGGGGCTTCCCGAGAGCTCAGCTCTGCTGCTCTGAGAGGAGCAGCCGCGGGGGCTGGCGTGGGAGGCCGCCTCCAAGCTTCTCCGTCCAGCCTTCGGTCATGAACCCGTGTGTGACCCGCAGGTTCAAACTTTTGGAACCCCAGGCACATTTGGGAATTGGGGAAACTGCTGCGGGGCCACCCCAAAAAGCCCAGAGGCTGGATCACTGCTCTGGCATTTGCCTCTCATGGTGATGGATCGCCGACTGCAGCTTCCTCGGCAAAAGCGCTGTGGTGTGTTCTCAGGGACACCACAAAATCTCTTTTGGACCAACTTGGCAAGGGCTGGCTGTGAAACCAGAGGAGCCTTTTCAGCCGCCATGCTTGCTACTTTTGGGGCGGCTGTTCTTACTCAGATACATTTTGTACGGGGAAAATCTTTAATATTCCGCAATGCGCACTCTCTCACAGCATCTGGCTGCTGCATGGAAATGAGCAAGTGGAAAGGAAAGTGATGGAGTGGGTTGAGGACCCCACAATGCTTTTGATGTCTGAGAATGTGGCTTACAGAAGCCATTGCAAAGTGTGCAGGTTTGGAGAGCTGAGTCACTTCCGATGGCGCTTACGTAGGATTCCTAGAAAGTGATCTATATTTTATATGGATTTGTGTATGTATACTTTAAAAAGCAGAAAAAATGAAAAAGTTTGTTCTAGGTGCTTGCAGACAGTATGTCGGAGGTGCCACAGGAGCGACCGTTGCCATAAGAGCGGCTTGTAGTGCAAAAGCAGGGTTGCCAACTGATCAGAGCACACAGCTCCCACCTGCTCCTGTGCCTCAAAGAGCAGCTGAAGTCAGCCCATGAAGGTCCCTTCCCAACCGGATTTTCCATGGAAATTTACCGCAGTGTTTGCTGTGAATGGGGCAACTGCACATGGAAGCTGCCCTCCTGCACAGCTTCCTCCTCGCCCCTCACAAAACTCACCTTGTTTTTGACCATCCACTTTGCAAAACGAGAATCAAAGGGCTCCTCCGAGTCCGGGAGGTCGGGCAGGTCAGCCTCTGGGGGAAAGAGCGAGCCCCGGGGTGAGCCAGGGCATCGAGCGTGCCCCACAGAGCAGCCTCCTCAACCCAGTGTTCGTCAGCCTACAACGCCAGCGTTTCTAAGAATTCGTTTTTCTGCTCATTTGTTTAACCTCTTGTGATGCGGTGTGTAGTTCTAAGATATAAATCAGATCATCAACCCTTTTCATGTTTCATTTTCTCAGCTGCATCCAAGACAAACCAGAGACAAATAACTCGTGGGCCTGAAGTGATGCGCTGCTGGAGGGCCCAAGTGTATGTATGAGCTTATTCAGTAAAATTATACTTTATACCAGCCAGTAGCCAATTGTGAGGGAGTGAAGACGGACATCTTCTCAGTCCCCTGCCCGGGAGAGGACAGAATGACAGGCATGCTCCGGGGGCCACAGGAATACTCCCGGATCTTCAGATTGCTCAGAATGTGGAGTTGGCCCCCAAACCCGTTTCATGCCAGGGCTCTCCCACGGAACCCCAAAACGCACAAGCGCCACCAGAAAAACCTGGCTTTATGCATCCCATTTTTTGCGTGTTGACTGGGAAGGCCTGGGCTCGAGTCCCCACTCAGCCATGAAGCTCCCTGGGTGACCCTGGGCCTGTCCCTGGCTCTCAGCCGCACCAACCTTGCAGGGGAAAGAACAGAGGCGCAGGAGCCTTGCTGCGCATCTGGCAGGGAAAGGAGGGAGAGGAATGCAGCAGAAGTACACATTGATGGGTGCGTTTCAATGCATGCTGGCCTCTCCCTGCCCCTGGGAAGGCCCCCTCAGGAAGGATCCGGCCGGAATTCAGACCCGTGACAAGCCAGACTGCCGTGCAATCCCCCCTCCCCTTTCGCTCGCCCCCCAGCTCCAGGCACCGGGGTGGCGGGCTGGGGCTGCAGGTGCCAGACTTACTGAAGGATGAGAGGTCGGCCGTCATGAAATAGCTGCCCTCGGGAACAATCGGCTTCATGCCCACGGCCAGCAAGCTCTGGAGAAGGAAGTCCCGCTTCCGCTGCAGCTCCCGTGGCAGCTGGACGAAGTAGCTGTCCGGCTGCCCAAGGCGGTCGAACTCTTTCTCCAGCCCGCGGGCCATGGCTTCCTGGGGGGATACGGGTGCAGGGGAAGGGAGCGCCCTCCGGTGATCCCATGTCCAGGCCGCCTTGGGTCTGGCTTGCTAAGGCTTCCCCAGCTGGAAGCCGGACCCCTTCCCTCGGCTTCCAAGGGATGCCGAGGATGTGTGGCCCCTTGGCGGGGGCCACCAAAGGGGATCGGGGCACCGTGCTACCCGCAGCCCTGCCAAAGGGCAAGCCAGACACAAGGAAGCTGCGAGGGTCCCGCTGGCCCAGGCCAAAGGCAGCGCGTTCCCAAGCTGCACTCCGTGCTCTGCAGGGTGTCACACGGCACAGGGCAGGTCACCCGCCAAGGGCACCCACTGACCAGAAGCCCCGGGAGTTCCTATTAAGGACAGGCTGGACAGGCGCATGGGGGGCATGGCGTGAGCAGAGCCGGCTGGAGCCGGGGGTCAGACTAGATGGCCCGGGAGACCCCTTCTGACTCGCTCTGCTTCTGTGTTTCTATGAGTTGCTCCCAAGAGCACCCCTGCTGGGTGTGGCCGGGGGCCACTGCCCCCCATGCGCCTCAGCACCCGCCCCTGTTCCTGGAGGTGGCACACGGCCCCTGGGACTAGTAACTCTCGATCACCTTCCTCTGAATTGGCCCAAGCCACCTTCCAAGCCACCCACGTCGGTGGCTGCCAGACGTCCGCAGAAGGCGTTCTGCCCTGCAGCTCCCTCCCCGGCCGCTGCCCTGACTCTCGCCACAGGTGGGTCCCTCCAGGTTGCCACATTTGCGGGGAGAGAGACAAACCATCTCGCTCCACTCTGCCCTCTGACGCAGCCCCTCCAGAAGTGGCGCCCGGGCAGTTCCAGAAGGCACCAGGGGGGGCGGCAACGGAGGCACGGGGCCGGGCCGGGCGGCGTGGCAAGCGCCTCCCGAGGGACCCCCGCGGCAGCCCCCCAGCAGCTGCTCCAGCTGCCCCTTCTCACCTGAGCTGCCGTCGCGCAATGATAGAGCGAGTTTTGATGAACTGTCCGGAGGTGCTTCAAAAGACGATCCGGCCCCAGGGCCCAGCCGACCTGCAGCCAGACAAGGGAGCCCTAAGCATCCCTCATCCTTGGCGGGGCAAGGAATCCTGGACGCAAAGGAGGCGCTCAGCGCAACTGCCTCGGTTCTAGTTTACCTGGAGGTTTATCGTGTGAGAGTGGGAAATGGGATGGGCACCCTCTTCCTGCCCACAGGCCGGATCCCAAACAGGAGAGATTCTCTGAGGCTGCATCCCGTCAGCAGGGAGGACTTGGGCGACCCGCTCAGCCATGGGGCCAACCGGGTGACTCTGGGCCAGTCACACTCTCACTCCAGCCTACCTCACAGGGTTGTTGTTGTGGGATAAGATGGAGAGCAGGAGGAATAGAGTGATGTTAGTCACTCTGAGTTCCTCAAAAAAGGTGGGATATAAATCTAACCAACAAAAAACTGGTGGTGAAGAGAAACGGGGCACGGGCCAGGCATGGCCTCCTTTCTTCTTCGCATGCCTGGTCTTCCAAATGCGTACGTCTGTCTATGAAGGCATCTTACGCACCTTTTTCAAAAGCATGCGTGTCTCTGTGTGTTTCTCACACAGGTGTGCTGCTGAGCACACCCTGAGAGTGGGGCAGGGGTCTTGCGAGCGTGGGCACAGGTGGGCGCTGACCGCATGCTGCTGGCATATAGCTTGGCAGGAGCCGAGGCGGGCGAATGCAGGCAAAGCCACTGAATGCCGCACACCCCCTTCGAGCGAGTTTGTCTCCAAGCCCCATTCCCCCCACACCTGGGTCCTACCTTCCATCCTGTGGCACTAAAGGATTTTCCAGCACTCCCGAGAGTGATGGTTCGCTCCCACATTCCAGGCAAGCCGGCTATTAGAGAGGGAAAACAGCGGCAGATTAAAAAATACATCCCTGCTTGCAGAATTAGTCTCACGCTGGTGCCCCGCAGCATGCCAAGAGGAAACCTGACCGATCTGCCTGGGAAAGGCACCCCGGAGACCAGGGAAGACAGAGAAGGCTCTTGCCCCGATATGGGGCCGCAGCCCACTTACACGCTCCGCAGGGAATACCAGGAAAAGAAGGGGGCATTTATCCGGCGTGCGGGCAGGCTAGGACCTCTTTACATGGAGCACTGACTGTGTGCTGGTGAGTCCTCGCTGCAGCTTGCAGGTGCTTTGCAACCTGTATTTCATGACCACCTCTGCACCATTTTTAAGACTGTGGAAAGTGAGGTATTACCTGGATATCAAGGCAACACGAAGGTGCAGATTTTTGCAGTTGATACAGCACACTGCCCCCTAGTGTTTGTGCAAGGGCATGCATGGGAAGGCAGAGAAAGAAAAGCCCGGGGAAAAGGAGCCAGACTTAACCCTGCAGAAATCCGGAAGCAGAAGCCTCGGTGAAGGGCCAGGTTAAAGCATCTCCCATTTCCCAGTTAAACTTTAAGCTCGCCTCTGCCATGAACTCACTGGGTAGCTGCAGAGGTTTGTCCCACCTGTTTGCAGAGGCTAAAAAATCCAGGGAACGGAAAGGTCTAGAAAGCCACAAATGACTGTGGCCCCAGAGGTTGTGGGGCCTCTCCCGCAGATCTAGTCCAGATCTGCAGAGCCGGAAAGCACAGCCGCAGGTGCGGGTGCACAGGGGGGAATCCAGAGCCACCCATCCCGACAAGCCCCATCTCCCTTACCCATCCGAATATGCTCTTTTCCGTCATACACAAGCCATTCGTACACTTCGTCGCTGAAGCACAGAACGTCGTGTTTCATGCAAAGCTTTGCGATGAGCTGCATCTCTGCTCTGCTGAACACCTGCGCACACAGAAGACCAAAGATCAGCAACACTGGACTCGGCCAGGTGAGGAAGCGGCAGCTGTCGCTTGTGACCTTGCCTGCCAGCCACGCTGCTTTTCTGTCTGAAGGTTTTCTTCCTGGAAGCACATGCCCTCTTCTCCAGTCATGCCTTTTTCACCCACTTCTTCCATACATGCTATAAATCACCCCCGTGCCTCATAGGGATGCCGGAGAAATCTGCATGGACTCGGTGAGCCCGGATGCCTTCGGGGCCACCCCGCAGCTTCTGTGGCGGACCAGCTCTCCCGGGTTCATGGACTCTGCAGTGATTTATTATTTTGCCTATTTTTGTACAAATCTGACCATGGGGAAACATGCAAGATAAAAATTGTATGAAGTGTACAAATGCATTCATTGAACAAACTCTGAAAATAGGCATTATGGGGAGGTCTACAGATTTTTGTTTGATTCATGTGTTTCCAGGAAGGTGAATTTGCACAAGTGAGTTTGCATACATCCCAAGTCCACAACGCAGCACATGGCAGAAGGAAACGTCCTCGGATCACCACAGAGCAGCCTTCCTGGTTCCCAACTACCGTGTGCTGCAAACAATAGCGGCCACTCCACTCCACAGGGCGCCCGCGGCAGGCTCCTCCGAGGCAGAGCTGGCGCAGCGGCTGAAGGTCGGGTGGCAGCCTGCAGATTGCAGGGCGCAGTTACCTTCCCCAGTGGGTTGTTTGGCGAGTTCAGGACAATGGCTTTAGTTCGGTCTGTGAACTTTGCCTCCAGCTCCACGGGATCCAGTCGCCAGTCACTGCTAGAGGGCAGTTTTCCACCTTCTGCAGCTTTCTGGAGGAGAGAGAGAAGGTGTGGTCTTGCTGGACCAGGGTCCAGAGCAGTCTTGTGGGTCAAATGAGGGCACTAGAATCATTCTCTGTGTGTCTGTGTCTCTCGCTCTCTCTCCTTAAGCAGGAGCAGCAGGGAGTGAGATGAAGGGAGATATGCACAGAGTGAGATAGAAGGCAAAAAGACATGCAGAAAACTCTTATGTCAGCAGGGCTGCACAGGAGGACACTGGGAGAGGGATTCCACCCGTCCTGCTGAAAGAGGAGTGTCTTCCTCTCCCGCCCCCCCATCCCTCGATCCTTGTGTGTCGCGCCTTTTAAGGCGGCAAGCCTGTGCACAGGGGTGGCCTTGTGTTTTGATGCACGCAAGGTGTCCTGGAGACCTCCTGCCGGAGCAGCGGCGCCCCAAGAGGTCAATGGCTCAACGCCCCTCCCAGAAGCCTAATGGCAGGGCAGGCGGTGAGCCCCGCTGCACGCTCGGATCCTGCTCACCACACCTCCTCTGCCGCCACGTCAGTGCCCCCACAGCTGGCAGGCAGGCCCCACGGGCCTCTCCCGCAAGGAATTTCCAGAAGAGGCTTGAAGCCCCTGCCCAGCGGTGCTGGCAGCTCTCTCCACTGACCTCTCGGAGAGGGACGAACACCGGCGTCCCTCCGGCCATTTTGATCATTGGTTCATAGCAGTCAAAGAACGGCTCGATCAAGATCACCTGTGGAGAGCCAGGGGGCAGCGAGTCAGGGGGCAGCCAGGTTGCAGGCCACCCCGGGACGGGGAGGTTGTGCCATGGCAGCTGGACGGGGAAGTGCAGTGCCCGCTCGGCTAGCATGGTGGCCCCCGGCCTTACCTCGTCTCCGTTATCCACCAGGGCCTGGAAGCAGCAGAAGAGGGCCTCGTAGGCGCCGGCCGTCACCAGCACATTGGCCAGCGGGTCAAGGTCTTGCCCAAACAGCTTGCCAAAAAGCCGGGCCAGGATGGCCACCAGACGTGGGTGCCCCTGCAGGGGGTGGGGGAGAGCCAGATTGGCAACATGCAAGGCTGACCAGGAGGCCCAGAACCGCACAGGGCTGCACAATTTAAATCATCGCCTAAGTGTCTTGTGTCTACTGGCAAGAGAAGGGCTGAGAATGAAGAGTTCAGGGACCTTTAAGACTATCCCCCTATTTGGGATGATCTCCAGTCTGGTCTGGAATAGAGTTGCCTGCATTTGAACTCTCCCTGTTGATTTGGGCCGGTGGTCATTTCTGACGTTCTGATCACCAAGGACGGCACCTGACGTTTGCCTGCGCCAGGCACTGGGGCATCGCTGCGTGATGGGAAAACGGTGCAGCAGCATTTTTTGAACAGAAGGGGCGGCCAAGGAAAGAGAACGGAAGCGGCGGCTCTCACGCACAAAAGCTTGCGTGTACTGGTGGACTGAGACGTCCTCTTCGCCCACAACCTCCGTGAGGGCTTCCCTGATGAAATCCGGCGGAGGGAAATCGGGAAACCCCTGGCCCAGGTTCACCGCCTTGCAGGCAGCAGCCAACGCAGCAAACTCCACCCTGGGGAGAAAGGAAGGTGAGGAGAGAGAGACGCCCTTACGCCCTCCGGAGACGAGTAAAAGGGGCCGGCACTTTGTCAGGCCACAACTACCGTGTGAGGCAGGCCAGTTCGGCCTGATTTTGCCTGAGCAGCTTGCTCTTGCTCGGTATCTCTGCGGTGGGGGGGCGGGGGGACCAGGGCCCCCGCCCACCCGAGGGCCCCCATTCTAAAGAGGTGGCAATACCTTTCCTGAGCATTAGTCCCTGGGCAGTGAGAGCCACTTGGGATTTGGGCTCAATTCCATTTTACATAGGCTCCGACCACGGCAGAAAGCAACCGAATTAAACGGCAGCTGCGGGGAGGGGCACGGCTACCTGGGGAATGAGATCAGGCGCCCCGGCCCATCAAGGCTTGAGCACCCCCTGCCACAGGGGCAGGCAGGTTGGCTTCCGTCACCCGTCCACACCTCAGTTTCCAGGGTTTTGTTTGCTTCAACGCCCCCTTCCTTTTAAATCACATGAAGCAGCCACCACATCATCACATGAAATAAGAGAAAGGGGTGCAGACAACGCGACATGAAAACCGATCACATCAAGCTCAGCCTTGGCGCAACCCACTCGAGCCAGCTGGAGCGAGTCGTCCCAACTCGGCCTCCTCAGCTCTGCTCAGCGAAGCTGTGGGGGGGGGCACATGATGCGACCACCCCTGCTAAGCCAAGAGCCCCCGTGCTTTGACCCCACAGAACCTGCCTCTGCTGCAACAGCCACTGCCAACCATCAACTGCAATGCTGGACTAGGGGCAGAGGGAGAAACCGTTCGGCCGGTTTGGAGCGGCTTTTCCCGGCCAGGACAGACACAGCACATGCATCTCACGCGCACAACACACCAGCCACCCCGACAGCTGAGGCCACATGCGCCACAAGCGGCAGGAGCATACCAAATATTTGCATCCAGGCCTTCCAGCCTTCGCGCGTGAACGGTCTTGGGCATTTTCACCTGTGGAGAGAAAGAGAATGCAAGTCAAAAGATGCCGCAGGGTTTTAAGGGCTCGACGCGATCCGACCGCCCTAAAAGCCGTCTGAGGCGGCTTTTAGAGGCAATACTATAGTCACAGAAACCCTGAGCACAGTTGACGCAGGCTGGCAAAAGAAAGAAAAGGAACGTCTGCTGAAAGCCTAGCTTGGCACCCAAGGCACACGCTTGCACTGGCTTCTTCTCCTGCTCTTGCGACTCATCCAGCAAGCCGAGGGGGGACCTCCCCGCAGCTGCCCTTCCCTGCGCTCCTTTGCCAAAGTACATATTGACACAGGAGGCAGCCTTGGAACTGACAGCCACCACGGGGGGCGGGGTGGGGGGCTCCTCCTGCACAAGCCTTCCAGCTTGTCATCCCCAACTTTTGGGGGTCACTTCTGAAACCCATTTTTCCTTTATCCATCCTCCGTAGAGAACTTTTGCTACTGAGCAGTACAGAACAGAATCTATCAAGATAAGCATGCATTTTAAAACTGCGACACGATGCATGGCCTCTCTTGGTGAGCTTCACACACAAAAAATGTACATGTTCTGAGTATTTAAGTCAGCATGAAAAAACAGAGTGAACAACATTAAAGGCGACCTCTTGCATTGTGTCCATGGAAGAAGCATGTTGAACATTAAAGCTGTAGCTTGACCCCATTCGTGAATTCAAATGCCCAATTAAAACAGGCAGATGATGGGAGCGTACAGCCCCCGCCTCTCAAGCACCTTGGCCAAAACTGGAGCAGAAGTCTAACTTTTTCTAACTTTCCAATTGCAAATTTCCAGCAATCAACACAAAATAAAAACTAATGTAAAAATTAGTTCTCTTACAGAGGTGTGACTTAATCTGTTATAATATGTAGGGGCATATATTTCACGTGTATTAGTTTATTCCAAGCAAAGCATTAGTGGTAGGACTCGTGGAATGCAGGTACTTCAGCAAAGGCAGACCAAACATCCCCCATTTTCTTCATTCACAGATTATGCCTCAGGACCCCCCACTGAAAAACGAAAACTGCAGGCAAGTCCCTGAATCCATGACTCCCAGGAGGTTCCCCTTGGCAAAGGCCCTGCTGCTGCCTTCTTCCAGCAGGCGGGGGCACGCCTGTCCAGCAAAGAGGCTTCATTGCTCCGTAGCCCCATGGCTAGTCCCGTCCTGGCCTGCTGAGACAGGCAGGAGAAGCAAGATGCTGGCAGCCCAGCCCGAGCCCTTCCCTCGCCAGACTCCCTCCTTGCTGGGCGACTTTCACAGCCCACCTGGTTTTCCCTCGTTCTGGAGCCTCGTCAAGGCGTTTCCTCCTGAAACGGCCTCAGTGCAGAAGTGAACCTTCCAGAAGTTGCGTCATGCAGAGCATCAAGGATTAGCTCTCCCAATCGGTGAAGGACACATCCGAGAAGCAGCTAGGAACCGCCAAGAGCCTGGGGCACTGCGGCATGACGCAACGGGGAACTGCCCCATGCTCGCTGTTGGCGCGTGACTGTTGGCCCACTCTGCACGTCACAACTGCCACAGGCTCCCTTTGCTCGCTTTCTTTCAAGCCCTGGGCTGCTGCAACAATGCGCTAACGTCACACACTCTGCGCCCGCAGTATACCAGAGCTCCTCCCTCGGTGTCCCTCCTGCAATGAACGGTGGAGCCCCGGCTGAGAGGGAGGCCCAGAGGACAGCAGGACCCTTCCCTTTACCTTCTGGGAGACAGAATTTTAGGGGGGTGGCCGTGCTGCAGGCACGTGCTCTTTCAGTTTGGTGAAGGGGCTGCCCCCTTAGCAGCCATTTTGCTCAGGGACCCACAACGCTCAGCATTCCAGCCTTGCCCGCCAGACAGAAACGCTCAGGAATCCCTGGTTTAGAGATGTACCTCAGGATGGTGCCCGGAGAACCGAAGAGCACTATTTCTTCTCTGAAGAGCACGAACCAAGCCCAGCCCGGAACAAGCCTGCCGTCGCAGAAGCATAAACCTTCGTTTCACACATGTGCATAAAAAGGGGATGGAGAAAAAGAAACAAAAGCAGCAAGAATGTCATTCCAGTAATATAAAGCAATGGCTAAATGTAGGGCAGAGTTCTGTAAAGGGTTCCAGGCATCTATTTGGGGGAGACGGCAGGTCCCTCCAGGATGAGATGCTTAACCTCCATGCTTTTTCGGCAGAAAAGGCAGGCTAGTATTTAGCATAAGCGTTCAAAGCACTTCACACAAAGTCACGGAAGAGTAGAGCTGGACAGGGCCAGTGCAGTGCAACTGCCCACTCAGCGCAGGACTCCAAACCGAAGCATCTGAGAGATGGCTATCCAAATGCCTCCAGTGCAGGCAGGACACTTGGAACACAGGTCAGTGCTCTTATGGCCATAATGCAGATGGGACAGCCGAGGCCGGAAGAACAAAGCTATTCAAAGGCCACCTTGTGAGCTCACGGCCCTGTCAGTCTTGAGCTGGGAACCAGTAAAGGTCCCAGAGTTCGTGTGTGGGGGATGCCAAGGGAATTTGGACCTCTGCGGCATTCCAAGAGCACTCTCACAGAACTGCTGCCATGGGAGGAGTGTGTGGGCCAGTCCCGGGATGGCGGTTGCAGAACATTCATTTCCGAAAAGGTCAGCGGGTGATGCTGAAAGAAAAGCAAGGGGCCAAGGTCCAAGGCAGAGGCGTGGAACTGAGCTCTAGCACTGGGAAGGACTCTTTGGGATCGGAAGGCGAGCGCTTGCTTCACGGCAAACAGACATCCCAGGTTAAAAATACAATGGATGAAATAAATCTTAAGGAATAAAATACAAACCCAGCAAGGCAGCTCTGTCGAGGCACCCGGGTGCTGCGGTGGCCCCTGGACCCTGTGCCTCTGAGGACTGCTGGTTCAGAGCCCAAAACTCTAAGGTGGAAGAGGAAGGGAGTCAAGGTGCCTTTGAACAGGTGGCACCGCAGCGACAGGCAGTGTGGGCAGAGGCATGTGCCTCTCAGGGCGAGAATATTTTGGTTTGAAGTCAGAGCCATTCTGCCTCTGCCCGTACGGGTTAGCCTGTGCCAGCATCCTCTGCCTTCTTTTCTGAATGCCGTGCAGCCATCCCAAGGGCAGTGAGGATCAGTGAGGGGGCACACATGGGCTGTGCCCCCAAGCCCTAGAACAGGGCTGTTTCCGGACAGAAGCAGTGCCGGGATGAAGGGAACCCGGGTTCTGGCCACCAGACAGAACAATGCATTGCATGCCCTGAAATTGTCTTCCAAAGCCTTCTTCCCCTAAGGATCTGAGAAAACAGATGTATGGACGGGGGGGAAGGGTGCATTTAACTTCCGGAAAAGCCTCAGGCACAAGGAGCCAAGGAGGCAGATGTGGGCGCAAAACCAGCTGATCCAGTGGGATCAGATGCCACAGCAGGGGGACCGTTCCCAAGAAGCGCCCACGAGCTGCAGGCGGTGGGGCAAGCGGCCCACACGAGCTGGCGCCTCAGCCCTAGCGAGCTCCCTCAAGCACTGTCTCTGGGGGAAACAGCAGCCCTGGGAGCACCCAGGGCTGGGGACGGGCAAGCCCCACTCCCGGCGGCCCTTTCAGGGAGCACCCACGCCCCCCTGCAGACCCCAAGTGCGCCGCGGCCTAAAGGCGGCTACAGGGGGATTGCACAGCCCCTCACTGAGAGCGGGGCGCAACGTCATCCTGGCGCTTGCGCCTGCATTGCGGCAGGTGTCCCCAGTCGCAGAGCCTGGCACATACCAAGACGCGCATTTCCAGGCTCATGAGTGCTTGCGAGTGCCCTGAGAGCGAGCCCAGGTGTAACAGCATTGTTGAAGGACGGGGTGGGGGGGATATATGTTCACAGAGAGAGAGAGAGAGAGAGAGAGAGAGAGAGAAATTGTTGTCTTTCAAAGAATAGCAAATTCCATATTAGTGTCGTTTCTCTTATCATGGAGTTCTGGAGGGATGGCCCACACTCGAAAAAATGATAAAATACAAATGTGCTTTTTAAAAAACCTACACTCCTTACAAGAAGCAGAGTAGCTTGCAGAAATATTGCTTTCCACCGCTGCCACAGTTTGAATCAGAGAAAAGAATGTCTGTGATAAGCACTACATATTTTACAGATTATCCCAAGCTTAAAAGATAACAGGGGAAGGAAAACCAACCAACAAACACACCCTCAATATAGCAGCCCAAGACAGAAAGGAAAGAGGCAGTATAATCGAAAAGACTCTCCTATAAACAACCCAGAGGAATACTGTATTTACTACTGACTGGATAAATTAGAAATAAGTAATGCAACTATATTTCACTTAATTTATTAAGCTTCTATTCCACCCAATAGCCAAAGCTCACTAAAAAGTTCATAGAGAGTAAATATTTAAGGATACAATATTGCTCATAATATCCATAAAGGTATTTCCAGACAAACAGTGCTCACTGTGAAAAGCAGCAACAAAATGAACTAGCAATTCATAAGCTTTTGGAAAAGAGCGAGTAAATTCACGTACCTTGAACTACCCTGGACTCTCTCACAGATCAAAAGCCACCATGTTCTCCTCCTTTTTAACCTCCCAGTCACTTTTGAGGACAGCTGATATGTTGCCAAAACATTTCCTGGGAGGAGACATAATAAAATTACCACCAATTGCATGCAGCAGGGACAGGATTGCAAACTAAGAGAAGCAGGGCGGGCAGAGGATGGGGGAATCTTCTAACCTTCCTCCATTTAAAGTTACAAGCTGCGGGATCAGGCTGTCCTCTCGCGCTGTGCACGGAACAGGAGTCAGCTCTGCAGCTACTTTTTATTTCTACCATGCTTTAGGAGTACAAAGAAGAATTAAACCACTTGCAAAGTCAGCTCGGCACCAGAGCTGGAGATCTCTGTGGCCATTTGGTCGTGTGGGATAGCAGTGAAAAGGGCTGCACTGCGGCTTGGAAGGACGGGGACCGTGGGGGGTGCTCAGCCATGCCGTTCCCTGGGGACTCTGGGCCAGTGGCTGACACTCTGCTTCACTTCCTTTGCAGGGTTGTTGTGCAGGTCAACTGGCGATTGGGAGCACCGTGAAAACCTTGGGTCGCTTGCAAGAGGAAGGACAGCAGGATTGGGATTCTAACAGCCAATTCCAAAGTTGGTGTATTTGTATTTGTTGGATTTATAGCCCGCTTTTTTCTTATTACAAACTCAAAGCAGTTCACATCACTCTTCTCCTGCTACTCTGTCTTATGCCCACAACAACCCTGCGAGGTGGGTTGGGCTGAGCGTCTGACTGGCCCAAAGTTGCCCAGCTGCCTCCATGGCTGAGCAGGGCCTAGAACCCGGGTCGCCCGAGTCCCAGAGCTATGCCCTTCGACCACGATGCCGCACTGGCTCCTGGCTCTCAAAAAGCCAACAGGACAAGCGTCAGAGGAAGTACATTGGGATCGCCACATTCCCAAGAGCCACAGCAGAGGTCCCTTCCACTATGGAGGCCTGCATTTCTGTACGCTTGGCACCAGGGGATGACATGGGCAGGCCCCTGCCCCAGTAGGGCCCACCGACAAGATTCCCCACGGACTTGCCCTTCCTCGCCCTACCTCGCCACCTGCGCCTTCCTCACGGAGGGCACCTGGCCCAAGAATCTGGAGGCACCACCGTGTTTTGCAAAAACATAGCAAAACACTGAAAACACTCCAGCCAGCCTCTCGTCTGCTTTAATGAAACTGTAGTGAATGGCTTTCAATTCTTCTCTATTAATATTTTAGGATTTTACCATGCAGGGCAACATTCTGCAGTGATCCAGCCCAATAAAAAAGACACCACGTGAATCATCGCATGCTGCAAGAAACCCGCTGTTTATTGATGCCACACATTAAATCAGCATCGGAATCAGATGCAGTCAGAGGCTTAAGAGGAGGTTGGTTTTTACCGTGGGCTGGAGCAAGCATTTGCCTGACTGAAATGCCTGCACATTGGCCAACCAAAGTCATGCTGGTGCTTTGAGGTTGTTAGGAATGTTATTTGTGGAGACATTCTGGAAGAGTGATTTTCTGGGATGAGCTTTGTGTATTTTTCGAAAAAGAAACACGTCTTTTGCTCTGAAAGGAGCAAAAGCACTCACTGCATCACCCATTGCATCACAGTAATAGTTTGTTTTGTTGTTGCTAGTTGCAAAGTTGTGCCCTTCTCTTCGCGACCCCATGGACAACATTCCCCAGGCCTTCCTGTCCTCCACCATCCCCCGGAGTCCACCTAAGCTCATGCCAACTGCTTCAGTGACTCCTTCCAGCCACCTCATCCTCTGCCGTTCCCTTCTCCTTTTGCCATCTATTGTTCCCAGCATTAGGCTCTTCTCCAGGGAGCCCTTCCTTCTCATTAGGTGGCCAAAGTATTTGAGCTTCCTCTTCAGTATCTGGCCTTCTAAAGAGCAGTCAAGGTTGATCTCTAGGACTGACTGGTTTGATCACTTTGCGGTCCAAGGGACTCGCAGGAGTCTCCTCCAGCACCACAATTCAAAGGCCTCGATCCTTCAGTGCTCAGCCTTCCTTACAGTCCAGCTTTCACAGCCATACATTGCAACTGGGGAAACCATCGCCTTGACTACTTGCACTTTTGTTGGCAGGGTGATGTCTCTGCTTTTTAGTATGTTGTCCAGTAATAGTTTGGGGGATGTCAAATAATGCATGTATATCACTAGGGTATATATATCAGGGCTGGTGTGATCCAGTGAGATCTAAGCTTGGATCCAAGGCCACTGGGAAAATGCAAAGCAGAGATGCAGGCGTGGGCCAAAGATCAAATCAGGCCCAGTGGGGTTGCCCCTAGAGGCCGCCACCCCATTCTTTGCCTCTACCCCAATTCCACCCTGGAATCAATCACTGAATTTCCTTTTCTAAAGCTGAGTTGCTCACAGGAGGAGTTTTCCATTGCAGCCCGAAGCATGCCTGGGGAGAAAAGCATCTGACAAAACCCAGGGTGTGCTAACCAGCCATGCCATCTTTTCCCAGGTGTTGAAACACGCATGGGATTGTGCCATGGGACTAAAACAAGCAGGTATTTCAGTCCTCAATTAACCTTGCCCATCCCAGGAATGTGTCCCTCGACCAGGCAAAGCTCCTGCAACCTTGCTATGGTGTCCACATCTTGGGGTATCTGTGAGGGGTTGAGCAAAGCCGCTTGAACCACAAATGCGCGCTCTCCCAACACACGGGGTGTCCTGATGCTTGTCACAGCATGCAGTGCATGTGGAGTGCCACTTTGCTTTTTTACAAATGCATCAGAACCAGATGTTTCTGGAGGAGTTTAGGGTTAAAATGGGTTGTAACTAGGACAAGCTAACAAAAGCTGTATTTTCTGTTTTATGTGCATTCTAATTAAAAAAAAGCGTTGCGCACACATACCTGCACCGATCCAATGTATATGTATACAAGCATATACACAGACCCATGTACACCCATCATATGCATTTATACGCATCCATACCTCTGTACCTGCGTACGTATGAAGAAAAAATCTCGCCCCCTGAAACCGAAGGCGCCCTTTTAAAGATGGCCGTCACGCCCTCCTTCCCCCCACAGTAAAGATGGCCTCCCGCGGCTTCGGGGCTGCCCGCCGCTTGCCCGTCTCCAAAATGGACTCCCCCACCTCATTCAGTTCTCCGACCGCATCATTGCCCTTCCCCAACATGGCGCCGGGCCGCGGTCGAACGAGCCCCGCCCCTCTCTTCAAAGCGCCTCGCCAAGATGGCGCCGTCTGGTGGAAGCGGGGAGAGGCGAAGAGGCCCGAGAGCGGCCGGGAGAGCCTGGCCGGCCGCGGGCGGCGGCCGAGGCGGCAGCGGCTCGGGGATGCTCCTGCCGGCTGCTCAGTGAGGTCAGTTCCGGGGTGGAGCCGCCGCCGCCGCCGCCTGTCGTGGTGCAATGAGGGAGTGAGGGACAAACAAAAGGCGCCCCGGAGGGACGTGAGGCGGTGAGGTGCTGCCAGGTGGGTGTGGCGGCGCCGAGGGGCTTCTCCTCAGCCGGGGGGCCCCGCTGCCGGGAGAGGATGGAGGGGGAAGGAGAGGATCGGGTTGGGGGATGCGGACTGGGCTCAGGACCCAGAGGACTAGCAACCTCTTTAGTTTGGTGCCTGTGGCGGGCGGGGCAAGAGAAATGCAAAGGGTTGCCCTGGCTTTATCTCAGTGCATATCGGATGGAGGAGGAGGAGGAGGACGGGAGCGCGCTCACGAACACAGAGGACTAGTGAGTTCGTCCGTGGACGAAAGCGAAGGGGCTGAAATGCAAGATCGGCAGAATGGAGAGTCTTCCCTCTGCCTTTGTGTATTGGGTGGAGGCTTAGGAATCAAGAGGACTAGGAACCTCGTTTGTCTGATGATGGCTGCGAAGAGCGAGGGGAGGGGAAATGGAGAGGATCCCACCTCGTCTCACCTGCAGCTTCCCGATTCAAGGAGGGCTTTTTCAGAGAGAGAGAAGAGGGGATGGAGAGAAAGATTGCTAAGGAACATACAGCATTAGGGTGAAACGTGGGGTGGGCAGAATGGAGAGTGTTCCCTCCTGACCATGGAATATCGGAGAAGAGCTTCAGAGGTAAAGAGGGAGGAAGGGAGGGCAGCAGGAACACAGAGGTCTAGTAGCTTCATTTAATTGGTGTAAGAGAAGGGGGTGGAATGTGGGGTAGGCAGAATGGAGACTATTCCCTTCTTACATATCAGGGAAGGGGCGTCTGGGAAGGACTAGGAATCCAGAGGACTGGTTACCTCCCTGATTCGGTGACAGCGAAGGGCTGAGTGCTGGGGTGGGGGGCAGATGGAGAGCATTTCCCACTGAATATCAGGCAGGGGGCTTCTTAGAGAGACAGGAGGGGAAGGGTCCAGGCACACAAAGGGCGAGCCAGCCCCTTTATTTGGTGACATGGGGCAGCAGGCTTCCCGCAGGTGAGCTTTGGGGGAGGCAACCTGGGGAAAGGGGGGGCTCTTAGCAAAGTTGGGGTGCTGAGCTAGCGGAGGGATGGCAGCCTGAGGTCTGGCATTCAGCTGGAGGGCAAAGGAGAGGCGCCATGGCCTCGGGTGCAACCGGAACGGGCGTGTGGGTGGCAGAGAGTTTGGAAACTGGAATGGGCGAGCCGCCGTTTCTCGGCCGCCCCGTGGGGCTAGCGGTGCAAGGGTGAAGTGGCCCTTGACTCGGGGTGTTGTGGAGGAGCAGGACTCAGAGAAAGCACCTGCGAGCTGAAGGAAAAGGAGAAAGGGGTGAAAAGGGGGTTCCACAGAGCCAGGCTTTAGCCCTGGGCCTTTGGGATGGCATAGGGCCTGGCCCCTTTGTGCATCTCTGCCTTGCTGTGGTGAGGGGGCTTGCGTAGTGCAGTGAGGCTCTGAGCTGTGCCGTGAGGGGCACCCAAGACCGACAGGGCAGAGCAGAGCGCACTGGCAAAAGGTGATCCGCGGGAGGAGGAAACGGCGCCCCACTCCGCCGTCCTTGCTACAAAAACCCCGTGGACGGAATCAAAGGACGCTCAGATACTTTGGCCACCGAACGAGGAGGAAGGACTCCCTGGAGCAGACCCTGATGCTGGGAATGATGGAAGGCGAAAGGAGGAGGGGGCGGAGGAGGTTGAGGTGGGTGTGAGGCTGGGTGGACTCTGGGGGAAGGTGGAGGATGGGAGAGCCTGGAGGAATGTTGTCCATGGGGTCGTGAAGAGTCACTGGGCATGACTTTGCAACTCAACAGCAACAACAAGGGCTTGGGAAGGGCAGGCAAGAGACTCGGGGGAAATGGGATCCACGGAGACTTAGCCTGGACTCGGTTTGGAAGTCCATCATGTCGGGGGCCATTTAAGAAGGTCTGAGCATCCCTTTTGCTGTGCAGGAGGATCAGTGAGGTTGGGAAATGGGGCAGATGGGAAACAAAATCTTTTCTGATTGGGGAAATGGGCTTCCCAAAGTGGGATTGGGGCTTGGGTTCCTAGGCTGCTTGCCGCTCCCCGCACTTGTGGGGCTGGGCATGAGGAAGTGGTGGAGGGCGCAAGGAGGTGCGGAAGAGGTTGGGTGATTGGGGCGGCGGGGGGTGGGGCTGCCTCTGATGATGTCTGTGAAAACGGAGGGCAGGGACACAGTGGTCCCCTGTCTGCTGTGTTTGAACTTATGGGGCTGGCCGTGGGGTGACAGGCGAAGTGGATGGATGAAAGGAACTGTGGCTGACCAGCAGGTGTGCCTCCAGGGTCGGAAAGCTTTTAGGGCAGGGATTGTTAAAATGGTTGGAAGCAAAGAGTGGCAGGGCAGGAGAGAAGGACCCTTTGCCACATGGGTGGCAGACGAAACTGGAGACTGGAGAAGGAAGCGGGCGCGGGAGGTGCCGAATCTGCCAAGGCAGCTGGTAGAAGACTGATGCTTGGTTGGCCGGAAACGCTGGTGAGTCAAGCTGTGAGCGGGCCAGGGAAGGTGTGTGGGTAGTTGTTACTCTGCTCCGAGTCCCTTTTGTGGGAGAGTCAGAGAGAGCGGCGGCAGAGGAGGAGGAAAGGGATCTCCCGGAGGAAAGTGGAAGAGATACCTGGCAAGAAACGGGGAGGCCGAGGTAGATTTTTGGGACGGTGGGAGGGCAGGACTGGAGCTGGAAATGCTTTGCATGTGTGTGCGTGTGTGTGTGTGTGTGGGGGGGGGGGTTGCGGCAGGAAAGGGCTGTTTGGGAGTTGGTGAGCCGGAGTACACCTTACAGAGGATGAAGGTCCTGGCTCTGTGGGATTTTTGTGGCTGAGCCTTCTGCAAGCTGTTTTTACTTCGAAGTGTTACTTACTGGGGTGTGCTCTGTCTCCTGGGGGCCTGAACTCTGGGGTTCTCATGTGCTTGTTCTACTGCTGCCTGGGAGGGCTGTGACAGCCCTCTCTGTGCCTTGTCTGTCACAGAAGCATCTTGTTTTTTAAGGGCTGTGGAATGACTCCACTTCTGGAGAAGAGGGTCATCTGGGTTTACGCGGCTTCTCAGACTGTGTTGGGGAAGGAAAAGGGACCACGTGATTCCAGAAATCGGCCTGCTTCCTTTAGGCAGGAACGGCGGAAATCTCTGAGCGGAGAGTGGGTCTCGCTTCTGTCTTGGTAGTCGTGGCAGAACCAGTGGACTCTTTGCCGCTTCAGTGTCGGCCCTTTAATTTTGAAATTATAAGTCTTGTTTGAGAGCATCTGGAAGGTGGGATTACATGGTAGGAGAAGGAACCAAAAATATAGGAAAGGTCCTGTGGTTGCTCCTCTTGTGCTGACAGACTTTCTTGAGTAAGATTGGTCTTTTGCTGAAGTATTACAGGGCCGCCTGCCTTTTGTTTTCCCCTCGAGGGTTTCATTCACAGCCACAACTGGCTCATTAGTAACTCACTTATGTTTGTGTTTCAGGCTGCTGCTCCCATGGCGTTTGGGGAATGCGTCCCTTCGGTGCCCACTCAGGATCCCGCACTTGGAAGCAAGATCGAACTCCAGCACAGAGGACTCAAGTGCAGATAGCAGAAGCATCCAGGCACAGGGCAAGGGCTGCTGTCCTATTCCTGAGAGGTTGCTCTGGGGATGACGTGCTCGGTAATGTGGTTTTACTCTTCTAAAATGCAACAGCTGGGAGAGAAAGGAATGCCTGGTGTGAGGCCAGATGGAAAGAGCCTGCAGGCCGCAAGGAGAACGCAAGAAGAAAAAAGTGTTCTTGCATCTCATTACTGCTTTGCCATGACTTTGAACATGGTTGTTTTTATTTATGGAAAATGGATTTATTCTGCTTCTCAGACAAAAGGTTTTGTTGGCGTGGCTTACCAGTAAAGCAAGGCAGTTCTTTCCAATGGGCTTTACAGCCCAAAGCAGCACAGGGAAAAGCGGGTGAGGAGGGATGGCTCTGAATCGGGAAGGGGAGCAGCACTTAGTTCTGCACGCCGAGGCCAGCGGTGGAGCGCACGGGCTTGGAGGTTGCCCACGTCTGGCAGCAATCCTCTGCCCCGTGTGCCCTGGCGTTCTGCGTGCTGCCATCCCCTCTGCTTGCCTTTTCTCACACTCCTGTGCTCTTGCTTCTGCCTTCTGGCCGAGTCTTCCTTGGGGACGTCCCGTTGTTGCTTGTTACGAGTAACAGAGTCGTTCTTCAATTAACATGTTGGCTTTAATTAAACCAATTACAGATTCTTTAGTCCTCTGCTCCTAATGGATGCCTTGGTAATAACATCTTGTACGGTGTTTGGAAAGTGGAATTACTATTGTACTCACAATAGCGTGTGAAAAGAAATAAAGTGAAACTTTCTGCTTTTGCGAAGGAAGTGACCAAGCTGGTCATATAATTTGCCGTTGAACTTCATGAGAACCCTTGAAAAAAAGCTTTCTGTCAGGCAGCTCTGGTGTCCCTTTGATTTCTGTGACAGTGTTAAAAAATCGTGTAGGAACCCTTTCAGGCCGCAGAGCAGCAGCATCCGCTTTCTTTCTTCATGTTCATTGCCATGTGCTACTATACCCAATGGAAGGGGAGGTGGCTCGGCTTCGTTCGTGGCACGTTCCCTCATTCCTGGATCTTTCCCTGCCCCTGAGCTCAGCACACACCTGGTGCTCTCTTGGGGCTGCTGTCTGCAGGGAAAGAGGTGCGAGGAGGTGTTCCTGGTTGGCCACTGTGAAGTCCTTCGCCGAGGAATTCCGAATAAGCTTCCAAGGAATGCCTCCGCATCATGGACGGATGCTTGTCCTGACAAATTGTTCAAAAATGGTGTTCTTGCCATTGGTGACAGGCTTAAAACTTCTGCAGTTGCAACCTGGGTAAAGACTTTAGCATCACAATTGGCAGATCTTAGAATGCTTGGCGCATCCGTGCTCTGGAATGTCCGGTCTCAGTGCAAATCGGAGAGGAACGCATGAGCAGAAAACCTTCCCCACAAAATACTTTCTGGAGCCATTTACTTTTATACTTACTCCTTTCCCAGTCCTCTGCGTTCTTGCAAGCTTCTTTCATATTTACTGGCTCAAGAAACAATCTCAGGACTGTGGGCTTTGGCACAGGTATGCTCTCCTCCAACTCAACTGGGTTGCGAAGGTGCAAATTCAGAATCAGACAAGATCACCAAATGACCACTCTGATTTTCCCCAAGGAAAACCATGGGTAACACGATTCTCTATTTCTGGGGCCTCCAAGGTGGTGCCCATGGGCAGACGCCACTTGGCACCCAGCAGGTTCTCTCCCTCTCTCTTTTTTTTTTTTTTTTTTGTAATTTTTCTAGGTCTTTTAAGGGACTGTCGGATTGGCCTGTGTCAGATGCTGGGAATTAGTGGACTCAAATTCAGGGATGCCTGGGTTGGGGGAGGCTGACCTTGGGAGAATGTCCTCCCATCTTCTGAGGACATGGCAGCTCTTCTCCCTGGAGGCAGATTTCAGGAAGGGCGTCGGAGAGGTTTTTCTTCCAGTGAGGTGCAGAATGTAGCCTGCTTATTCGGCCGAGTGCTTCCCTGGCTGAGGTAAATGCCCGCTCTTTCCCAGTTTAACCCATTTTGGTTTCCCGGGCCTGACTTTGTTTTGACCAGTATCAGATTTAAGGGGGCATACTCCTTGGGGTGGGGATAGACTCCTTCGGCCAGGGCTGTCCCCTGTCATTCAGTCCAAGGTTCACCTTTCCTTTTTATACCATCCAGTAGCTCAAGCTGTCTGGACAGTGCAATCAAAATATGCTATGAAATCTTTTCGTATTCCAAATTCCATTTTGCAGATGCTCTGGGGGTCATGCCAGCCATGTGAAAGCGAAAGGGGGTGGGTCCCCAGGCACGGTAGATTGTAGCCTCAAGCACTTAGTGCATACCTAAGCTTTAGGAGAGGCATTGCAACCTTTCAGGAGGGGGAGAGGGGTCAAACCCAAGGAGTGTGAGGCCAGAGGCCATGGCCCTTGTGAGCAACCGGGGCGGCTGGATTGGGTCATCCATTTTCTGCTCCTCACGCGTCTCTGCACACTTGTCACCTTCGCCTGGCGGTGCAGTTCTGTTCCTGAAAGCACCTGCAGTCCCTCCGAGCCACTGGCCTCGGGGCGTCATGGCTTGGCAAGTTCGCAGCTCATGTGCCCAGCTTGCTGTGCTGCTGTGCTGCCTCAGCACGACTCCGGCTCCTCTCCTGGCGGCAGCAGAGTCGGACCCTGTGCTGGAGCGGGGCCATGCCTGGTGGCCGGCGCACATGCTTTGCAGGCAGGCATCCCCTGGCTTGATGGCCCCGGGTCTCCCGTTAAGGGGCTCTCTGCTGGCAGAGCAATGAAATAGCTCCGGAAACCTTGCGGTGCTGCCCAGAGACAGCCAGTTCGGCACAGGGGGGCGTGTGCGAGGCTCTTTGCCAGTTCCTGGCAATCACACCTCGAAGCAGAAGTGTTTCTTAAACTGGACTCCCCTGTTTGCTTTCAGCCTCTGCAATGTGGCACCCGGGAGCTTTCCTCTGGAGTAGCACTTGGCCTTCAGTCCAGAAGAGGTAACAGATTGTTGGCAGTCGTAGTCCCAGGATGTGGCTGGGGGTGTGCCAGGTTAGGGGAGATCCTGGTCAGTGCAGAGAAGTCAGGCTGGGGCACTGCCAGAGCCGCTCGTCTTCTGATTCAGGGCGGAGGTGTCAAGGGCATGTCAGTGTCGTGGTGGAAAAGATGGGACGGGAACCGAGGGGGTCAAATGGAAAGGCAGCCTGTAGGCCATAGGCTTGTGCACAACCATTTCCGTGCTCACACATAACAATGCACGCATCTCTGAGGCTGGGAGTTGTCGCCCAATACCTCCCGTGGGCACCAGGCTGGGAAGAACTGGGCCAGCATGCCAGCCTAGGATCGGCAGCCTGGTTCAGGTTTTCACTGCGCTCACCGATCTGGTCCCAGTTGCTGTGCCTCCGTCAAAGCTGCTTTACAGCTTGGTTGTTGAGAATGTGGCGGAGGAACCTCTATGGCAGGCTGAGCTCTTTCCCTGCAGGAAGAGTGGGTTACACATGGAGGACAGAAGCGGCCTAGTGTGGCTTAGCCAGTTGAGTTTTCCCGACACAGAGTTACTCTCTGCTCGGCTTTTGTGCTCGGCTTTCTGCAGTCTTGCACCATCAAAAATGCCCTGAGACGAACGGACCTTGGTTTGCTTGGGCTTCTTCCACACAAACACTCCGCTTCTCATCTTTTCCAAGAAAGTCTTTCAGTTCTCTTGGTGCCAAGCGCACTTTGCCACAAAAGCGAGCCGGACGCGCCAAGTTCTTTGAAAGGAATCCCCCCACCACCTTGGCACTCGCGTTTGTAAAGGCTGCGAGGGAGGCGGGTGGCCTGTCCTGGTTCTGGGGGAAGTGCAGGGAGTTCTTACTGGCCTCTTGGAGCACTGCAACAAGGCAGAGCCTTGTGCGTGTGATTTCATTCAGTATTTCAGGCAGCCTGTTTTGGGACGTTTGCTGGATGTAAGTGTTGATGAAATCTGATTTCCATTTGCTTGCTCTCCAGCCTTTTTCTTTTTTTTCTTTTTGCAAAGGAGGAGACAGATAAGTTTTAAACCAGGTAAGAAGCTAGTGAACGTCGTCGTTTTTTTAAAGTGCTGTCAGGAAGCTAAGGAAGTGAGCTTTTGGGAAAAGTGAGCGAGAGGGTGAGCAAATGCAGCTCTGGCCCTTGACGCTGTCCTGCTGGCTGTGGGATCGGTCGGTGTCCAGCTCTAGTCCTGATGGCGCTATGCTTGTTCCAGTATCAGATGTATTAGGGTGCAAACACCAGTTACTGGGGGAAATGGGTAGGAGGGCGGTGTGGTACCCCGGCCCCACTTGTGGGTTTCCTGTGGGCATCTGGACAGGCGCCTGGTGGGCGTGCCGTGAGCGGAGCGGGCTGGAGCCGGGGGTCACGCTAGATGGCCCGGGAGGCCCCTCCTGACTTGCTCTGCTTCTGTGTGTCTAACTGGTTGGCCACGGCACGAGCAGAATGCCAGATGAGATGGACCTCATTGTGATCCAGCACCGCTGTTCTGGTCTTATGTGAACCTCTGCACATGGGAACGGCCTTCCAGAACTGTGCGGAGGGCAGGGACAGAACATTTTGCAAGGGATACGTATCCCCTACAATCCTCTTTTTAAGCATTTTTGTGGGGTCAGCAAGAATTTGCTTTCTGACAAGGCTGTAATCATGCTGCCTTTATTTATTTATTTATTAAAACGTTTTTATGCCGCCCCATTCGCCGAAGCCTTTCTCAAACTCGGGCTCACTCCTCCTAGGGACCCCGCATGGCGCTCTCCTTCGTACTGCCCCCCCCCCCCCCGGCCCCAGAGGCTTTTGTCTTTGGGGAGCTGTGATGTCACGCTGTCGGCATTCTGTTTCTCGCTTTCTTCAGCCGTTCCTTGTGGCTGCAAGGCCAGGGCAGGCCAGGAGCAAGCGCTTGTCGGTTCAGATCTGGAGCAACGACATCATGCGGTGTTTGTGTGGAAGGGGAGTGAGGCCGCCGTGGCTCCGCTAGCTCGCTGCATCCCCCCGCCCCACGATGCGCTCATGCCTCCGGCCCCTGGGATTTACCATCCCTTCCACACCACACAGAGCGATGCCATTTCGCCCACCCTTCCAGAAAAGGCTGACAAATTCACTTTGGAACGGACTTCAGCTGCCCTGTTTTGGCCTATAAATATCTTTCACCTATAAAAAGCTTCAGCTATTGACCAGTGTGGAGACAGAATAAGTGGGATATTCCATTTGCAGACATTTGACACGACGCAGGTATTTTTTCCACTGGGAGGGGGGTGGCTGTCTGAAACCCTGGCGCATCTTCGCTGCCACTCTGTGTGGACACCTGGGGGTGGATGGCTCAAGGGCCTCGCTCAGCCAGAGGCTGCTGCTGATCTTCCCAAAATTCTGCGCGTGAGGCGGGGCACTTGCACAACCAAATCGTGCCTGGAAGCACCCCTGGCATTTGTGCAGCATTTTCTCCAGGTACGAAATAGGACACAGGGTGGTGCTCAGCGGGACCAGGACTTCCTTACTAGCAGGGCTGCTGACACCACCCGCCACTCCCCTGCCTCCCCGGCTTCCCGCTGAGCTGCAGACCTTGCACTGCCCAGCCTGAAGTCAGGAAGCCGCCAAACAATCTGTGGCAGGCAGGCAGGCAGGAAGGGGACGTGGCCATCCGGGTGCCTCAGAGTCTTCCTGCATCCCCCGGCTTAATGGGTCTCCCAGAGCACTCGGCGAAGGCCGCCTCAGTCCGACAGAGCAATGCCTGTTTAACTCTTGCCTTCCGAGTGGTGTCTTCTTGTAAGCAGCTTTTCCTCCCTGCTCCTGAAGGTGCCCAGTGTTTGTGCTTCCTGGAAAGCCTGCAGTAAACGATCAACATGCATGGCTGAAAAATGGGAATTGTTACTCTGATGCTCGTGGTGCAAAAAAAATAGAAACTGATAGGTGCAGCTGATAAAACTGTCGAAAACTTGGAGAACCAGCACTGAAACACCTTAGCCTGGGAGGTTAAATCCCTGCCTGAATATATGTTTGTATTTATATTTCTATCCCAGCCAACAGACAGAGCTCTCTGGTCTGCTCCAAAGAATTAAATCCGTAAAATACACTATAAAAACTTTACAAGCTATGATATAGAGCAGAGGCTAAAAACAAAGTAATACCAGACAGCAGTGCAAAGATTCAAAGCACAGCAACAGATTTTGAAAACCAGAAATTGGATGACTAGAATGCCTGGGAGGATAGGTCTTCTCCTGGCACTGGAACCAGCACGACGTGGGTGTCAAGGGAGCGTCTCTGTGAGGGTGGGAGAAGCCAAATGGATGTCCAGAGGTTAGAAACATAGAGACAGTGAGCCAGGAGGGGTCTCCCGGGCCATCTAGTCTGACCCCCGGCTCCAGCCGGCTCCACTCATGACATGCCCACCATGTGCATGTCCACCCTGTCCTTGAACACCCGCACCGATGGGGCCTCAACCACCTCCCTTGGAAGCCCATTCCACACCCTCGGGGTCCCGACTGTGCGGAAGTTCCTCCTGGCACCCGAATTGAACCTTGGCTCCCTGAGCTTTGCTCTGTTGGAGCGCTTTCTGCCTTCCTCTGCAGGGGAGAACAGGCCTCTACCCACCTCCGTGTGACACCCCCTCACATACCTGTATGTCGCCAACAGATCCCCCCTGAGTCTCCTCTTCTTCAGGCTGAAGAGGCCCAGTTCCCTCAGTCTCGCCTCATATGGCATCCCCTGCAAACCGGCCACCAACCTTGTGGCCCTACGCTGCACTGACTCCAACCTGGCTGTATCCTTCCTGTAATGAGAGGCCCAGAACTGAGCACAATATTCCAATTGCGGGCGCACCGGAGTCGTGTAGAGTGGTAGTAATCCCTCTCTCGATCTGGAGGCCACGCTTCTGGCTATGCATCCAAGGGTGGCGTTCGCCCTCTTATAGGACCCTCCAACTTTGGTTTGGCCTTGAGCAGCTGATCAGCTGCTTCTTTCAAACTTAGTTCTTCATAGCATCCCAACTCAAATGATTGCAGTGTCTCCAGGAAGGCCCTGCAGTGCACTGCCGCTTCGGAGTGGCTTTCGCAGATTGCCCACGCTAACACGGCGTGCAGTGTTGTCTGAACCCAGGTGGTGCGGCTTCTTGGGCAGGGCAGGGCAGCGTGGGCTGCTGTTGGGTGGCTTGAGGGTCTCTGCCCATTCCAAGCAGGTCATGCCAACCAGGTCTGAATGACCAGGGAAGCCATATAGTTAGGGAGATGCGTACAGTAAGGCTTTAGCTGCCCTGATCATTCAGACCAGGCCAGGGTCTGTTGCCAGACTTGTTCTGCTTTGGGAAAAAGGGGGGTTAGGAGTCCAAATGAGAGAGGGCCAAATATGCAGGAACAACCAGTTGTGACCCTAAATCTCGGTTTTACTTGTTGTCTTTGGCATCTTCCACTGAAACTGTCCTTAATTATCCTTTGTTTTGGGCTTCTGTATGTTTAGTCCTTCTTTGTCGTGACCGGCTAGAGTAGACAAGTAGAATCTTGTTTGTGTATTATGTATGCACTCAAGGGCAGGATATTGATGCAATAAATCAAATTCTCTTGTGCCATTTTTTTCTTGCAACGTTCCCGTAATGCCGATGCTCTTCCACCTCGCTGATCGGGAGGTGCTCTTACAAGGACTTGTGTGTTTTTCCTTCCCTTGTATCGCTTTATCTCATGTGGTTTTTCTGGAAATGTTTTCCCAGGCAAGTTATCTTAAGTCGAATTGCATAAGGCCATTTACACTGGGTGGGGGAAACCAGCTTGTGGAAGAAAGTTTTTTGCTGCCCAAGAGAGATCTAATTTAGATGTTGCTTTTGCTTGTGTCTAGTCAAAAACAAAGCTTACAAAAGTATATAGTGTTAATTCTCTGTCCAAATACAGTGCAAGTATTTAACCTGAAACATTTATGGGGAAAACTCAGTGCTAAACATGAATGTGCCTACTTCTCTGTTATGAGTCACTGAAGATGGCTGGGCATGCTTGGAAATGTAGACCTTTTTCCTGTGTAAAGATGCGTAAAGTGCACCCCTGATAAGATTTTGGTGTTACAACATGTCTCTGCTTGGACTTGGTATTTGAACACACATAATGACAAGAGCAGTATTTCCCTGGTATTGTTGAAATTTAAGAAAACGGTGGACACACAGACAGATTTTCGCCAGGGTTGTCCATTCTAGAACCTTGGGGTACCTAAAACCTGTTCTTAGAAGCTAGAACTTTCGAAAGCGGGAGCCTTTTCAGTGGGGCATTTCGCTCCTGTTTCGTTTGGTGCACTTTCAGCTACATCTGCAAGTGAGGCAGCCAAGACTCTGCCACCCCAGAGAGAACGAGCCCAAAATAGGCATCTTTCCGGTGGCCTGATTGCTTGAGTCCTCTGCTCAACCCGAGGGAGACTGTGATTAGCCGCTGGTGGGACCCACCAGGGACAGTTTTGGCCCCTTGGTCTGATGTTTTAGGATGTAAGATGAAAATGTGAGCCCTGTGAGTGTTTTTTAAAAATGGAATTGGACCCTGAGGCTTTTGACACTTTGGCGGGGCCGGGGGTGGGGGATAATCACTGAGTTTCTGAACAAGGCATCCCGAATACCTGAGTGCTCACCGTCCCTTTTGATGCTGGGCTGCAGGAGAAAGCAGCTGCTGCTGCTTTTCTCCCGTGAGCCTCTTTTTGCGTCCCAGTGGAGAATCCTCCTGCCAGGTAGGAGTGGCCAGCCAGAGAACGGCTCTTTGATTTTGATCTCCCCTGTCTTTTGCTCACTGAGCTAATGGGAAGAAAAGGAAATAAACAGCCGATGCCCAGGGGTTACATGAGCGCTTTCTGCAGGGAGGCCTGAGTCACTTTGGGCCCCAGCACCTTTTGTTTTGCCAGAAAAGAACCCACCCCACAGCCTGCATTATGCTCCAGGATCTGTCAGAGTAGGTTGCGGTAACCATGGAAAAGGGACTTGCGTGTTCACTCGCTGTGGCCATCAGCCCTGGGGGAATTCTGCCCTGTCCCGTGGCGCTAGGGCAAAGAGCAGGTGCGGCCTCTCTCCAAATTCCACGGGGTTCTCTGTAGGGCACAGGATAGAAAAGCTTTTAATACATACATACATACATACATACATACATACATACATACATACATACAGTGCTCAGCCCAAGGAAAATAATAACTGCATGTTTTCTTCAAATTTTCCAACTATTGGGAGCTCTTATTACTTGCTTACTAAATTTCTATCCAGCCTGATTAGCCAAAATGGCCCTCTCTTCTCCTCAACCCTCGCCATGAGCTATGCTGGTTCCTAGCGCTGTAGCGTGAAGCAGAGGGTGGGCCTTGAGCTCCCCCCTCCCCCCGGAATAGATCCTGGCCTAGCTCAGGGGGTGAGGTGTGGAGGATGCAGACCTGGGGGGCCTCCTTGGTGTTGGCCCAGCGGCTGTGGGACGCTGTCCCTGGCGACGCCTTCCCAGTGTGCACGTGGACATTTTTTCGGCACAGCTTATGACTTCAGCTCCCCGGCATCATGTGACAGGACTTTTTGAAGTTAGTTTTTTCTTGTTTAAATCAGCTCCGGTAGTTTTCATAACTAATTGTATTTAACTGCTTCAAAATGTTTTAAATTCTGTATGTTAAAAGATTTTATAGCATATTTGTATGCTACAAAACTGCCCAGAGGACTTGGGGCAGTGGGTGGTGGAGAAGGTAGTGATGGAATGCATGAATTGCAATTGGCCATGCTTGCTGTGGCTGATGGGAAGTGGAGTCAAGAACATTGCAGAGCAAGCACCAGATTGGGGGAACGGTGGCCGTCCAGGGACTGACTGCGTCGTGCCCACCAGATGCTTTGGGGCTGTGACTTCCATAGTGGTGCGCCCTTGACCTTTCTGGTAGCGCAGTCCCAAACCGCTGGAGGCCACCAGGTTCCCCCCCCGCCCCGCCCCCCCGCTGTCCCTCCTTCAGGACGAGAAAGTGCCGTTCCTTGACAGTAACCTCCGTCTTTGTGGTTTTCCGCTTGCCAGGTGAGCCATGATTCCGGTCACAGAATTGCGCTACTTTGCCGACACCCAGCCAGCGTACCGCATCCTGAAGCCCTGGTGGGATGTGTTCACCGATTACATCTCCATCGTAATGCTGATGATTGCTGTGTTTGGTGGGACGCTGCAAGTCACCCAGGACAAAATGATTTGCTTGCCTTGCAAATGGGTTACCAAAGATGCTTGCAATGACTCTTCCAGGGACTGGCCATCTGCAAGCTCTGATGCGAGCTTTTACAACTCTTCTCTGGTGCCCTCGCCAGACACGGGTCCAACCGGGATCAAGTACGACCTCGACAGGCACCAGTATAACTACGTGGACGCCGTCTGCTATGAAAACCGCCTCCATTGGTTTGCCAAGTACTTCCCTTACCTGGTGCTGCTTCACACTCTGATCTTCTTGGCTTGCAGCAACTTCTGGTTCAAGTTTCCCAGGACCAGCTCCAAGCTGGAGCATTTTGTCTCCATCCTGCTCAAGTGCTTTGACTCCCCATGGACCACAAGGGCTCTATCTGAGACGGTGGTGGAAGAGAGCGACCCCAAGCCAGCCTTTGGGAAGATGAACGGCTCCACGGAAAAGAAATCTTCCACAGTCAGTGAGGATGTGGAAGCCACGGCCCCGATGTTGCACAGGACCAAGTCTCGCGTCGAGCAAGGGATTGTCGACCGGACGGAGAACGGCGTTTTGGACAAGAAGGAAGGGGAGCAAGCCAAAGCCCTCTTTGAGAAGGTCAAGAAGTTCCGCACGCATGTGGAGGAAGGAGACATCGTCTATCGCCTCTACATGAGACAGACCATCATCAAGGTCATCAAATTCATCCTCATCATTTCCTACACTGTCTACTACGTCAACAACATTACCTTCGATGTCGACTGCAAGGTGGACATCGAGAGCCTGACGGGCTATCGCATGTACCGTTGTGCTCACCCACTGGCCACCCTCTTCAAAATCCTGGCTTCCTTCTACATCAGCCTGGTGATCTTCTACGGCTTGATCTGCATGTACACTCTCTGGTGGATGCTCCGCCGCTCGCTCAAGAAGTACTCCTTCGAGTCCATCCGGGAAGAGAGCAGCTACAGCGACATCCCTGACGTCAAGAATGACTTTGCGTTCATGCTGCACCTCATTGACCAGTATGACCCCCTGTACTCCAAGCGCTTTGCTGTCTTCCTCTCCGAGGTGAGCGAGAACAAACTTCGGCAGCTGAACCTCAACAACGAGTGGACCTTGGATAAGCTGCGCCAGAGGATCACCAAGAACTCCCAGGACAAGCTGGAGCTGCATCTCTTCATGCTCAGCGGCATCCCAGACACAGTCTTCGACCTTGTGGAGCTGGAGGTCTTGAAGCTGGAGCTCATCCCGGATGTCACCATCCCGCCAAGCATTGCTCAGCTCACCAGCCTCAAGGAGCTGTGGCTGTACCACACGGCTGCCAAAATCGAGGCCCCAGCACTGGCCTTCCTGAGGGAAAACTTGAAATCCTTGCACATCAAATTCACAGACATCAAGGAGATACCACTGTGGATTTATAGCTTGAAGACTTTGGAGGAGCTCCATCTGACAGGCAACCTGAGCGCCGAGAACAACCGGTATATTGTGATTGATGGCCTGCGGGAGCTGAAGAGGCTGAGGGTGCTGAGGCTGAAGAGCAATTTAACCAAGCTGCCCCAGGTTGTGACAGACGTGGGGGTTCATCTCCAGAAGCTCTCCATCAACAACGAGGGCACCAAGCTCATCGTTCTCAACAGCCTGAAGAAGATGGTCAACCTGACGGAGCTGGAGCTCATCCGCTGCGACCTGGAGCGCATCCCTCACTCCATCTTTAGCCTCCACAATCTCCAGGAGATAGACCTCAAAGACAATAACCTCAAGACCATCGAAGAGATCATCAGCTTCCAGCACTTGCACCGTCTCACTTGCCTTAAGCTGTGGTACAACCACATCGCCTACATCCCCGTGCAGATCGGCAACCTCACCAATCTGGAGCGCCTTTACCTGAACCGCAACAAGATCGAGAAGATCCCCACCCAGCTCTTCTATTGCCGGAAGCTCCGGTATTTGGATCTCAGCCACAATCTCTTGGTCTCCATCCCAGCAGACATTGGGCTGTTGCAGAATCTGCAAAACCTCGCTGTGACGGCCAACAGGGTAAGGAAGGGGGGTGGTATGCCCCCCCCCCACATATATATGGAGCATGTTTTCATTCTGAACTCTGGCTTAGGCGAGGCCCCAGCCCGCTGCTCCAGGAGCCCTCCGCCTTTCTTCGCAAGGCCCGTCCTGCCGGGTTGCCCACCCGGCCGCGAGCCAGGGGCTGCTCTCTGCTGAATCTCTGGTGATCTAGGCCAGGTCACGCCCACCAGGCACAGTATTAGCCTTCCCAGCACCGAGCAAACACAGTGAGCGAGTGCCCCATCTGCACCCACAAGCCACCGCGGTTGCTCCCCTTTGCATTTTAAGCCCCAGCACAAGCGCACACCCAAAGGCACACGTGCGACATGTAATTTCAGCTTGCCGAAACTATCCGCCTGAAGAACAACAAGCCTATTATTATGGCAGCAGCTATAAACAGAGCTTGGAGTTAGTTCAGTGGTCTGGTGCCCCATGTACGGTGAAGCGGGGTGTCTGGATAGTGGGAGTGGGGGGAGGAAGGGCGGGGGCCGATGAGGCAAGGGTGGAGAAGCGTGTCTGAGAGCCGCTTGCCGGCGTCCCCACAGGGCTGCGGGGAGAGCACCCCTCTGCTTCCCTCATGTGTGAACTGGCCTGGGATCAAAAATGCTTCTGAAATCAGTCTTTTGAAGCATAAATTCTATGCATGTTTAGACACAAAAGGCCCACCAGTTCCCGGAATGGGTTAGCAACTTTGCCAAGACGTCCCACCCCTTTCATTTAAAAAAAGTGGCATGCTATCAGCGACCAGAGTTGCCATGAATAGGCTTGCGTTGATGTTGGAAGCTGGGCTCAGAGGAGTTGTTGAATATGCTGGGATTCAGACCGACTTCTGCCTTGCCCTCGGTCTTTGCCATGGCTCTGTGGCAGCCATTTTGTGCTGGTGCCCAGGAGGGTTTCTCCTAGGGCCAAAGGCGCCCCTAGCCCCGAATGACAGCCTCCCCCACCCCCAGCTCTAAGCACTTGGTCAGACTCCTCAGTCTGGCTTCAAATAGTGCCCTTCACAGGACCCTGAGAGCGGTTTCCTGCCGTGTTGCAGTTAAGGCCCTGCGTTTTCCGTGGTGCTCTGCCGTACAGGGGATTCCAAAGTTCTGGAAAGCATCAGACAGTGATGAGAATACCAGCTGCCGCATTTCCAGAGAGAGCACTGGTCTGCTTACATATCACAGCCTTCCCTACTGCAACTTTAGGTGCTTATTATTATATTTCCATACCACCCATAGCTAGAGCTCTCGGACTGGTCACACCATTTGAGCCATCCAACCTGACAGATAGATAGATTGATTGATTGATTGATTGATTGATTGATTGATTGCATTTGCGTGCTGCCCCATAGCCTGAGAGCTCTCTGGGCAGCTCACACCACAAACATAGCATGGCAGCACAGATAAAAATGACAGATAAAAGGATAATAGCTAAAACTACAATTCTATAATACTAATGTAAAGTGCAAGTATAGAATGCATGCAGGAGGGGAAACCATATAAACAATGGAACCAGCAGCAGGACCGGAGAGAACATAGTCCTAAAAGCAAATACCTTACAAAAAGGCCGTGACTTGGCAACGAAAGCAGTGACGTGGGTGCGTCACGCCTCCCTTGGAAGGGAATCCCAAAGGCGAGGTGCGATGGCAGAGCAGGCCCTTTTGCTCACCTGTTCCCCGCTCACCTCGTTTCAGCCAGACCTGACCCCGCTTGCTTCCAAGTTGCCTTAAACTCACTTACTTAATCTGCAGAGAGCCTTGTGAATCCATGTGCTCAGACTGCCTGACATTGCAGGCTGGTGTTTGGCCATATCTTCTCCTTGGGACTCTTCCCCACCCCGTTTTTTCCACTGTTTTTTTCTTGTAAACATCAAGTCTGCAGAGGAAACCTGACGCTCACTTGCTACTTCACTGCTACTGAAGTTTTCTTCTGCTAAATGAAGAGACATAATAGTTGTTTGTGCTCCCTTCGTGCCCCTCTCCCGCTGCTGTAGCTGCCCGAGGGCTTGCTGGAGGAGAGTTCTTTTCTTCCAGGGGAAGGAAACCTGAAGCCTAGCATGTTTTTGCAGAGCAGAGCAGAGCAAGGGAGGCAAGGGGGGCTTGGCCCGGGGGGCATTGCGAGGCCTGGCCAGTACTGGCAGCCACAGTGCCAACAGATGTTTGGGCTTCACTAAGTCCCGAGTCAGTGGTGGGGAAGGGAAGGCCAATAAGGGGTCCTTGAGACCACCAGGGCCCTGCCTGATTGTTTCCTTTCGCCTGACTCTCCTTGTACCCCCCAACCCCCCGCAATCTTTCTCCTTTCACCAGATCGAGAGCCTCCCCGCCGAGCTCTTCCAGTGCCGGAAACTTCGGACTTTGCACCTGGGCAACAACGTGCTGCAGGCCCTGCCCTCCCGGGTGGGCGAGCTGGCGAGCCTGTCGCAGATCGAACTGCGAGGCAACCGCCTGGAGTGCCTGCCGGTGGAGCTGGGCGACTGCCCTCTGCTGAAGCGGAGCGGGCTGGTGGTGGAAGAGGACCTCTTCAACACCCTGCCCCTGGAGGTCAAGGAGCGGCTTTGGCGGGCGGACAAGGAGCAGCCCTGAGGCTCTTTCGCAGAGGGGCAGGGGCAAGCCAGCACCTCAGACCAAGTAGCCAGGGGGGAGCCGCTGCCTGTCCCGCCCCCTTGTTCCCTTTCCCAGCCAGAACCAGACGAGTCAAGACCCCTGCTCAGCCTGCCGCACGTGGCGAGACCGCCCGCTCCTTCGGGACGAAGGCTTTGAGGGAGGCGAGGAGGGCCGAGGGCGGCCGGGGCAAGAGGACCAGCTGCGCAGACGGGAGACGGTGTTGTACGTTGCTGGACGGGAAGTATGTGATGCCGCTGCTCTCGCTGCCAGGAAGGGGGACCCCAGCTTGTGCTAAACGCTCGGAGCTGTCCCTGGATCAAAAAGCCGGACCAGGGCGGCAGCGCGACGTGCCTGGCCCCATCCAGCCTTCCCGCGGCAGCGCCATGCCTCCCGCACCCGAGCCCTCGGCTGTCGCGCAAGCCAAAGACGGGATTCTTTCTTCAGCCTTTCTTTCACGACATGACGGCCCTCATTTTGTGGCACGCCAGCTGAACCACTGGCTCACTGGGTAGGCGGCCCTTTGCAACTGGGCACCCTCTAGGTGCTCTGGACAGTGACCTCCTGCATTCTGGACCGTGGGACGTGTTGGCTGGAAGCTGGAGTCCCTGTGCACGTGGAGGGCAGAGGCTGAGCTAGGCCGTTTTTGGAGGAGGTGATCAGAAGACGTTTGTTCTTTTTTTCTTCCTGCGCCCACCACTCTTGATGCTGGCATTGTTTTTTAAATCTTCTGTTGTTTTACCTTGGATCACTATGCAAAATGTGACTTTCTTCTTCAAAATCCCGCTCCCTCCCCACTGCCCTTTCCTGTTCTGAAATTGGATCTAAACCTGATTCATTTGTTACCCATTCCTGGATGGGACAAACCATAAAATGCCACGACTCCAAGGTGTTACCTGACCTAATCTTTTGTCTGGATAAGGATACTGGTCTGTAAAAGTGATTTTCCAGTAGCAAAGCCCCTTTGGTGGCAGAAATCATAATCTACACGGAGCAGTGTGTGTATTTAATTTCTGAAACTGACTTCTAAACAGTTCTTTTCCCTCCTAACACTTGGGGGTGTTTGAAACACTGCAGTCAGTTCAAAAACATCCCTTTGGAGAGGAGATGGTGATTTAAAAACACTAAGAGAGACAGCATTCCTCTGCATCAGGGCTGACCAGAAGCTGGGCCCAATGTTTTGGATTTCGGATTCCAAAAGTCTCTGACGAGCATGGCCAACGATAGGAAGGCTGGGAACTGAAGTTGCCACGTGCCTCTGGAAAACTACCTTCTGTCAGTCCTGTTCTACTTTCTCTTTTGGGCACGTTTTGAGATGCTACCAATATTTTCTCTAAGGCTAAAACTACAACCCTTTCCCCTTTATGATTTTTTAAAATATAGCAGCTGGTCTGTTTTTGGTTTTTGCTTTCCTGGCAACTGTGTAGCCTGAGAAGCATCGGGTCTTTTCTGCCCTTCTCAGAACTTGTCGCCGGGGCAAGCAGCCTGGTTGCTGGATCTTGGTGACTGGAGCTGAGCAGTCTGGTCTGTATGCCTTTAATTCCCTCTTCGGCATTAAAAGAAGAGCATAACACACCTTTGAAGGGGCTTGTGTGCTTTGATTTCCTGCTTCTAGGAGGTCTTGCACTAAGAATCAAGGAACCCATAAGAATTTGCACTACTGTTCGGTCCATCTGTCTAGCGGGAAGGTGACTTTTTTTAATGGCAACAAACTCGTTGTAAAAACAGGCACTCGGAGCACAGCGTGTCCTGGGGCTAGAAATTGCTCTGTTCAGTAGGGTGGGGCTCAAGCCTCTGGCAGGGAAGGGAGCAAGCGGTGGCAAGCCTTTCAGAGCTTTTGCCTCCAGCCGGAAAGGTGTTGGTTGTGGCCCAGCGTGCTTGTGCTTGTGAACGTCCAAGCCCCGCTCCCTTCTCCCCTTGTCGATGTTTCTGGCAGTAAAGAGGATCCAAAAGCCACCTCTAGCTTCTGCGTTCTTCCGCATCCGATGTAATAGGAGAAAGGCACCCCCTGCCCTGCACACTCGCCATGCCGAAAAGCCACGCTCACCAGGCACCTGGTCTTGTCAATGTTTAAATAAAGCTACATGGATATCCGGAAAAAAACTGGGTCCGCTCCTTTTATTTGTAAGTAGTTCTAAGATGAGGGATCCATGTAGTGGGAACAAGGTCTGTCTGTCAGCCTTGCCTAACTGGAGTGCTTGAGGTGTGTTGGGCTCGTACGGGGATTCTGGGAGTTTTAGTCCGGTGCCCCTCAAGGGCACTGGTTAGGTACGGCTGCTGGAGAGGCTTCTCAGGAAGGTCTTTCAGGCGTTACAGCAGGGATGCAGAACCACTCACCAGCGGCCCCTTCGTTTTCACCCTTTAGCTTGGTGCACGTGGATTCTGCCAGGCACTGGAAGACCCTCCTGTTGGAAAAGGTGCGGTGTCAGAAACACAGAAACCGGGCAAGTCAGAAGGGACCTCCCGGGCCATCTAGTCTGACCCCCGGCTCCAGCCGGCTCTGCTCACGTGCATGTCGTGCTTATCCTTAAACACCCTCACCGATGGGGCTTCAAGCACCTCCTGTGGAAGCCCACTGCACACTCATCCATAGAATCATAGCAGAGCTGGAAGGGGCCATGAAGGCCATCGAGTCCAACCCCCTGCTGTTGCAGGACACCAGTTCACACCATCCCACTCAGGTGGCTGTCATCTTCTCACCTTGAGGCTAGGGAACTGCTTTTTGTTAAGTTCTGCCTCACCTCTCTTGGCACCTGTCAAGAGTCCACTTTCTAGCACTGACCAATGCTTAAAAGTTGCCAAAAGCTGCCACCTGGTGCAGTGTGTGCTTGGGAGCTCAGCTTGCTGCTCGGGTTGTGGACCCAGTGTGCTTGCAGACCATTTCTTTTAAACTTTTCTTAGACATATCCAGATTTGAACTTGTGCAGATGTACACGAGTCCGAGCAGCACAACATTCTTGTACATCCTGAAGAAAAAGAAAAAATCGAATAAGTTATCAAGGAAGATGGAAGGAAAGGTGTGGGCCGTCCATGAAATGCAGGTGGAAGGAGGCTGTTACCAGGCAAGGTTCCCAGGCCTCCCTCAGAGAGAGCCCTGTGGAAAGCGTGTTGGTGCAGTGCAGCCCGGATCTAGTCAGAGCGTTGCACCGGAGGCACGGCAAGCATTCCGGCCACGTAAGGAAACTTGGAGAGAGGTGGAGGCTCGGTGGGGGATGTGGGAGTTCCCAAGCTCCATCAGAGGGCAGCAGCTCTTCCGGGGAGTCCAGCCGCTGTCCTAAATTGCCATGAGTGGGTGGCAGGCTTCCCTGAAACGGGAAGCGATTCTCGGTGCCAAGCTTGGCTCCGGCTCCTCTACAGGAGAGCCATGTGCCCAAGAAGTTGCAAGCATCATTCCATTACCATTAAGCACAAGCGTCCGCACAGGCCAGACGCTGCGGGAGAGCAGTGTGCCTGAAACAGCCAGAGGGAAAGGACTAACCGCGGGGAGACTCGGAAACCCATAGTGAGTCGGGTGGGGAAGGTGCTGAGGGGAGCAGGAGGTGGATGAGAGCAGCTGCCAGCGAGCAGAGAGCCGGGGGGAATGCTGGCTCCGAAGGAAGAGGAAGAGGTGGGCACCCAAGGGAGGGCAGTGCAGTCATGTGGCACTTCGAAAGCCTTGCTGCCCCGGAGGGGGCCCCACGGAAGGGTCCGCCCGGGAGACGGACCTGGCTCGCCTATGCAGCTTCGGAAGGGTGGGCCTCACGGGGTGCCAGCTCCCTTTATCATGCTCTAGCACAGGAAATTAACAGTTGCTCGCAAGGCGAGAGGTTCTGCAAAGCCTGCCTGGAACTCCTCTTGGTGGCAGTGACGTCAGCTGGTGTGTCTTTTGCATCGTGGTCGGTTAGAGGTGCGACTCGACAGCTTGACTACAAAGCGCTCCACACGGAATCCTCCAGCTGACCGCAAACATCTCCAGCTGGGTTGTTCACACACGGTTCAAAAAGAGGAAAGGGGTCCCCGGAAACCGAGGCTGCCAATCTGCCTACTGGTTGCACATGCCCAGGTATAGCTGCCAACTGCAAAAGAGTGATTATAATCTAAATCGGTTTGGGAAGTCTGGGGGCAAAAGCCCCTCCCCGAGCGGCACCTCCAGCACCCCCTAGTAATTTGACAGCTGTATCTGGAGAAAGTGTGCTGAAAAATCAAAATACTTTGGAGGCTAATTTTGACCGTCCTGCCTGCTCTTCCTACATGGGACCGGAGTCCAAACCAGGACTGGAGAGCCTGTCCATCGGAGAAAACCCTTCCAGTAGAGGACTGTCCCCGGTAGAGCAGCCCCCAGCGACTCCTTTAGCGAGACTGGAACAGCGGGGAGGAGCAGGGGCAGCTCCTCGGGGGCGGAATTCGATAGCCTTGCTCTCCCACATGTCTGCCGGGACGCTCCGAGACGCCGAAATGGGGCTCACAAAGAATGGTCCAGAAAGCTGGCAGCTCCGGGCCGCCGCAGTGGCTTCATTCTGCATGCGTCTGCCAGCTCCTGTTCCGAGCCGGACTAGTGGAATGCTGGAAAACGAGTTCTCCCCATCCCGTTCCCTCTGCTCGTCCCCATTCTGGCTCCGCAGTCTGGCAAATGCCATGGGGACCCGACTTGTGCTGCGGGAACGCAGAGGCCTCCCCTTGGAGATGCATGAGGGCGATTGTTCCGAGAACAAGACACGAGGCTGCCAGCTTCTGGGTAGCCTGTTGACGGGGCACGTGATGTTCCTCCGGCGTCGCTCTTGCCCTTCCCCAGCCTCAGGACGAGGGATCGAGAAGTCCTGGCACGACCCGTTGTTCTCCCCGCATCCTGGGGGAATAAACAGCGCTAGAACGCCTTAAAACAAAAGCTGTCATCTGCTCTTTTTTGGAACAGCACCTGGGAATTAACTGCTGGATAAAGGCTCTAGTCTGTGTTTTTCTCATTAAGGGCTGCCGGCTAGCTGCAGTCTTGTTTTATCTAAACATCACTGTATCCAAACAGAGGACAAAACAGAACAAAACAAAAGCAACATATGCTAAAAAGCGACACATGAACAGCAAGCAGAGAAAGAAAAACGGGCACTAACAGTTTATCCAGCACAGATGCTTAGCTAGCAAAGAAATGCCCCCTCCCCCCCCCGCACTCTGTTAATCTGTCACCTGGATGTGGAAGGCAGGGGAATCCGCGGAGCGTGTGGTTCAGCATTTAGCTCGGAGTTCATGGCACTGTCTTGCAGGCAATACGGCATTCCTGCTTTGGAGTGGTAGAGGCTGGAGGGTGCCTTGCATCAGCTGGCAGGGGAGTGGACCCCGCAGCCCGGAAGGGGCAACTCCGTGTTGGAGGGGCCTGTGGGGCCGCTTGCCAGGGGTGGTGGGGCCGCTTGCCAGGGGTGGCGGGCCGAAAAGGCAGGCCTACTTGAGCTGAAAGCTCCTACTGCTGCTAGAACGCAGCCTTGGGTATTTTGACCTTTGAGGATTACGGGGGGGGGGGCAGTACAAACATTGGGAAACCACTCAGTGACCAACAGTGAGGGCGTGGGTCCACGTTCATCGGAGGAATCCAGGAGCCTGGGTTTGGTCTCAAGGTCTAAGGTCCAAGGTTCTGCACCTCCACAGTATGGAAAAATTGTGGGAATGAACTGTGTGGCTGAGAAATGTGAGTGGGAAAACTCAGGCTGGAAGCAGGACTAGGGAAGCAGGGGGAGGCCGGAGATGCCGGCATGTCCGCTGGATAGAAGCCCCCAGATGCAGGACTGAATTGTTCGGCGGGGTTGTCCATCTGCCCCAAGGCAGGAAAGCCTGTGTGGCCAGGAGGAGCATCTCTGCTCCAGGCTCCCTGTGCGGCCAGCCAGGCTTTGCTGGATGGCCACGTCTGCCCTGCCCTGCCCTGCCCTGCCCTGCCCTGCCCTGCCCTGCCCTGCCCTGCCCCGCTCCTTCGGCCATGGCTGTAGAACAGCCTGAGGTGGCAACGAGTTGGCACCTCACTGCCTGCCCCACTTTGCCTCTGGCCCCTCCAACCCGGGGATGTGGCCATGCTGCTTCTCCTCGGGTGGAAGCCTGTTGTCCCAAAGCCATCCTTACGAGCCGTGCGGGTGCCGGTTTGCTTTTAATATGTCCCGATTATTCGTCCGTGGAACAAATGCAGGAAGACAGGAAGATGTCCCTGCACTGAACAGCTGTGGACACCACTGCCTCCTTCCACACCAGCCCGCCTGGCTCTCCTTCACGGAGGCCTCTCCAGGGGTCCCTCAGCCGTCCGTGGTGGCAGGGGAAGCACTCGGAAGAGGGCTTTTTGGTTGTGGCACTCCATCCCCGCGTCTGCTTGCCCCTCGAAGACAGAGCCATCTGTTCCCAATGTCAAGTCAAACGCTCTTCTAATTCCTCCAGGTTTTCAGAATGCGTCATTTGCTGTGCTTTCACCTCGCTGCGGGATCCCATGCCCGCCTCTGCAACACCTCACACAAAGTACTTTGTGTGTGTGTGTGGGGGGGGGGGAGTCATTTCTTAACACTGAGGGACCCCATTCATCTACTTTGGGAGGTTCAGTTCCAGTAAAGATGAGCTTTGAAGAGCAAAATAGATTACTGAAAAGCTAGAAAAGAGAACAGATCTTTGCTGGCATCAAAATGAAATACCAACCCTTAATAATAAGTATCCAAAGGTATGTTGATAGGAGGCGGCAAGCTTTCTCAGGATGTGCAAGAAAACTTACAAACGACTCTGGGAGCGCATTCTTTTGTGTGAGCACTTAGAGTTAATAAAGTAAACTTTTGTAAGATGGGAGCGGTTATAGATAGAGCAGCTATTTGAAAAAAAAGTTCTGCATTCGTTGTGTTGGAATATTGTGCTATTCTGGTGAGAAAACACCGAACCTGCGCAAACGGGCTTTCCACTCCACAGGAAGGCCAGCTTCCCGTGCAGTTTTGCTTCCGCTGCTCCTTTTCACTGCATGTGCTGCATCTTATACAAGGCAATACCCCGGACGGGGTGGATCACCCAGGTCGCTCCTGGGAGCTTGGACAGGGGTCCCTGCATGCTGACCGGCGGCAGTTGATGATCAGTAAGGGCCAGATAGGCTGTTTTCTGCACGGAATGAAGCATCTGGGTTCAAGGTGCACTGTTTCATTTCACTGCCAGTTCTCCTAACCTCCCAATTTTGTGGTGGGATTGATTTTGTTTTTAAAGGCTGTGCTTCTTTTGTTTTGATATGTCAGCTAGCTTGTAGCAGCTTGCGAAATGCTTGGCGACACAGTGACCATCTGGAGTGAACGCAAAGAGGACCGTCAAAGTCCAAAGAAGCACTGAGCTGACGTAACGGCACAGGGCCCCATGGTTTTATCATATGGCAAGAGAAGATCCGGGATAAGAGCAGTGGAGAATTAACTGCTCAGAAGGGACGCAGCGTGCCAACAGAGCTCTCTCCGCTGCTCGAGCATTTGACCTTCCATGGCCCCTCTCACTCGGGAGGAGATCCAAAAGGTAAGGCAGAGAGTGAGCAGAAACAAACTTGCACCCCGTCCCCAGAAAGGGGGAGGCAGGAAAGTTTGTGCCGGCCTGTGCTGGACAGTTGTTTTGATGTAGCAAACGGGGTCTTCACCCTTCTCCGCAACTGGGCCTTGCGGCCCGTGCGCACCGACTTGCTTTCTGCAAGCCGGGCAGTATACTGACGTTCTAATGGGGGGTGGGGGGGTGGGCAGGCTTTTTTCCAGTCCCCCTCCCTCATGGCCACGATTCGCCTCTTTTTCGGTTACCACCTCTAAATCTGAAATCTGCTCATCTGTCTCTCAAGAGATAAGCTGCTTGGGAGCCTTCTATAATCGGCAACGAGTTTGCGGGAACTGAGAGGCCGTTTCATCACAAACACCTCAAGCAGAAGGAGAGGGGAGACATGAACTCAAAAAAGGGGGGGGGGGAGAAAAAACCTGTACATTAGGGCAATCCCTCTTTGTCCCAGCCATTTCAACGGAAAAGTTTTTCCCATCAAGTAAGAGGTCCCCAACCCAGCATCTGCCAGGTATTTTGGACTTCAACTACCATCAGCCGTGGCCAGCATTGCCAGCTGTCAGGAATGCTGGGGACTGTAGTCCAAAACTCACAGAGGCTGCCCTGTGGAGGGAGTTTGCATACTTAAACCGGGTTTGGTAGCTGGGGTTCATGTTGGGTTGCATTCGGGATCCACCTTCCACGAGACGGAAGATCCTGTTGGCAAGAGGATCTTGGTGTTTTCAGGGTTTTGTCTTTGTCGGGATGTTTTATTTTCACCACTTTGATACTTCTGTGGGAAGCAGGCTTATCCCTTTGAATAATCAATCACTAGATACAAGAGCTGGCCTGTTTGTGGCGGGAGGGGAGAGATAGAGCCACCAGATGCTCCTCCTCCAGGTGGGTGCCCTTCCAGTGAGTTGGACTACAGTAACCATCAGCCTCAGTCACCTCAGCCTGTGCCTGGGCCCTTGGCTGTCTGAAGAGCTGCTAGAGGCCGGGCCGATGACAAAGGCATCTTCTCCCTCAGTTCCGCCGAGACGGATTCCTGGTCCTCGAAGAGTTTTTCAGCGCCGAGGAGTGTGATGCGATGAGGGCCCAGATCCAAAGGATCGTTGCCGAGATGGATGTGCCTCCGCACTGCCGCACAGAGTTTTTGACGAAGGAGCAGGAGCAGCTGCAGGCGCAGGTAGAGGGCTAGCGCAGCTGGCGGGGTAGCTTGTTCAGAGCAGGGGTGCTCAGCCTCCGGGCGGCAGGCTGGATGTGGCCCGTGGGGAGCCCCGGAAGCCCTTGGCCCCAGCTGCAGTCACTGGGCGGCTCTCCAGCTTTGCCCCCTCCTCCCAACGGCCTGAAATGCCTCTCCAGGTGCTTAGTCAGCAGCCGAAAGAGCCTTAAGATACGCTGGCCGTTCTGGCCTCGCACCCCTTTGCCCCTAGCCCTGCCCTCATGTTGCTTTCGGCTCAACCAGTCCCTGGAATGCGGCTCTGGAGAGCTCCTTCGGGATGGCTGGAAGGAGTCCGGCCCCCTTGATGGAAACCCCGGCGGCCTCGCCTGGCTGCACGAGCACCTTGCTGTGGAACGCCTTTGCATCCACGGTCGTTTTAAAGGATGTTTGTTTTCATGGAGATTCCCGTTCCTTCCTTCCTCAACACACTGGCCTTCCTTTCTGGGGAAAGATGCAGGTATGCAGCTTTGTGGTGTGCCCACAATCAAGCCCCTTTCCTTTCCTGCAGAGTAATTGTTTGCCAACCCTGCTTTAAAAACTGGCTCTGAGCATGTGTGGCCTTGCCGTTCAGGCTCACGTAAAACACGGCTCCTTCATGGCTGGAGGTGAAGAAGGCGCTTTGTGGTCCGCGTCCGGGGGGTGGGCGGCTGGGCGGCAGGTCAGGGCAGCAGGACCCAGGCAGCCGGCACGATACACCGGCCCGTTCAAAGCTGTGGTCAAGCAGCCCAGAGATCAAGGCGGGTGACAGAAGGGCAAGGTGGTGGTCGTGGCTACCATGTTTCCCCGAAAATAAGACAGTGTCTAATATATATTTTTTGGCTCACAAAAACATACTAGGTCTTATTTTTGGGATAGGTCTTATTTTTGGGGAAACATGGCAATCTGCTCACCATTTTCGGACCAATCGGAGATCCAACTTCTTCTCTTTGCAGTAAGCTGTAAGATTTTTGTCGCAAGAGTCCTCTAAGATTCTTTTCTTGTACTCGACAGAATAGCTCTTCTTTTTGCACTCATCTTGTCTGGGGGTCAAAATAATATTCGGTTTAAATCTACCATTAAATACGGTACCATACCATAATACTGTACGGGTAGAAGACTTACAAGACAGGAGTGAATGGCAAAGTTAAGAAGAGGGTGATCAGGGCAACGGGTGCCTTACCGTCCCGAGAGCAATTTGGCAACCGATCGCTGGCCAGAATGAGCAAAGCGCGCTTTCACCCTCCACGCCTCACAGGCACCTGACTGAAGGTGCTGACCGAAAAGTTTTTTGTTAATCATCAGTAAGGGAAAAGGGTTTTGTTAATCATCAGTAATCATCATTTGCTAACTGCCACATACCCTGCAACACTCCTTATCAGCTCACCATACCACGGAGGGAGCAGAGCCGCACAAGCCAGCTCCTGGCACAGGTGGGGTACATTTGGCATCGCTCCGCCTGTGGCAGGAGCCGGCGCTATAGAGGAAGCATCGGCTCATGCGGCTCTGCTCTCTGGGAGTGGAGGGAGCAGAGCTGCATGAGCATGTTTGCTCCACACAGTGCATTAAGTTAAAGTTAAGTTAAACAATGAAGTTTAAAAAGGCTTTTTATGTTCCCCACTGACCCTGGGAATAAACACAGCTAGGTCTTATTTTCGGGGTAGGTCTTATATTTTAGCAAGTACCAAAAGTAGTACTAGGTCTTATTTTCGGGGAAACATGGTACTTGTGAAGTAGGGCAAGGCAGGCCAATCCGAATAGGGCAGAGCAATCTGAATGCCAGTCAGGAGTCAAAAGCCAGAGAGACAAGCCTAGGAGAAGCGGGTACCTGGAGCTGGAGCAGGTGAAGCCGGGCATGGGCAGAGGCAGAGGCAGGAGCAAGGTGGCGGGCAGGGTCTCCAGAAGCAGGTTCCAGAAGGCACAGGGAGCTCCAACAGCACCAAGGCCCTTGGTTGCTGAGGCCGCGTCTGAAGGGAAGAGCCGCTTCTGAGCCCCTCCTCCCTCAGGGCTCCCAGGTGGCGCTCGCAACATCCCAGGTGGCTGCGATGGACTGTGGACCCAGGGCTGCTGTCCTGCTCTCTGGCCAGAAGAGGGAGCCCTGGTGCTGCCTCAGAACCACAGCTGTGCTTTGAGTGCTCATTTTGGGAGCATAGACCTTGGTGTTACTTTCACTTGTGAAACGAAACGTTTTAGCAACATGGAGGACTGTCCTTTTTGAACACTTTAACTTGTGGGGCATCCTGGGAGCTACTGGGATACCACAGAGGGTATTTTTGGGGTGGGGAGCAGGTTCCTATGTGGGTCTAACCTCCTTGCATTTGTAGTAACAAGAAGCCTGTGATGCATCAAATATCAGAGACTAATCTCACGGATCTCTTGCATTCCAACCTGGTGAATTTCTGATGCATTGGCCAGCAATGCCCATGATTCCCATGCTGGCTGGGCATGATGGGAGTTGCAGTCCAAGGCATCCAGAAGGCGCCAGTTTGCGGAAGGCTTGTGCCCCAGTGAAGAGTCAGGCTGCAGCATAAACGCTGATGCTAATGCAAATGCATGTTTGCTTTTTGGGATCCACCCAGGGCAGCGCAGAGTATTTCCTTACCAGCGGAGACAAGATCAGGTTCTTTTTCGAAAAAGGTGTTTTCAGTGAAAAAGGTAATCTTCTTTCGACCTAATGCTGGAGATACTCCCAGAGGTGGGAAACACGGCCAAAGATTGCTTTACAAGATGCTTGCTCTGTAGAGTTCCCATAAGCCAAAATACCTTTATAGCATTATCTCATTCAGTCTGACGTGTCCAGGTGAATCTGGGCCAGTCGCTGACTCTTGGCTGACCCTACCTCACAGGGTTGTTGTGACAATAAAATGAAGGGGAGGATTATATAAGCCACCAAGCTTCTTTGCAGGAAAAAGGTGGGATATCAGGATGATGATGATGAGGAGGAGGAGGAGGAGGAATCATTTTGAATCAGGGGAGTCACCAACATTCTCTGCCAACTTCTTGTATCTGTACATAAGCTGCAACTGGCCTGATTTTAGGGTTAGGGTTTGGGTTGGAGATGTGGCAAAAAGCTTATTTGAGCTGGTTCTGAGAGGCCTCCCAGTCCTCTGGCTGATCTGCTTTTCCCTTTCTTTCCATTTGGGTGTCCTTTGCTTCTTAGGAGAGTTTCTTGTTCCACGAGAGCGATCGATTTGCAAAATTGGCCATGGTAAGGACCGTGGGACTCCTATGGGGGTGGCATGGGGCGCCTGTAGCCCCCATGGAGGGGTTGCGTGTGTGGCAGTACTGGTCTGTGCTGAGATCCAGGAATGGCCTTGCTCTAAAATGGGATCACGTGGATTTAAACTGGAACTCTTAAGAGCACTTACCCAGCACGGTGTTCCACTGGATTTCAGAAAATCCAGACCTTACCTGGAGTGCTGTGTCCAGTTCTGGGCACCTAAGTTTAAAAAAGATGCAGGAAAACTTGGAAGCGTCCAGAGGAGGACAACAAGCCTGATTCAGAGACTGGAGGCCAAGCCCTGTGGGAGACCAGTGGGCCTGTCTGGCCTCAGAAAGGGAAGCCTGAGGGGAGACAGGACAGCTCTCGACAAGAACCTGAACGGCTGTCACAAAGAGGAAGGACAGGGCCTCCTCTTGTTCATTCCAGAGTGCAGGACACAGAATAATGGGCTGGAATTAAAATAAACCAGATTTAGACTGGACACCAGGAAGAACCTCCTGACTGTCAGAGCAGTGGAACCAATTACCTGGGGAAGTTGTGGGCTCTCCCTTGCTGGAGACATTCAAAAAGTGTCTGAACAGTCACCTGTATGGGATGGTGTGGCTTAGAGTCCTGCAACAGCAGGAGGTTGGACCTGATGGCCTTCTTGGCCCCTTCCAACTCTACTGTTCTACGATTCTACGAAATGTGGACAGCAGAAGTGTGGCACTTCTAGCTCACAGGCATAACAGAAACATAGAAACCGAGCAAGTCAGAAGGGGTCTCCAGGGCCATCTAGTCTGACCCCCGGCTCCAGCCGGTCCGCTCATGACATGCCCACCATGTGCATGGCCAGCCTAACTGTTTCCTGTGAGGGAGTCTTTTGACTCCCTGGGTCTCCTGGGGTTCCTGATTCCCTGGGCTGGATTCCCGAGGCTGGACCCCCCCTAGAGAAGGGGTAGGGGGGGCTGCGTGGCTGGGGCATGGAAGGGCAGCCACCCCTCCTAGAAAGGACCGGTTACCTTCCTCTGCATTACAGTGCGGAGAAAGGCAGAAGGCGGGGAGGACACCCAGTCAAGCCTGCGTGGGGCCTGGGGAAAGCAGTCCAGCCCCATTTCCGGGCTCGGGCTTTGGCCTACTTCTGCTTTTCTCCCGCTCTTTCAGCACTGCACGCCCACGACCCCATCTTCAAGCGGGTCACTCACGCCTCGCAAGTGCAGGTAAGCAGACGCACCATTTCTGCCTCTCAGGTGCATGTTTTGTCAGGATCAGTGCTCATTCGGGCTCCGCTGTTCCTGCAGCATCCCTAGTTGTTAAAGTTAGGATGTGTCTGCAGAGATTGAGCCCACTTCTCTCAAAATGCAACGTCGCAAGAGATTCCGGACTCTGCATCTGAACAAAAAAACCTAGAGGCACTTTTGTGATAGCATCTTGATCTCACCGTACATATGCGCACACACTGGTTGCAAACACAGAAACAGAGCGAGTCAGAAGGGGCCTCCTGGGCCATCTAGTCTGACCCCTGGCTCCAGGCGGCTCTGCTCATGACATCCTGGCATCTAGATGGAACCTTGGTTCCCTGAGCTTTGCTCCATTGGAACACATCCTGCCCTCCTCTGCAGGGGAAAAAAGGTCACGACCCACCTCTGTGTGACACCCCCTCACGTATCCATGTCACTAACAGGTCCCTTCTGAGTCTCCTCCAGGCTGAAAAGACCCAGTTCCCTGAGTCTTGCCTCATACGGCTTTCCCTGCAATCCAGTCACCATCCTAGTGGCCCTTCATTGCACCGATTCCAACCTTGCTATATCTCTCTTGTAATGAGGGGCCTGAATTGAACACAGTTCTCCAGCTGCAGGCACACCAGAGTTGTGTAGATTGGTAGTAATACCTCTCTCGACCTAGAAGCCACACTTCTGGCTATGCAACCAAGGGTGGCGTTCGCCCTCTTGACCACCGCATCACACGGCTGACTCATGTTCAGCCTGCAGTCGCCCAGCACCCCGAGGTCCCTTTCACAAGGGCTGCTCTCCAGCCACTTGTCCCCCAACCTGTACTTATGACACCCATTCCTATGCCCCAAGTGCAAGACCTTCCACTTACCCTCACGGAACGCCATCCTGTTGTCTCCTGCCCACTTCCATAGTCTGTCCAGGAAGAGAGCCACTGGTGGCTTGGACTGGGGAGCAATGAAGGGCTGCTCTAATTCTGGCATCTTTTGTAGGCGTTGGCAAAAGAAATTGGGCTCAGGCGTCCTGTGGTGGTGCAGAGCATGTACATCTTCAAGGTAATCTTGGCCTTCCCTCCATGTGGCAAAGAACAGGACGGGGCTTTGGTTTTTCGCTCCAGTGAAATGCTCTCTCTCTCTTTCCATAGCAACCTGGCATTGGAGGTGAAGGTGAGGCCTGCATTCTTCCCCCACTGCAATGCAGAAGTGCTGAAGGGGCTGGCTTGGCCTGCCTCGGAGTCCCACTGCACCCCTTCAAAATGCCCCGTTCGGTTATCCTTCTTTCCCTGAACACCAGTCTCTGGGTGACTGCCCCGTTTTGGAATGGGTTTCCCTGCTCCCGGCTGTAAATGCTCGAAAGGTGTCTTTCCAGTCTTTCCTGTGAACGGCGAGAGCTTGAAGTTAACCTAAGCAGGTCTGGAGAGCACCTGAGGGCCAGCCCACCAGTGCAAAGTCCGCACAGTGGAATCGGAGGAGGTTTGACGCCCGCTGCTGCAGCACAAGCCGGCGCTGGCACTGCTGCTGCAAAGTGGCGAGAGAGTTGCCCTTGGGACTTCAGAGATCTGGGTTCAGACCCACTCGGTCTTGAAGCTCCCTGGGTGACTTTGGGGCAGTCACTGACTCAGCCTAGCCTACCTCACAGGGACGTTGTAAAGGTAAGATAGAGGAGGAGGAGGAGGGTTATGTAAATTGCCTTGGGGTTCACTGTTGTCTTCAACTTTCTTACATCCACACATCATGCAGAACCAGGCAATCGGATGGGGGGTTTCTACCCCCACTGCACAGAATGCAGCCTGGCTGGGGGGGCGGGTGTCTGTCCCCTGTCAGTGCCCCCAGCTAGCAAGTCAGAGGGAGAGGCCAACCCCGGGCGTTTGTCACTTGGAAACTCAATGCTTGCCTGAGAAAGGTCAAGCACAAAGCATTTACCTTTCACAGGTAGTAACAAACCTGGGAATGAAACTTGAGAGGTAGTTCTATAAACTCTGAGATTAGTCAAATGGAGGTGGGGAGCACAGGGACCAAAACTGAAGTGGTCCCGTGTGCCTCTCCCATATTTGGAGGCAGACAATTTTTTTAAACAATAGAAGCATTTGCATTGTGGATTTTTTGAAGGGTGTTAGAAATTCCCTGAACAACAGGGGTATAGAAACACCTCCAGCCAAAAGGGCCAAACTCCATCTTGGATAAGCTGTTGAGGGCCACGTGCCAACAGCTGGAAACATTCCGATGTTTCAGTTTTTCACTAATCCGTACTGAAGACTCATTGGAAGCCCTCCATCCTTTGAGAATGGGGAAAACGTTGTTCAAAAGCTATGAAGCTACCACACCCTCAGTGCTGGGGTCAGGAAGAAGGATCCATGGGGCAATTGGTCTTGCAGAGACACAGGCCTGCCCCCCTCTTCCAGAGCCCCCCCCCCAGGTTACAAGGGCGGGAAAAAGGGTACAGAGGTCACCGGGGGGGCGATGCGGCACTGCTCGGTATTCGAAACGGAAGCCTCTGCCTGCAGTATCACTGTCACCGATAGCATTACAATCAAGAGAAGGGCAGAGCAACGAGATGAGGGCTCACAGCTGCAAGGGCTTTCGAAATTTCTACCGCTGGGAACACCCCCCCCCCCCCCCGTGCGGGGGCTTCTGCGGCCCCCGGCAGAGGAGTGGGAGGCAGGCAACCCACGACCGCCACCACAGCCTGCAGCTGTGCACAGAGGAGTGCCAAAAGCCTTGCGACCACACAGGCGCTGGCTCGGCACCACGTCCGGCTGTGGAGGAGATACTCATGCAAGGAGGCCAGCCCTGTTGGAGGCAGGCGCTGGTGGCGGCCATGTTAGATGCGCAGGTGCTAATCAGGACGGGCCCCATGGCCGCCCTGCCATTCCCGGGGAAGTGCCACACAGCCGGGTATTTGTGGAGGTGGATCCAGGTCAACCAACCTCTCCCTAGTGGTTTGCACCTCCACCAAGGGAATTGGGTCTTAATTCAGTCTTGAAACACTCCAAGAGTTTGCCCTAGAGAGGAAATCGCGCATTTTTGCTGGGAAAATTCTCCCCCACCAATGCATCAGGAATCTTACATCCTTGCACGACACCAGTGCTTGCAACATTGCAATGGCTGGAGACACAATTATCGACAGATGGGAGCCACGCCAGAGGCAGAATTGCTCTTCGTACCTTGCTGGGCACAGGGATGGAGCGTACCATTGTGCTCATCCTCCGGTTGGGCCTCTGAACAGTCACCCTGGGGCAAGACAATGGACTGCACAGCCTTGCTCTGATCCAGCTGGGATTGTTCTTAGGACCAGCAAATTCGAGAAACCATTGTTTGCAAGCCACTGCCGATCCAGCATGTGTAGCCAGAGCTTGACTTTGGTTTGCGGACCAGCATGTGGCTCAACGGGCAGTTGGCTGTGCATCTGAACGAGCAAACCACGGTTTGAGATGGTGCTGTACCCAGGATTCATTGGAGAGGTTGGGGAAGAGGAAGTTGATCAAACCATGCATTTTGGCACGGATTATATCCTTTCAAAATTCCTTAACAGCACATGGAAAACATCATAATGGTAAAAATAACAGCAGTAATTATACTGCACGTTCCCGGATTGGCACTGCTTCTGCACTGACTCGATGTGGGCGTGTGTGTTCTGTGTTGCTCTTAGTGACTCCGCATCAGGATGCCACGTTTCTGCATACAGACCCTCTGGGCAGGGTTGTGGGTCTCTGGATAGCCCTGGAAAATGCCACACAAGAGAACGGTTGTTTGTGGTTCATCCCTGGCTCCCACACAAGTAAGAAATGGAGGGTTTGGGATTTTACAGAACAAAATGGGGTCTTTTGCAATCACGTTCCTTTTGGAGAAAATCAGAAAATGTTAAAGTAGGAAAGGACATTTCTTAAGTTGAGTGACAGACAAGCATGTGCCCAAGGTCCACGTCTGTGACGGAGTCCGCAGGGCTGGAAAGTGGACAGAGAGGCTGTTGTGCAGGCGAGGCAGGGACGGCGAGCAAGGTCCGAGAGAGCAGGTACTCGCTGCGGGAACCCTAAACGCACGCATGTTGGGTGTCCAAGGCCCTGGCCCGGGCGGGCGGAGCCTCAGGCAGGTCCCGCCTGCTTGACGTCTTCGCGAGTTCTGCCAGGTGCCCCGGCTTGGTCACACGCCCTGCTCCTGGCCCCCCTGCTGAGACGTTCGGCACACCTACCATAGCTGCATCCATGCTAGGTCTACTGTTCATAAATAAATACAAGGTTTTGGCCTGGCGCCGAGAGGCACACAGTGTGGGTGCCAGGCGGACCTCTCTGGGGAGCGTATTCCATAACCCTTCGTGTGCAGGAGCTTTCCTGCTCATGAAAGTTTTCTCTGCAGCAGGCAGAAACCGCATCCGGTCCTTGGGCTGCACGAGGTGCCGCATGCCTGGAACGGCTCCTGAGGGCCGGCTCCGTGTGCCTGCTCCCCACGGGTTCAGGGCTGCAGCTGGGCCCTGTGGGAGCGCTCCTGCTTGCGGGCATGTCCCCTAAGGGCATCGGTGGTGCACTGCCCCTTCCTGAGACGCCGTTTCCTGGGATTGCAGGTGGGATCACTCGTCAGATGGTCCGAACCGCGCCTGGGACGGTGCCATGTACCACATTTGTGGGCCGCGAGCAGCCGTACGAGGAGAGTCGGTTTGTTCCTGCCCCTGTTGGGAAAGGTAAAACGAGGGCACAGAAAGCGTGAGAGCGAGATGACGACAGGGTGCTGCGGTGGGAGGCCGCCTGCCCCGCTCCGCTGCGCTCCTACCGAGACGGCGCTGTCCGTGTTTTGACTGCACGTAGGTGGCACTGTGCTCATTCACGGGGAGGTCGTCCATAAAAGTGAGCACAACTATTCGGAAAAGTCCCGCCACGCCTACACGTTCCACCTGATGGAGGCCGAGGGGACCACCTGGACTGCAGAAAACTGGTAGGAAGGAGGATCCCAGTCTGGGAGGGGAGCTCAGCGACCCGGACGTGCGAGTGGCCTCCGGCAAAAGGGAGCACCATAGCAACAGGCCGGCAAGGCTGTGGCCCCGCACCAGGCCCTTCTGGAGGACGTGGCTTGTCGTGTTGAGGCCTTGCGGGTTGGGGGGATGCAGGCAGTGAGGGCACAGGGCCCGGGTTTGGGTCAGAGGAACTCCTGGGGGGTGAGCGGCAACAAAAGGGATGGGCCAAGATGCTAACCTCTTTAAAGTTTCTGTCACCAGTGATGAAGAGGCATCTCCCTCTCTGGCTGGGAGGGAAAAGGCACAACAGCCCGGCAACGAGCAAGCGGCTGGGCGGGAGGCATGGCTGCCGGGACCGGTCCCAGAGGACGGGCCTGGCCCCTCGGTGACCCTGAGGCACCACACCCCGTACCAGAACTTTCCTTCAGCTGTTTCATGAGCCGGCCCACCCAGTGCCCTTGCAAACTGGTGGCTCTCGCTGTATCCAGTGGGCGCAAGCCTCGTGGCCGGATCCCGCGGTGCGTGGAGAAGCCTTTTGCTTTCTCTGCCCCTAAGCTCCCACCCGTCGGCCTCATGGGACGAGTGCTTTTGGTTCTGGCATTGAGGGGGACAAAACCGGCTCCCTCTCCACTCCCCCAACTCCGCACTTTTACGCCTCTGCCACATCCCTCCCCCCTCCCCTTTTTCCCCAAGCTAAACTCTCCCGGAGGCGCCAACCTTCCCTCACGGGGGAATCGCTCCAGCCCTTGCGTCATCATGGCTGCCCTTCTCTGAATGGATCCCTTTCCATTTCTCTCCTCTTCCAGGCTTCAGCCAACTCCCTCCTTGCCTTTCCCACCTCTATACACACACAACTAAGAACCGGGATCCTCCGAGCGCGACTGGCTGGTGGACTCTTGTGCCTGGGGCACTCCTGCCGGCTGCTCCTGGTTTTGGAGCTAGGTTTTTATTCCTGGAGTTTCTTCCTGGAGCACCTTTTCGCCTTTGGCTGGGAAGGCTGTGCTGGTGGCCCAGGCTCTGAACTGTGGCTGAGCAGGCCTGAGTTCGAACTACCACTCAGCCATGAAGATCCTTGGTGGACTCTGGACAAATCCCCCCTCCCCCCACAGCAAGGATGTGACAATAAAAGGGAACGGAGCCCCTTGTAGCAGGGCCCCCACTCTCTGAGCTTGTATGCACACCTGCAGCTTCTGACAGTGCGTTGTGGGCACGCTCACAAAATGGCTGCCATGGGGACACACCTGGTCTCAGGACACACATTTGGCAGTGGCATTCCAGGATTTTAAAATCTCCCCCTGTCCATGTGTTAAATGCAAAGGGAAACATTTAGGATGGTTCCTCAGCAGCTGCTAAATGCAGGCCTGCCGCCTCTGGTCAAGGAGGCAGCACATTGCCAGCGGGGCCGGTAGTCACGGATCGCCTCCTCCCTCATGAATCTGTCCTTGCGTCTGCAGTTAAAAAGCTTCTCATCCTAAGCTATTTATATGGTACATAGAAACGATTTAAGTTTCCTTTTCAAAATAGAAGTGAGACCTGCCAAATTGGTTCCCCGATCAATTTAAGGTGCAGGAGACTTGCTATGGAGCCCAGACCATTCTGGAGTGTGGGGAGGGGGAGGGAAGTGCCCAAATCTCAGTAATCCAAGTTACCTGAAGGACTGTTTCCTATATGTACCTGCTTCCCCCTAAGCTCACCTTTAGAAGCTCCTCTCTGGGCGTCCCTGCTGAATAAGGGGAGTGGTATTCCAGCTGGGAAAGGCTCTTCTCACGGCGGCTGACCTGCTCCTACCTTGAATGTTTGTTTGGTACCTGGAGAAGACCTTATTCTCTCTTTCAGCCCTTTAAATGTGTTTTCCTACCAGATCTTTGCTGCTGGCTTTTGTTTTCTATGTGTAAAAAGTATAAAAGTACAATGTATTATTACATCTCATGGAAGTGAATGTCATGATTTAGCCATGTGCTGGGACCTAAGTGTTGCTTTTATCCTGATAGTTTAATGTACTTGGCTCTATAATTTAATTATATCATAAATCTTGGCTTGCAATATTTGCAGCCTTGGGCATCATTTCCTCATAAAGAGAGGGTCATTAAACAAACAAGAAAAATGGAAATACAGGGCGGTGGGGAATGTTCCAAGCTCAGCTTCCTGTTTGGGCCTACAACTCCCATGATCCCTCACCACTGGCCAGGGTTGATTGGAGTTACAGCCCTCCAAGTGCTTTTGCCCACAAGTCACCCATTCCTAGTTGCAAAAGTGAAAGTAAAAATGACCACAAAGGACAGACACCTGTGCATTTCACTTTTAAATAATAATTTGGACATGGTTATCCATTTCACATCTTAACAGCCATGGTTATCACTTTGATCACACTGGCTCTGATAAAGCACAAATACGAATATAACCCATCGCTACCTACCAAGGAGTACCTTTATTCCCACAAAAGTTCCCTAAATCATTAGCAGGATCTGGAGGTAGAGAGGCAGAAGTAAATTATCCACTTGGCTTGTGTAGGCTTCCAACAGGGAAACCAAGCTAATGCAAGCCAAAATCCAGGAGTAGCTGGCATTCAGATCCACAGTGCTGTCAAAGATCAGAATTACGGCTACAGTAATGATCTGTGCGAAGATGGATGTCATGGTGCCTTCAAAGGTTTTCTTGGTTCCAGGCCATTTGATTTCCCCAACCGTGCTACCAAAAATAGAGGCCACTGCATCCCCGACCCCTACAGCCAGAACTCCCGAGTAGGGAACCAAAGCTCCTGCCCCAGCCAAGGCACCCCTGGGGGCACAAGGTCTGGGGAAGAGCCACACCGGGAGGGACATGCCGAGGAGAAGGTAGATATGAGTCAAGATCAAAGGCCCGCTGTCTCGCTCATCCAAAAAGAGGGAGAGCAAGTTCCTGAGGGTGTGTCCAAAAGGTTTGATGGTAAAGTATCGGATGTACTCAAGCAGGATAAAGACTGCCAGGCACACCACAGCGGCCACGTAGAGCAGCTGGTGGTCACAGATCAGTCCTGGAATGTATGTTGCCACCACGATGAAATGGAAGTACTTTCTGGTGATGGTTGAGGCTTGGTGTTTTTTAGAGCCAGAGGCCCGCTTGGAATTTTGATAGAAAACCACGGTGCATGCCGAGGCAGCCAAGAGGCTCCAGTAGGCCAGGAGGAAAACTCTGGTCTCTGTTTGAGAAAGGAACTGATAGAGCCAGAGCAAGGGATTCCCCCGGATCAGGCGGGACAGCCATGGCATGACGACGCCCAGCCCCAGCACCGCAGTCATCATATGGAAAAACACAGAAGAAATCCAGGTCCCAGAATCCATGAAGAAAAAAAGCACGGCAAAGAAGATCCCCAGGAGGACCACTCCCACCACCACCACGAGCAGGAAGAAGTCGATTGGGTCCCCTCTGCTCTCACTCAGGTTCAGAGAACGTTTGATGAGCTGGTTGAGCATAAAGCTTATCCCGGTAAGGACGAGCAGGGCCTCCCCGGGGGAGAAGCACCGGGGCAGCAGGTACAGCAGGGCCATGCTGAGGTAGACAAAGATGAGCAGCACCTCGAGGACCTCAATCACTTCCGCCACCGTCAGGGAATGCTTCATGGTGTAGACGATGAGGCTGCCCGCGACACCGGAGAGCAGGCAGGTGTTTGTGGGCACCGGCTTCGTAACCCCGAGCGCGATCACAGAGAGGAAGAGGGCGATCGCCATGCCCGTGGAGGCCACCATGGTGCCAAAGCGCTCGAAGTACACGATGCCGGCTGCGCGGCATCGCTCCTTCAGCACGATGCCCAGCAGTGGGACAACCATGCAAGCGGGGACCAGGCCGCTGTTGGCCCCCGTCCGGAACTGGAACACGGCGCTGCCCTGGTGGAGCAGGTGGTCCCACTTGAACTGGATGTAAAACGCCTGGACCGCGAGGGCGAGGGTGCACCAGGAGAAGCGGTCCCACACCACGCTGTGCACACACAGCACAACTGCGAACACGATGAGAGACTCCACGAGGACCGGTTTGTTGAGCATGGTGGCACCTGAGCTGAAGCGGGTTGGAGCGAGTCGTTTTAAAGGGAATTGCTCCTCCACCAGCAGAATCTCACTCGCATCTCAGGGCTGTTCCTGGAAGCCAAAGAAAACCCGAAGCATGAAGAAAGTGCCCGTGCCGCCTGCCTTCCTCCTGCACTGGGGGAAGCACCGCGGCTCATACTTTGCAGCGCCTGATCCAGGCAGCTTTGCTCCCTCTTTATTTGTGCTGCTGCGGCTTCAGGAAAGCCTTTGACGTTTAGAAGTGGGGCTTATTGCTTGGCTTGCCAATGCACGTTTTTACTACTGCTGATTTTTACTTGTTTATCACTGCTGGCTTGTTACTGTATGTTAACCACCTTGAACTATATGAGAACAGCCGGGGCATTTAAGCGTGTATATGAAGGACAGGTGGAGGAGACAATGCCTACCTTGCGACACGGCACTTATAAACACCTGCTGCCTTAAGCACGTGCACACCCGTTCCTGCACAATGAGGGGAAATGATCAGACGTGTCCAGCTGCGTTTTGCAGTGACATCACTGTATGTCATTCATCTGAACTGGGCAAATTATAACTAGCACAATTTATATATTGTGCTGGTCAGACGAACGCCATAAAAGTGCTCCCGCACTTTCTAATGCAGGGGTGCTGAAGTGCTGCTTGTGAGCCAAAGCCAGCTCCCCTGGACTCCACAGATGACAATGCCTTTTTCCTCCTCCTATTAGGAGGGCCTTTCCTCCAACTGCGTATTATTTAATGGTTGCCCAACTTTTGTACAGTTTCCCCACACATTTTAAAAAACTGAAATGCCCCTCCTAAAACTGATTTGCAGGCAAGCGCTTTGTGCTAAAAATATGCTGGTGTTTTCAATATGTTGGCCCCTCTTGTTGCCTTTGGCTCATCACTGGAATGTGGCCCCTGAAAGCGTCTCCAAAATTTCTCCTTTGGACTGGGAGAGGTTTGACAACTCTGCTGTGATGCTTGCATGTTACACTGATATATAAATAGCACAGGGGGAGCAGTTGGTCTGAAAAGCTGGCTACTCTAAAGAATGAAACAAACAGATGTGGTACTAGTGCTAAGTTTGTGAAACATCTGAACTTGTCTGTATGCATTCCTACTGAAAGAAGTACAGCATCCCACAGAATGAGACCCACTTGGCACCAACTCTGTGATGTTTTTGGCACCAGGTTAAGACAGCCCTCTGAACTAAGCCTTTTTAAAGATACTTAATGGCTTGATGGGTTAGGCATTTTAGCAGGTCTGTTCTGCTTTAAATACTCTTTTAGCTCTTCAGTTTTGGAAACATGTTACCATGTTTTATTATGGTCCTGTTTTAGGGACTGTAGTAAACCACCCAGAAAGCCTTGGCTATTGGACAGTATAGAAAGGAAATAAAGTGTGAATAAATAAAGATAATTTATTTAATTTATTTATTATTAAAACAAATAAAGATAATAAAGTTCTGGGTCAGAATTCTACATGGAGCACAGTATCCATGTGTATGGAGCACAGTATCCAATGTTACACTGCTTACCTACCATGTTGTGTCAGTGTCATGGAGAAAAGCACGGATGTGGGAAATCGCAATCCAATACTTGTTCAGTCATAAAGCTCAGAAGGCAGGTAGGTGGAGCTGGGCAAGCCACCCTCTGTGCACCTCTAATGATAAAATGAGATCAAGGAATATAATTACATACCCCTAAGATCTAAAACACAGCAAGCAAAAATACAAATCATTCTATATTCTAGCAGGAAGTAGTTCCCTTTCCAACCCCTTAACTGTCCCCCTTCATCTATTTTTTGAAAATATATAATGGAATCAAAAAGGAAAAAGGGGGATCATCACATAAAGACATTAATTCCAAGTAATTATTCATAACTCTGCTAATAAAAATACAAAAATTTAACTTTCCTTTTTCAAATGTGTACATTAAAAACACGATGCTATGGTTGTTTAAATATGACAAAGGATAGAATTGTGAATTTAAACAAGCAACCCATATAGCTAAGTAAACATTCAGCTGGAATGGGCCACTGTGGATAGACATTCAATACACTAGGAGTCATTTATGACAATCCCTGTTACTTCTCCACATGTGCCATCTTGTGCCAGCAAATATCTGGGTCTTCCCCACAGAGGTCACCCATATTTCTCATGGCTCTTTAACATAACTAAAAAAAAGGAATGGCCAATTCTCTCTCCCTTTGGGGGTAATATATGTCCCCTTGGAGTCAAGAAACTGTAGCAGGCTAGACTGTCTTGATGGTTTGAAACTCCGATTTATCTTTGCTCAGCCATAACTAGTACATTTCTGTTTATGTTGCTTTCTTTCCTTTCAATCTACATACAAGACAGTGGAATGTGCCATCAAGTCATCTGCAACTCTGGGTATGAAAGCTCTTCAACATGCCCTATCCACGACAGCGTTGCTCAGTTCTTGTAAATTCAAGGTAGTGGCTTCCTTTTTGGAATCCATCACATACTTGGGTGCCCCTCCCAATGTATATATTTCCCCAGAATTCCATAGGTTCTCATGAACTAATTAGGGTTTATATTAAAATGCAATATAGCGGTCCAGATATAAGTTAAGATTCAGAACTCAAAGTCCCAAATGCAGCTATGGTCCCTGCACGATGCCCACCCCTCATGCAGGAGAGTGTACTGAGAATCGGGAGAGCTGGATTCAAATCACCTCTCGGTCATGAAGCTCCCTGGCTGCCTCTGGATCAGTCACTGCCTCTCAGACTAACATACTTCACAGGGTTGTTGTGGGATGAAAAAAGAGAGAAGGACCAGGTAAGCTATAGAAAAAAGTCAGGAAATGCAGTAAATGAATAAAATAAGGATAACACAGGCATTAACACACAAAACCAGCACCACACCGAAGGGGGACAGAGAAAGCATCTGCAAGGGTCTTCAACTGGAGGGACCGCCCCACCCCGCTTTCCCACCACCGCCCTCTGGCTAACTCACCCTGGAGGCCGCCATTTTAGCAGACGCCGGGGTCCTGACGTCATCGGCTCGCGCCGCACTAATTCCCGCTCACCCAACCGTCGAAGGAAGAGGGCGCGCGGGGTCACGTGACTCCCCTGTCCGCGGTCCTCCTTCACCGTTTGGGCAAGTGGCTGAATTAGAGTGAGGGGAGCGAGTCACGTGGCGGGGTGGCAAGATGGCGGCCGGCGGGCGGTGCGTGAGGTAAATGGTGGGAGCGCGCGAGAGAGTCTCTGCCCGCTTGAGGCGGGTGTGGGGCGGCGGCAAAGGGGCTGCTGAGGCGCGGCAGCCGCGGCGTCCTGAGGCGGGCTCGCTGCCTGGGAGCCCTCCGGAGAGGCTTGTGGTGCCCGGAAGCCGGCGGGTGTCCCATGGCTGAAGCTGTGGGGGCAGAGCTTTTCCCTGCAGGCGGCCCCCCGCGCCGTTTTATGATTACACTGATTACCTGCCTTACACCCCACTCTCTGAAAGAGATCGGGGCGACTTACGCGGCCTTCTTCATTTTGTCCTCACGACAACCCTGTGAGGTAGGCTGACGGTCAAGAACTGGCTGGAAGTCAGTCAGTGGGATTCGTGGCGGAAAAGGGACTAGTACCTTTTAAATTCAGATTTAGTTATCCATATCGTCCCATTTTTTTCTCCTCTTGGGGGAGCCCAAGGCAACTCAAATCTTCTCTAGTTTATCCTTAGAACAGCCTGTGAGGTAGGTAGGCAGAACGTTAGTGACTGACTAAGTAGTTCTTGGAATTTCATGGTTGAACAGAGACTAGGATCCCTGTTTTCAATGTGCTTATTTTATATTTATAGCGTACGATTTTCCCTTAAGCTAAAGGAACACGAAGTGCCCCACATGATCCTCTTCTCCATTTTACTTTCACAAGGAGGTAGGCTGAGAGTGTGTGACTGGCCCAAAGTCACCCAGTGAGTTTCATGGCTGAGTGGGGAGTTAGAACCCTGACCCCTGTCAGCACTAACCACTACACCACATTGGCTGTCAGGATGATGGGAGTTGTAGCCCTAGACATCTGGAGGGCACCTGGTGAAGGAGAACACTCTCTTTGGGAATACATTGATATGGTTGTTAATAAAATATGTAACATTGTGCACTCTTGTATAAACATGCTCAGTGGTGTGTGACATGTCCACATGTAGGGAGGAAACGTTGCTGATGGGAGTAGGTGACATAAACGTATCTAAATTCATGTATGTATACAATATACTTGCACACCTTTGCTAATTGTGAACTGTGCAGAAGGCTTTGGCTATTGGGTAGTATAAAATGTAATAAATTAAGTGAAAATGAATTGTCAGAGGACATGAAGTCACGTTTGAAGAGCTTACAATCTGAAATTCACTAGAAGGGAAACAACAGGAAAGAAAATGGAATTGTATTGCTTATACCTATTTAGATTTGGGTAATGGCTCTATTATTTAAGGCAGCCTCTGGGAGTTTTGGAGTACAACACATGGCATGGGCAATACTTGTAGTATTGGAAGAGTGAAAAGAACTGTTTGATACTGAATCATATGGGTAGGGACCTGTACTAAAAGGTTGATTGTAGCTTGTCATGGAATGTTGCTGAAACGTGGTTATCTTGTTTGAACCCAGCTGCGCTAAGAAGTTATGGCTTGTGAACCATGAACAACTCATGCAGAGAACTCCTGGCTTCTTGTTGGGTTGTGAATGTATGTTATTCATAATAGATTTTCATCGTATTTGGAGTCAAGCAGCACAAAAATCCATGTTTCAGCAGCAACCCACAGTCATCCTATACTCACCCCAGGAGTGTGGATTATCATGTTGTCTGATGCCCGTCTGTAGGGTCACGAACATGGTATAATTTCCACTGACTGGCAGTGTCTTTCCCAGATTTTAAGATCTTTCCCAGCCAGGAAAGTGGGGGCTTGAATTTGGGCCCCTTTTCATGCTCAGCATATGTTGTACCCCCTGCACATACTCCTTTCCAATATAGAGAACCTACCTTACTTATGCTGAATTAGTCCTTTGGTCCTCCTAGCTTAGTAGTGTGAACTTGGGCTGGCAGCAGGTCCTGGAGTCTTTCCCAGCGCTGCCCTAGAATTGCTGGGGATTGACTTTGCAGCCTCCTTCATGCAGTGCCAGTAATATGCCCACTGTGCTCTGGCTCTTTCCCAGGAAGGAATTAAATGGATTAGCATGTGTACACACAGATATGCACATGTTACTTTAGGCTTAGTCAGAAGTATTGTTATTAGTTGATCAATTGTGTACATGTACTGTACATGCATTCATGTATCTGCATGCATTTGTACATGCATTAAAAGCTACATGCACAACATTCAGGAACCAATGAGAGAAGATTTCGATCTCCCAGAAAGATCTTGCTACTGCCGTTTGCCAAGAAATGTTTCAATAGGAAATTCCATTGTAAAGTTGCTCAATCAGAACTAGTAAGATGCAATTCATTTGTATCTGAGCAGAATTTCCTATTCCAATGTAGGTATTAATTTATTTGACCAGTGTAAGTTAGCTGTGTTATTGCCAGTTACAGCTTTTGTGACTGCTTCATCTGTCCGTAGTGCTGTGCTCCATTAAAATTTAGATGATCTGGAAAGACTGGAAGGAACTGAAGGAAAAAAAAAAAACCAACGACTATTGACTCCCTGCCCCAACTACACAAAATAAATATTTTTTTCTTCCTAGGAGCAGCAGAGAACTGTGGACCATTGTGAAGGGCAAATCAGCTTTGAGAGAACCAGTGAGTAGAGGATAGCTTTTATAATGCTTTTCAAGAATTTTTTTTACTAGTGACTTATCTTTTATTATATAGCTTCTTCTTACCCTCCAGAAAGTCATACAGTAAGGTTTTATCCTTGTTGTTCTCTTCTCTTGTTTTGTTTAGTCATTCTTAATTGTTTAAAAAATTAAAACTGGGAGACTGGCATGCTGCAAAGCAAAGGGCTACCCTCCAGTACTGTCTGTCTTTGGGTGTTTGTGGGGTTTGTGTTTCGGAGCTTCAACTCCATCTCTGCCTTGTCTTCTGGATCTTGGGCTAATTCTTTTAGATTTGGGTTACATGAGAGGGCCAACACTTCTCATGGGTTGAATAACTTGCTGTTAAGCCCTGATGCGGGGAGGGGGTGTTGTGTTGTCCAGTCCTGGTCATCATGGACCAGGAGCTTAAACAACCCTTGCATAACCCATAATTTGAAATAGGCCCAAACAGGGGGTTACACAACACAGATGGTGGCTGCACATGCCCAGTGTGCACCACAGCTCATCATGGGTTAAAAAAACATAAGTGGTTAAATAATCTGTAATGGGTTAAATAGCACACAGCTGTGTTGTGTGAACTAGTCCTTAGTCTCCCAGTTTTACCTTCTAGGAAACAGTGAACCATGCTCATCATAGATTGTGCCTATTGTATGGATGGACAAGCTCCAACCCACGATAGACATTTTGTGAAAGCATCTGTGACACATTGAGAATTCTGAATGGGTCCAGGAACCCCCCACATTTGGGGATTCCTATCTGTATACTAGAACCTAAACAGTCCATGAACAGTATATCTTTGTTGCTGCTGTCGTGCTTTGTATATATGCTATGCTAGTCATGAAGTTGCGTCCAACCCATCACGACCCCGTGGACAACATTCCTCCAGGCTCTTCTATCCTTCACCATCCCCTGGAATCCACCTAAGCTCACACCGACTGCTTCAGAGACTTCATCCAGCCACCTCATTCTCTCCCACCCCTTCTTTTGCCGTCTGTTGTTCCCAGCATTAGGCTCTTCTCCAGACAGTCCTTCCTTCTCACTAGGTGACCAAAGCATTTGAGTTTCATCTTCAGTATCTGGCCTTCTAAAGTGCAGTCAGGGTTGATCTCCTCGCAGTCTGAGTCTTCTCCAGCACCACAATTCAAAGGCCTCAATTCTTCAGCGCTCAGCCTTCCTTATGGTCCATATTTCACAGCCATACATTGCAACTGGGAAAAGCATAGTCTTGATTATGAACTTTTGTCAGCAGGGTGATGTTTCTGCTTTTTAGTATGGTGTTTAGATTTGCCATAGCTTTCCTCCCAAGGAGCAAGTGTCTTTTAATTTTTTAGGTGCAGTCACCATCTGCGGTGATCTTGGAGCCCAGGAAAATAAAATCTGTCACTACCTCCATTTCTTCCCCATCTATTTGCCAGGAAGTGAGAGGATTGGATGCCATGATCTTAATTTTCTTAATGTTGAAAAGTTTCAAGCCAACTTTTGTACTCCTCTTTCACCCACATCAAGAGGTTCTTTAGTTCGTCTTCACTTTCTGCCATTAGAGTGGTATCATCTGCATATCCGAGGTTGTTGATATTTCCATCTTAATTCCAACTTATGATTCATCTAGCCCCGCCATTCTCATGATGTTCTCTGCATATAAGTTAAATAGGCAGGGCGACAGTATACAGCCTTGCCACACTCCTTTCCAAATTTTGAACCAATCAGTAGTTCCGTGTCCATTTCTCACTGTTTCTTCTTGACCCGCATATAGGTTTCTCAAGAGACCAATAAGATGGTCTGGTACTCCCATCTCTTTAAGAACTTGCCACAATTTGTTGTGATCTACACAATCAAAGGCTTTAGCATAGTCAATGAAGCAGAAGTAGATGTTTTTCTGCAACTTCCTAGCTTTCTCCATGATCCAGCGTATGTTGGTAATTTGATCTCTAGTTCCTCTCCCTCTTCGAAATCCTGCCTGTACTTCTGGTAGTTCTCGGTCCACATACTGCTGGAGCCTAGCTTGTAGGATTTTGAGCATAACTTTGCTAGCATGTGAAATGAGTGCAGTGGTGTGGTAGTTTGAACATTCTTTGGCATTGCCCTTCTTTGGAATTGGAATGTAAACTGACCTTTTCCAATCCTGTGGTCACTGTTGAGTTTTCCAAATTTGCTGGCATAATGAGTGTAGCACTTCAACTACATTATCTTTTAGGATTTTGAATAGCTCAGCTGGAATATTCTCTCTTCCACTAGCTTTGTTGTTGCTAAGACTTCCTAAGGCCCTTTTGACTTCACATTCCAGGAGATCTGGCTCGAGGTCAGCGACCACCCCATCATGGTTATCAAGAAAGTTAAGCTCTTTCTTGTATAGTTCTTCTGTGTAATCTTGCCACCTCTTCTTAATCTCTTCTGCCTCTGTTAGGTCCCTGCCGTTTTGGTCCTTTATCATGCCCATCTTTGCTTGAAATGTTCCCTTCATATCTCTAATTTTCTTGAAGAGATCTCTGGTCCTCCCTATCCTGTTTCTTCTGTTTCTTTACATTGTTCATTTAAAAAGGCATTCTTATTTCTTCCAGCTATTCTCTGGAATTCTGCATTCAGTTGGGTGTATCTTTCCCTGACCTTTTGCTTCCCTTCTTTCCTCAGCTATTTGTAAAGCTTCCTCAGACAGCCATTTTGCTTTCTTGCATTTCTTTTTCTTCGAGATGGTTTTAGTTGCAACCTCTTGTACAATGTTCCAAACGTCCGTCCATCACTCTTCAGGCACTCTCTGTCAGATCTAATTCCTTAAATCTATTTGTCAACTCTACTGTATATTCATAAGGAATATGATTTAGGTCATACCTGAGTGGCCTAGTGCTTTTCCCTACTTTCTTCAATTTAAGCCTAAATTTTGCAACAAGAAGCTCATGATCTGATCCACAGTCAGCTACTGGTCTTGTTTTTACTGACTGTGTAGAGCTTCTCCATCTTTGGCTGCAGAGCACATAGTTAGTCTGATTTCTGTGTTGACCATCTGGTGATGCCCGTGTGTAAGAGTCTCTCTTGGGTTGTTGGAAAAGAGTGTTTGCTATGATCAGCATGTTCTCTTGACAAAATTCTGCCAGCCTGTGCCCTGCTTCATTTTGTACTCCAAGGCCAAACTTGCCTGTTATTCCAGTTAACTTTTGGCTTCCTTCTTTAGCATTCCAATCCCCCATAATGATAAGGACATCATTTTTGGGTGTTAATTCTAGGAGGTTCTAGAAGTATGAAGAACTGGTAGATAGAGCCTCTTCAGCGCCAGTGGTTGGGACATAGACTTGGACTACTGTGATGTTGAATGGTTTGCCTTGGATTCGAACTGAGATCATTCTGTCATTTTGGAGATTGTATCCCAGTACTGCTTTTCCTACTTTTTTATTGACTATGAAGGCTACTCCATTTCTTCTGAGGGATTCTTGCCCGCAGTAGTATACCTGATGGTCATCCGAATTAAATTTACCCATTCCTGTCCATTTTAGTTCACTGATTCCCAAGATGTCGATGTTCAGTCTTGTCATCTCTAGTTTGACCACATCCAGCTTGCCTTAATTCATGGATCTTATATTCCAGGTTCCTATGCTGTAATGTTCTTTACAGTGTTGAACTTTCCTTTCACCACCAGATACATCAGCAACTGAGTGTCCTTTCGGCTTTGACCCAGTCGCTTCATTTTTTCTGGTGCTACTAGTATTTGTCCTCTGCTCTGTCCCAGTAGCATATTGGACACCTTCCAACCTGAGGGGCTCATCTTCTGGCGTCATATCTTTTTGCCTTTTGGTACTGCCCATGGAGTTTTCATGGCAAGGATATTGGAGTGGGTTGCCATTTCCTTCTCCAGTGGATCAGCTTTTGTCAGAGCTCTCTGCTATGACCTGCCCGTCTTGGGTGCCCCTGCACTGCATACCTCATAGCTTCATTGGCACTACACAAGCCCCTTCGCCACGGCAAGGCAGTGATATTGTTGTGGAAATAAGCACATTATTTTTAGACCTTACAGCATAGAGAAAATGATATATTGACTACTATTTTGTTCTGTCTAGGCTCAGCTTGCAGAGGAGTTGAATAAACACTGCCAGAGGCTGCTTGAAGGGCTTTCCTACTACAAGCCACCCAGGTAAGATTGTTGGCAACTTGGTGTTGGGTATCCCAGGGTAGCATTTGGTGCTGTCTCAGTGTCAGTGATATGGCATTGTGCTGGCATGAACATGACTTTACTTAACCCAGTGTGTTACTAGTGCAACAGAGGAAAATTGGAAATGCTGAAAGTCTGTGAGGAATTTTTTCCAAGTATTCAGGCCAGATAGTTGATATTTTCAGTGTTACGATTTCTGTGCATGGATCATAGCAGTGGAGAACCCGAGAGCCAAATTCCGTTTTGAAGAAGCTCTCCAGAGCTACAGGTGCCAATGGAGGTACCAAAAATACCAACACCACCTTCATGTTTCAGCTTAAGTTTTACTGTCTTCAGCTAAGCTTTAAGCTTTTAGCAGTGGGCAGAAGTCTGGGGAAAGCGGGCCTTCTCAAAAGTCTTGTAAAGCTGGATCAGGGTCCTGAGAGAACCGAATCTGGCTTGTGAGTGTGAGTCCTTAAAGTGTGTTTTGGGGAGAAAAGTTGCAATGAAAATTGCTCTTCTGCAGACAGTTATACCTAGGTGCCTGCATTGTTTCTGTTTCTTTTCAGACAAAAGGCGTTTCTGTAACCTTTAGGTATTAAAAGAATACTTTCATTTTTCATCTGTAGCGCAAGTTCAGCAGAAGCAGTAAAAGCTGATAAAAATGTGCCTGCTCCACTGAAGGAGCTGGGTCTGAGAGTCAGCAAATTTTTGGTAAGTATTGGTCCCAGTCTGCTTTGCTGCTTGTTCTATTCCCCTCCCCACTCCCACAGACACTCCTCTGGCCATGGATGTGCTACAGCAGGTGGGGAAGCTTAGTGTCTTCACCGTTTTGCTTGCCATTTGAGTGGAAGCAAGCGCATGGTGTTTTGAGATTTTGTCAGATGACTGTGCAGGGCTCGTAAATGCAATATTTCTTAAACACCTCAAAGCATGGAGTGTTAGACGAAGACAGAGCTAATCTGTTGCATTCTCTGTCTCTTGAGCTCGGGCACAGAATCACAGACTCAGGTCAAAGTTGGCATAGTTGGGCACAAATTCGTTAAGTGCCATCAAGTTATCTCCATCTTCTGGCAATCTTGGGAATACATGGCCTCCAGATGTCCTGTCCTTGACAGCCCTGCTCAGCTCTTGTAAATTCAAGGCTGTGGTTTCCTGTATGGAGTCAATCCATTTCTTCTTTGTCTTTCTTTTCTTCTTCTGCCTTTGACTTTGCATAGCACAAATCTAGTCCTCTGGCATTCCCCAAGCGGCCATACTCCTTCTCCAGCCCTCGGAGTTCCCCCAGTCACAATTACTGGGTGGCTTTTCTGGTTTTCAGAAAGATTGAAATGGCTACCCTAAGTCCGTGTTGTTAAGATATGCCAGTACTTTGGCCCCACCCCTTTTGCCTCCAGCCCTACCGACCGCTGGAGCACAGCAGCCAAGAATTACCTGAAATGGGTTCTGGCCGTCAGGACGAAAGTCCTGGCATTTGTCCAAAGGATCGTCGCTGGCTCGGCTCCTTTGATGCCAACTGTGTCTCTGTGTGTGCCACTCCAGGGTCTGGATGAAGAGCAGAGTGTGCAGCTGTTGCAGTGCTACCTTCAGGAGGACTACAGAGGGACCAGAGACTCATTGAAGGTTGGTGATTGGCAGTCCATTGCTCCTCTTCCAAGCCTCTGGTGGTGCAGACCCCCCTGTTATCCAGATACTCTGCCTTGGCTTCAGCAGTATCCATGCCATGATATGGTCTTCTGTGACCAGAGGGGAAGCACATCTTTTCCATTGTTAGGTCTGCACTTCATAGCTGGCCTCACATTTGTTATGCAGGGTTTCTGAACCAGGCTTCTAGTATAGTCTTGTGTGAGTTCATCTGATGAAAAGCTATTCAACTCTTAGCCATGGATATACAGCTTTCAGTCACCAAGAGGACTAGACGCTATGGACAGCCTGCGAGCACCTGATGGATACTGAATCGCTGCCGGAGTAAAGTAGTTGTAGCCTCTCGCAGGATAGTCCAGTAGGAGCCTTATAGAAGAGATGGACCTCATCGTAACCTTTATTTACATGAAAGACCCTAACAGAGGCTTAGCTAGGGTAGGGTAGGGTTAGTCATGTGATATTTGCAGGGGCATCTGAGTTCTGCTTGAAATGCAATTAAAATGATTTGCAAGACTGCTGGAACAGGTGGGTTGTCTGGGTCCCGCCGAGGGCTGTTTTGTATTGACTGTTACTGATTAAGTTACTTTTTTTTTGTTCATAGGCAGTTCTGCAAGATGAAAGACAGAGTCAGGCTTTGATGCTGAAGGTTAGTAACTTGAATCTGAGTTCTTAAGATTTTATAGTTATTTCTGCATATAGAAGAGCAATTCCCCGATATTGCAACCCAACTCAGAGTTGGTCAGACCAAATTGCCAGAAGGAGAGGGTTAGGGTTTTCCCTACTTACCGATGGAAGGACTTAGGAGAGCCTCCTCAGGTGGGGTGTGCCAGGTGATCCTGTAGGTTGGGTGGGTAGATGTCATTCTTACTGTGGAGGGTTGGTCTTCTTGATCTTGACCACCAACCTCCGTCTCATGCAAAAGGCACACAGAATGAAAGAAATCTGAATCCAGAAATTAATTTTCAGTATAAAAATTGAAAGGAGGCCAGAGACCTTCCAGAACCACATCCTCCCAGTTCTCCCAGGTGTTCTTTGTTCCAGCGGTCTGATTTAATGCACAGAGACAAATCACTGCTGTCCTTGCAGTTTAGGAGTCAGAGAATCTTGCTAATCCAATGTAAATGGTGGGAGAATTCCATCAGCCGAACCCTGTGGTGATAAACACAATTGGTGGGCTAGGATTTCCCACCCTTGCTTTGGCAGAGGAGCCGGAGCACAGATGTGCAGTGTCGTGATGAAAGTGCTTGTTGTGTTTGCACAGCTTGCCGACTACTACTATGAAGAAAGGATATGTATTCTTCGCTGCATCCTCCACCTTCTCACTTATTTCCAGGATGAGAGGCACCCTTACATGGTGGGTTTCAAGCTACTTTTCCTGATTACGTCAGCTGCTGATAGATGCACCTCCTGCTTGCTCACCACTCACCCTGGCCCCAGCAACAGGGGGTGAGGAGGAGGAGCAGGAGATGCCTTGACCTTCTGGCTCTCAGCCTGCCAAACCAGCAGGCCGTGATGAGAGAGAGGCTGGGGAGCAGCTGGTGGCAATGCTGGCGGGAAAGGTGGAATCGCTGAGGGAGTGTGTGGAGGGGGCAGCAGCTTGCTCGCCTGGAGATCGTTTCTCCGAGTGAGCAAACCGCTGTCTCTCTGCGCACGGGGCGTGGGGTGCGGCAGTGCAGGTGCATGTGGGTGTGGGCGCGCATGTGGTGGGTCCAAATGGGCATGGTGGGCTGGATCCAGGCCCCAGGCCATAGTTTGAGCACCCATGTTTTAAATCGGGTCCTCAAACTTTTTCACCGGGGGGCCAGTTGAAAGGTGCTGGTGCTAAGCGCGGGCCGGAAAGGCGGTGCTGGCAGTGCATGCAGGCTGGTGAGGGGGTGTGGGCGCGCACACTGAGGTGGGGGCAGGGTGCGCAGTGAGGCGAGGCGAGGCGGGTGCATGCGTGAGCAAACCGCTGCCTCCCCGCATGCGGGGCGAGGTGGGTGGCGGCAGGCGCATGCGCGGGTGTGCGCCCGGAGGGTCCAAATGGGCATGATGGGCCAGATCCGGCTCCTGGGCTGTAGTTTGAGCACCCATGTTTTAAATGGTCTGTAGAGATGCTTACCTCTAGTGCCATTTTGGCACTTTGAACTTCATTTTCTCAGTTTTTGTAATCGGCTTCAATTCAGTCTTGGTTGTCATCTCCAGGAAGTGCATTTATAAGTTTTAGTCTAGCACCTTTTAAAATGCGTGTTTTATTTATATAAATTTTGATGTTTGAACTGTTAAAAGGGTAGAGTAAAAGCACCAAAATCTGTTACATCTATCTGTGGCTGTACCTTTTATTAAAAGGTATCTATCTATGTTACATTGAAGCTCCAGTTTTCACAGTGCGTGGAAAAAATGGATAAGGAACTGGTTCTTAACTACCGGAAACAGTTTGAAGAGCTGTACAAAGCAGAAGCACCTACTTGGGAGACGCATGGAAGTCTGATGGTATTTTCTTCCTCTAGTACTTTCTTTCAATATTATATGTGTGCAGGATGCTTCTAGTTTGGGATACTGAACCTCAGGCTGTACCCACCCTGGCTGGGATTCCAGTTTGGCCCTCTGCATAATAAATTGCTGCCTTTACATCTTTGATGAGTAAAATCGGTTAGCTGAATGTACCACGTGCTCCTGTCCTGCTCCTCTTCAGGTGTGGAGGTGTTTGTGCACATGCCTTTGGTTCTGCATCTTGGGTGTGTCTCTGATGCAGCACAGCACTGGCTTCCTACGTGGCTACTAACCAGGGGAGCGCCACATCCCTGCGCATCAGATTCTCTTGTGATTTTCCTGATGCTTGTTCCTTAATTTCAGGGCCCATTTGGGGTGTGGGTGAGAGAGACAGTAATGGGTGCATTTTAAATTCTGAGAGTTGTGGGCGCTGTCACACCATAGCTGTCAGGATGGGCCTTTCCATTCATAAAATGGCTGCCTTGGTGGGCATGGCAGGCTATGACATCCAGATAGCAAAGTGGTGAGACTGTGAAAGACAAGTCACGTGCCCCAGAACCGAAGTCCAAGGCAGAGGTGGATACGATCGCTTAAAAAAAAAAAAAGCCTCTCCTCTAAAGTCAAATAAAGATGGCTCTGAAAGATGTCGCTATGCTTTGCCGCACACCAGCTTCCCAATTAGAAAGAAATGTAATGGAAAGGAAACTCTTATGAAATAGAAAGGAACGGGGAGCCTGGTGGGTGCCAAGAAGCATGTCTGCTGGCACGTTTGTGTCCATGGTCACCTTGCTGCAGACCCCAGCTTAAAACATGCTTATATTGAATTAAAGCATTGAATTGTGGACAGTATTTTGTGTGGTCTTGTATGCTATGCCCAGAGCTCTATTACAGCTTGGTGGTGGTTGCCTCTTGACATGATAACTGCCAGTGTAGCCTTCCCCTCTGGAAGCTGGAGAATTTCAGCACAATCCTATTTAGAGTTATGCTTGGCCAAATCTGTTGAAATTGATAATGTTCAGATGTGCCTAACTCAGCACATGAATGAGGTTTCCAAACCTGACTTTTCCAGCTTTTCCTCTCCTATGAGACTTGCTCATTTAATAGTACTCATTTTCTGCTCCTTAGACAGAGCGGCAAGTCTCACGCTGGTTTGTACAGTGCCTCCGGGAGCAGTCCATGCTGCTTGAAATCATCTTCATTTACTATGCCTATTTTGAGATGGCACCTGAGGAGCTGCTGGCTTTTGCTAAGATGTTTAAAGAGCAAGGCTTTGGTTCTAGGCAGACCAATCGACATCTGGTTGATGAGAGCATGGACTACCTAGTTGAACGCATTGGGTGAGTGCAATGCAGCTGATGAAATAGCTGTTACAGGCCACAGACAAGCTACTAAAAAGAGGATGTGTGTCAGTTGCATGGGGCCAAGACATCTCAACCTTGGCATGCATTCTGAGGGGTACTGAGGGAGTTACAGCCTGGCGTTGTTCTGCTCTTTACAAGAATTAATGCTAAATATTTTAAATGTGTTGAAGCCAGCAAGAAGTGCACCAGCTGCTGGGGACGGATGGTCCAAACCAGCACATAGCTTTGCAGTCCTCACTGTTCAAAGCCAGAGGAGATCAGTCGGTGGAGGGGCAGAATTGCATGCTTGCCCCCTCCTGCTTGATGTGGGGCAGCCTTCCTCAGGAAAATGGAGTGGACAGATTCCTTCCTCAAGGGGCTATAGGGGACTGTGGCAGTGGCTATGCTTATGGGTGCCGTCAGGTGTGGGCGGGAAGAGTGTGTTCAGTCCTGACAGGTGTGTAAGTTTATGTGAAGCCTTTGCTGCATGAAATGAAGCACTCTTTCGACTTGTCTGTTCACTCAGCATGCTGAATAAATTGGTCCCCAAGATCTGCTTCATAGATTAGCACATGACTGTAAGGAAAATATATGCAGATTTATGTGAAAATTGTGCATGAATTTTATGTTGCTGTGAGTTGATCCATTAAGAACCTGTGTTTGGCAGTGATGTAGGAACTTAAGACCCTCCTACTGTGACTGGAAGCAACTTTCCATGGTGGGAGGTTGAAACCTTTCTCAGCTCTTCTCACTTTTTTATCTAGAGATGTTGGAGCTAAGGCTTGAAGAGGGTCATATATGAGGAAAAGGTGCCTGTATTCAGAACATAAAGTGCAGCTGCTTTTGTGGGTGAACTCCTACTTGGTTCCAAGTGCTCTAGACTGTAACACCTTGGCAATTATAGGCAGCCTATAAATATATGCAAATAAATAGATGCTGTTAAAAGAGAAGTGTTCTTCATTTTTAAGAGTTAATGGCAGTCCTGTATCTGATCACAAACTATCAAGTATATAGTCTGAATTTCTCTTGCCTTTGACCTTAATTCCCTGCACTTTTGAAAAAATACAAGGGGCCATTTGAAGAACTATGAACTCATTGGGTTTGTTCTCCTATTACTTCCAACTGCATTTCTTATTCTGTTTCCCCCTCCTTTAACCAGGCACTTCAGTGCACTAATTTTAGTGGAAGGCATGGAAATCGATTCTCTGCACGAGCGTTTATTGTACGACAGGAAAGAGGAGCATAAATTTGGCAGTGGCCAAATTTGTCAGGTAAACCTCCAAGAAGACTTGTGTTTACAGGGGATAACTACGAGATAGCATCCAGTGTTCATCAGTTATGTTCAGTGATGTGAAAATTGCTAATTGAGTGCTATTAACGGGGGGGGGGGGCAGTGGGCCAGGTCCCAGGAGCTCTTCTGCTCCCACAAGGTCCCTTTGCTCACTTCTAGCTGGAGCTTCCTGCGACATCCACAGGTCAGTGGGGATCTTACTGGAGAAGTGAGCACAAAGGTGAGCATGGCTTGCGTGCTGGTGCACCAGCCAAGACAGAAATCAGCCCTCCTCTGTCTTGCAAACTCCTGTGCTTTGGGGGGGAGGGGGCTTGATATTTTCTTGGACCCTCAACTTGAGATAATTCTGTAGGTTAGTGTTCTGTTGTACTTCTCTCATGGAGAGGAGCTGGGTTACAGGAATTCTACCCTGGATCAGGTCTGCACGGGGGTTTTGCAAAGTAGATTTCTCGTAAAAGCTGGAAGAGAGAGAAGATAGCAGCATGGAGAACAGGACTGGAAGCTAGACAGGTAGTAGCATGTTTGCATGCTGCTGCAACATGCAGCAGATTGGGGCTGAGCCTTCGATTAAGGCCTTGGCCTCTCTCAGGCTGCTTAGCTCTGCCTCTGTACTGACTTGGAGGCCTTTTCTCTGAAGGGAGCCTGGTCTGTTCTGGCTACAGATGGCAAGATGGTTTCATGGCTGGCTCCTGGAACTCTGAAGGTGATAATACCACCTCCTCTGGACACAGTGGGCAGGTTTCAGGGGTCTTCCTTGCTGGAACAGAGTATTTTCCCTGAACAGTGAATTCAGCAGCCATCTCTTCTGAGTTCGAGGGCTTGGGGTCCTGGTTCATGACAGCCGTCTTTCTCCCATGCTTGCCTGTCCTGAGCTCAACCCAGAATTATCCTTAGAGTTAAGGATGGCTGTCCAGCTCCTGAGGCCGATGCCTGGTGCTGAAGGGACACAGGACACAGCTAAGCATGCCTGGGTCTTATCAGGGCTAACTGGGGAGACCACCTGGGAACCACCTTGTCTGTGTTGTGCTGGTGGGTCTGTTGAAGGAAGGGCAGGATATAAAAAATGTAAAAAAAGGGAATTGGGCTGAAAGCACCTGGCAGCTTTGGCATTTGTAAGAAGCTTGGGAAATTCTGTAGCACATTTCCCATGGTGCATGGGGTTATTATTTATTTAAAACTTTTATGTGCTGTCCCTTATGCATGGCATCTCAGGACGGCTTACAATAATTAAAATCAAAATACAGTAAAACAATACATACAAATATAATAAATAACATATAACCAATAAAAATTAAAAGCAACTGGTGAAACATTAAAATACTAATTTCTAAAATAATCATTGAATAGAAAGGTTTTGACCTGGCACTGAAAAGGATATAAGCTCAATGCCAGGCGAACCTCTCCGGGGAGCGCATTCCACAATCTGGGCGCCACCGCAGAGAAGGCCCTACTCCGAGTAGAAATCCTTTTTACCTCCTTCAGGGAGGGTTCTCGGAGCAGGACCTCTCCCACAGATCTTTTTTTTTTTTTGCAGTACTTTATTAAATTTTAAAACAGTACTAAAAACAACAATCATCACAAACATTGGAACTACTGAGTCAGCCCCTTACTACATATCTTTTAACATTCTGTAATCATATTCAGATCCATTTATGGAATCTTAAAAAACATTTTTAGATCTAAACCAAGTCCTGTTTCTCCAGCCAATAAAAAAAAGGTTCCAAATTTGATAGAAGTCACTATCTGCTCCTTCTGCGGTAAGATCAATCCATCCATTTCTTACAGAGTCCTGTTTTCCTTGACCAGTATTAAAAGAAAGACTCTCCAAATTTGATAAAAGTCAATGTCTTCTTTCTTCTTCGATAGTAGCTTCAATCTAACCAACTCTACACAATTCCAGATCTTTTCATTTTTCTACTATTAAACAGATAAACTCCTCATTATAATAGTTACAAATATGTTCAAATACATTTTTTGCTTACTAGTATTCCAGTCTAATATCCCCTAAAAAGGAAAGTGAAAGAGAAGAAAAGTTCCAAGCTTAAAAAAGAACTAAAGACTTTTAACCCAATTTATGTTCACATGTCTAACATCCATTTAGCATCTTTAAGGACATCTTATCTAATCTATTTAATGACAACAATTATCTATATCTTTTAAACAAATTTTCTTTAAGCTAATTTATTAAAGTTTCATCTAACTTACAATCACATACAATTAACTCCTTATAAGAGTTCAGCTCCTTACAATCTTTAATATATCTCGCTTGTAAAAAGAAATCTGTTTAGTACAGCTCCTCCTACTCCCATGATAGTCATTTTCTAGTATAGCAATTCAAAGACAAGAGAGTCATGCAACTTAGCTTTTGGTCATTCATTTTTAAGAAAAAAAAAAGAAAAAAAAAGAATCTCTCATTTTCCCTTATATCACCCACAAAGGAGAGAAAAAAAGGGGGGGACTCCACTCCTTCTCCTTCTTAGTTCAGTTTAAATCTTACCTTATAATCTCTTCATAATTCAACACATTTAAATATAGAAAAGCTTCCACAGTTAAAATCATATACCTTAGCCTTTCCATACCACAATAAACATGCCAACCCATTTGTACCATTCCTTTTTAAGATTTCTTTTTTTACACCTCTTCCAAACCACTTTTGTTTAATAGGGTTTGTTGAAAATCAATATTTTTAAACTTTACATCTCCAGCCCATCTTTCTCCCCTTGGTGTTATTTGTTGAAAATCAACCCACTTCAAGGTTGTATTTCAATCTTCACTATTTCTTGCTTTATCTTCAGTGATTGTAGCATTTGTTGTAGGTCAGTATTTATTCCCAATGGCTGTGTTTTTTGCTGCAAATCAACCTTCACTGTTTCTTCTTCCTCAGAATCAATTTTAGTTAATTCAGGATCCAGCCATCCTTCAAAAAAAAAAAATTCCTTCCTTTAGCGGCCAAATTTGTTTCTTTTTATCCACAGTTTCAAATTTTTCAAATTTTTCATATACTTGTTGCATTTCTTGTATATTCTGTTTAGTTTTGGATTCTACATCAATCACCATCTCCTTAAAAGAAGCATCAAGCTTATCAAAGCACTTTTTTTGTACAATTGAGAAGATTTCCTGTTGTCTCAACATCACCTCTTGGGATATTTGTAAAGTTATTAAAGATTCTTGTATTTCCAAAAAAAACTCTTCAGCTCTTCCATTGTTGCAATAATTCCAATAGCCACAAAGTGGCAGCCAAGATCAGTTCCACTTTTCTCTAGATCACTAGGGGTCAGAGGGTTGGCAAGTTGCCAAATACCCAGAAATGCAGGAGAGGAAATGGAGATTCTTATATCCTTCCTCTTTTCTCCCTTTTCTCTCTCTTTTTTAATGCCAATTAACAACAGATATAGTTTTTCCACAAGTAGTATTGCAAAAGGAAAATAGGAATGCTCACCCAAACAGTCATCACATTAAAGAAGAAAGCATCCGACAATGTGAAAAATATCCTGGCGAGTGTCCATTTGATCTTGGCAGAAGTCCAAATAGATATCCAAAATGATTTGTCAAAGCTTTGAACTCCTATCACATAATTGCACCTTAAAAATTGAAACCAATTTTATACCCTTAGAGAGGTTAGAGGAAAAAGTCTTTTTCTTCAGCTTCAACTTGGACAAAAGCCTCAGCACTCTCTCATCTCAGTCACTGCCTAAACATTCGGAGGGTTTTTCTTTTCTTAATGCCAAATGATAAACAAATGCAGCTTTTCCACGGGTGATATTGCGAAAGAAGTAAAAAAATATTTTCTCAGCAGTTCCAATGCTTATCTAGCTAATAAAAATCCTAAGCTAATCTTCTAAGATGTCGAGAACTTGAAAGGGCTGAAACCACCCCCTGTGTTACTCGGTTGAGAAGTACCTGAATTGCTCTCAGCAGATATGAGATTGCCATCTCACATCAAGCCAAAAGCGTGCCCAGGCAATCTGTCTTCACCCCAACAGGGCTTAGATGAGTCTCCCACGACTCGCTGCCGAGTAATACCGGCGTGATAAACGAACTCCGCTAATCACATCCGTCTCGTTCCAACGCCATCTTGGAATCCCGCAGATCTTAAGGGATGTGAGGGTGTATAAGGAAGGAAGGAGACATTCCTTCAGGTGTCCCAGTTCCAAGCCATTCAGGGCTTTATAGGTCAAAACCAGCACCTTGAATTGCGCCCAGACTTCAACTAGAAGCCAGTGGAGCTGGTAGAGGACCAGTGTTATGTGAGAATAATGGCCGGTCCCCATCAGCAGCCTGGCCGCTCTATTCTGTACCAGCTGAAGTATCCGGACCATTTTCAGGGGCAGCCCCAGGTAGAGCGTAATCCAACAGTAATTATTAGGATTACGTGTATATTTTGCCTCTGTTCCTTTTGCAAGGAGCCTCTGGTGGCTTGTGTAGACTTGTTTCACTCTGTTTTGTCTTCACAACAGCAACCCTTTGACAAAGGTGAGGCTGAGGGTCTGTGAGTGGCCCAAAGTCACCCAGAGAGCCTCATGGCTGAGTGGAGACTAGAACCCCCACAGGTTTCTGTGAGGATAAAAAGGAGAAGAGGAAGATTATGCCAACTAAGAGGAAAAGCAGAATTTTAATACTGCACATTGTCCTTTCACCTGAAGTCATTTTGATAATTTCTTAGACATAACTCCATCTTGAAATATCTAAAATACCATCCCAAGAAAGAAAAAATCCCAATTCCCAAAAGGCAGAGAGGGTGGCAGCAGCAGCAGCAACTCATTTGCAAGGATGAAATAAAATAAGACTACTTGAACTCACCTTTCTTGCGCTCAGTATTCAGGGTTGGATGCTTGATAGCTCACCTCATCTCCTGTCTCGCCTGAGCAGGAAATGGACCGCCTGTTGCTGACTCTAGGAGATGTCTCCCATCATGCTCCTGTCCTCTTGGCCTGGGCGTTGCTTCGCCACACTTTGAGCTCGGAAGAGGCGACTGGCGCAATTCGGCGAATGGGGAGCACTGCCATCCAGCTGAACGTTTTCCAGTATCTGACCAAGATGCTCCGGTCTGTAAGGAGCGAGGGGCATGTGAGTCCTAATGCAGTCACGTGGGGAGGCGTCTTGAGTTAGGGCAGCCTTCTCGACCTGGGGCCTTCCAGCTGTTGGCGGGTTCCTTGGGGAGATTGAGTCCCACACATTTGGAGAGCACCGAGATGGTAGAGGCTGTTCCGTACTATTCCAGTGGGGTGATGCACCACCCTGCAAGCTTCAGGTGGAGAGAGACTGAGTTCAGGCATTAACATGAGGAATTAAGTGGGTAACTTAAGTTAAAATTAAACAAATCTTGAACTCAATCTCTCTCTCTCTCTCTCTCTCTCTCTCTCTCTCTCACTCACACTCACACTCTCACACTCTCACACTCTCACACTCTCACACTCACACTCACACTCACACTCACACTCACCCCTACCTTTAAAAGAATACACCCATAATTGCAATTGCAGTTGCTGTATTCCAGCCTGAGACAAACTTCTCACTCCACCCACCCCCAGCTGTTGCCTGCCAACAGCAGGACCGGTTTGTTCTGCTGGAACGCGAGAGCGTGGCGGTGGGCTTTTCCGGCACTGTGCTCAACTTTTAGACCAGGGAGGCTTTTGCTCTCAATAATACCGTGCCCCCTTTTCCCTTCAGTGCATCTCCAGCACAGCATGCATGTGCACCTATGGCCTGCTGTCCTTTGTCCTTACTTCACTGGAGCTGCACACCCTGGGCAATCAGCAGGTAAGCGTGCAAGTGTGCCAGAGAAGGCAGCCTGGCCCAGCAAGCGTTTAAGTGCTGGCTTAAGCTTCGTCCCCTTCTCTGGTCTTAGAAAACTGATTTCCCTCAGATTCCTTTTCCTTCCACTCTCCTCCCTTGCATGTCCTGTCATTGGTTTATAAGCTCTATGGCAGAGCTGTTTTCTCTCTTTTTAATTAATGTGAGACACAGCTGGACACAATAATTGTCCAGAAAGCAGGATTAAAATGCAGTAAATAAATGGAAAATAAGATAAGCAAGCCTTGTGTAATACAGTGTGTGTTTTCTTTCTTCTCACTCCCCTTTTTCCAAAGGACATCATAGATACAGCATGTGAAGTGCTGACCGCTTCAAGCATTCCTCCACTGTTCTGGAAGACGGTGAGTTTGCTGCGGGGTTGGCATTTGGCCCGTTTCCTGCCACTGTCTCCTTTGGACTATTGGAAAAGCAGCTCTCTGGCCTTGAAAACCCTCTTTGCTATTTTAAGAGTGGTCTGCCCTCTTTTCTCCATGTATATTTGTAAGAAAAAATTTGCAAAGCTGCCCAGATAGTTTGCCTGACACGACTGGTGCCTTGTCCTTGCCGTTCCCATGAATGCTGTGGCTTTAATCGTTTAAGCCGCTGCTTCGGCCTTCCCCGGCCTGCCCCCCTCCAGGCACGCTCGATTACAGTCCAGCATAGCCATGGTGGGAGTTGTACTTCAATGTACCTGGAGGGGGCCAGGCAGGGGATTACTCTGATTTTGATTACTTTGTTTTGAATGTCCTGCCAGGAACCAACAGCAGGCCTGGGCATTATCTTGGACAGCGTCTGTGGAATGTTTCCCCACCACCTCTCTCCTCTTCTGCAGTTACTTACGGCTCTTGTTTCAGACAAATCCACAGCAAAGAAGGTACAGTGGGAGTCCTGGGGAGAGCAAGAGAGTGTGTGTTGGGACCTGCTGCCAGAAGCCAGCGCAGTGACTGGACGAGGGATGTCATGCCCTGTCTGTCCTGTTTGGCATGCCGTCTGTGACTCCCAGATGGCTGTGGCCACTCCCATGGCGCCGCTGCAGTGGCTTAGGTCATCCGCACAGTGCCTTCCCCACCCTGAAGGACTGAACTTCCTAAGGCGAAGCAGCTGTCAGCGGCTAGAACAGGCTGGCAGTTTTGGCACGGCTCTTTTCTGCCTGTGCATCTGCCCTTGTTCCTTTTGGGCCCTGCCTGCTACTGGAATGTGGCCTTCCCTCTGGACAAGGTTCAGGGCCCCGGTGCTGCAGCAGAGACTCTGAGTTCAGAGGACCTTGGGCTGGTCGTGAAGTTCAAACCACCGCAGGCTCCTTGGAGTAAAAGCAAACAACAGAGTAGAAGTTCCTTCCTTGAACCCATTTCCAGTGGCACGTCGGAAGGGCAGGTCTCCCCTTTGTGTATCCAGGAAGAAAGCTGGGGGAGAAACCACTTCTGCGAGGCAGTCTTGGGCTACCTCTTTCCAAAGCTCTGCCAGATAGAGGCCACTGCTGGTGCAGAGCGTCTTTCCTTCCCCAGGAGTGGGCTTGGAGTGATGGGCTGGGCTGCCTTCCTCAGCCGGCCCCCTGTCTCCCCCCTTAAAGGTGTACACCTTCTTGGATAAGATGTCCTTCTACATTGAGCTGTACAAGCACAAGCCTGCAGACGTGATTTCTCATGAAGATGGTACCCTGTGGCGGAGGCTGGCACCAAAGCTGCTCTATCCTCTTGGTGAGGAAGTTTGCTCTTCGGAAAGATTTATTTGCATGGATAAAGGCAACCACATACTTAAAGAATTTAATGGAGGAATAATCTGTTTCACATTTGTTCATCAAGATGGCAGCATGAACCAAATGAAAGGCAGCAGTGTCCTTTGTGAGAGCACTCTCTGTTTAGAGCAGCAGTAGCACGACGCTGAGGACATCAGGGCTTTCCTGAAAAATTCAGTATTCTGTCCCTTTCAAACCAGGAGCAGGGCTGGCCAGGAGCCATTGGAATTGCAGCCCTTTGTGGGATAGCCGCTCCCCGCACCTCAGCTGGTCAGGAGATTTGTAGCAGGACCCCTCCAGCAGATCTTAAGCTTCCAGCAGGAGAGTCATAGTTTCTGTCAAGTAGGTTTCTGGTGCAGGAGGTGCAGACACCCAAGCAGCACGTCAGGCTGCAAACAGACATTCCATGCAGGCAGTGGCGATGAGGTCCACATGAGCCTTGAATTATGCAGGACCATGTCTGGAAAAAACGGACTCAGACTGCCACCATTCTCTGCTCTGCATCCAGGTCAAGACCCTGCCGAGTCCTGCCCTCAAGGCTGAGCAGTGCTTAGCGGCCATCATTTAGAGAGAGACTTCAGGGCCAAGCTGCTAGGCAGAATCGCTGAGGATGAATCTCTGTGTGCTTTTCAGGAGCTCCTCTCCTGTGGAGTGTCTCACTTGGTCTTGTGTCTCTTTTTTTGCATTTTAGGGTTGGGCCAAACAAACCTGAGAATACCTCAAGGGACGGTAGGGCAGGTGATGATTGATGACCGGGCTTACCTGGTACGATGGGAGTATTCATACAGCAGCTGGACACTTTTCACTTGTGAGATCGAGATGCTGCTGCATGTGGTGTCAACTGCTGGTGAGTGCTGGAAATTTGGAAAGCTGTCCCAAATTTGGGGCAGAGGAGCTATAAAATGTGCTACAAGGCGATTGAGCTATCAATAAAATTTGGTTTTCTCAGATGTCATTCAGCATTGCCGAAGGGTTAAACCAATAATTGACCTGGTCCACAAGGTCATCAGTACTGATGTGTCGATAGCAGATTGCCTCCTGCCCATTACGTCGCGGATCTACATGCTCTTACAACGGTAAGCAAGCACGTCCAGTGGCTTTCTCTGAATCCACCAGGATGTTTCACAATAATCTTGGCTCAAGGGTGCAGTCCTGGGTTCGTTTAGACATGCACAGGATTGCACCAAAGCCTTTTCAGACACTGTATCTCACCATGTGCTCAGAAGACAATATCTCCTGTCTGAGTGTTTTGGAAGGTTCCCTGTAACAGTTCAAGTTTCTTTTTTCCCCCAGGTTAACGACGGTGATTGCTCCCCCAGTTGATGTTATTGCTTCCTGTGTTAACTGCCTGACTGTTCTGGCCTCCCGAATGCCTGCCAAGGTCAGATGATGGACAGTCACTTCCATTTTATCAGAATCGCCTCGTAGGCACAAATATATAAATGCACTTTTTCACCTTTTCAGGTTTGGACTGACCTTCATCATACAGGCTTTTTACCATTTGTAGCTAATCCACTTTCTAGCATGAGTCACGTGATCAGGTAACTTTATTTCCGTGAGTGCCATTTTTCAGACCTTATCCATGAATGGAGATAGCCGGACAAAACTCTGCATGATGCTAATTAAATAGAAATGAGCTAAACATAGCTTTCTCTGACTTGATGCCCTATACCTACTTTGAAGTATAGCTCCCATCATCCCTGACCATCAGCCTTGATGTCCAGGGCAGGCTGTAATCCAAAAATTCTGGAGGGCTCTGTGTTGGAGGAAAGCTGCCCTGAGAATTTGGTGGGGTGTGCAGCAGCTTTCTATGGACACTTAAACATTATCTGTAATGCACACCATCTGTTGTCCCTGCTTCCACCTGGCCGACCTGCCTGCTTTCCCTGTTGCTCCACAGTGCAGAGGGAATGAATGCCGGAGGGTACGGGAACCTGCTGATCAGTATTGAGCAGCCGCAAGGCGAATATGGCGTTACAATCTCCTTCCTAAACCTGGTCATGACGCTTGTTCGGGTAAGTGCTTTCAGGGGAAGAAGTCCTGGGAATGAAGCCTTCCCCATCCTGACACCCTTGAGATCTTTTGGTCTTCAACTCCCATCAGCCCCAGCCAGTATGACCGACTGGGAGTTGTTGCACATCAGGGCGGGCCTAGTCTTTCAAACCTGCACCCAGAGAAAACGCTGAGCAGAGAATTTGGGCTTCTGCTGGTTCAGGTTTTTCTTTCTGTTACTTTCTTTAGCAGAATTCTGTGTTAACAAAAGATTCTGTGGTCTTATTGCTTCCACTAGGGGCAGCTTGGCAGCACCCAAAGTCAAGGTTTGGTGCCCTGTGTTGTATTTGTCCTGAAGGAGATGCTGCCAAATTATCACAAATGGCGGTATAAATCCCATGGAGTGAGAGAACAAATAGGTAAGTGTGACTTTCCATGGGGATTAACTCATTTTCTATCAGCTCTCATGTTTTCTGGGGTTTATATTTTATTACAGGCATTCCCAACTTTATTGGCCATGCTTGGGGTTTTGAGAGGGTCATGGGCACTCTCACAAAATGGCTGCCATGATATATGCAGCAGTCACAAAATGCTCCTTTCCTAGAAGGCAAAGTAAAGGGAAAGTAACCTGCACTAGTTCAAGACAAAGGTGGGTGGGATCAAAGCCCGCAAACACACTGTTTTGAAACCCAGGTAAAGATGGTTCTGGAGCACAGTTTAAACAAAAAGTTTAAACATCAAAATCAGGAGGGACAAGAATCCTCTTGGGTGCCAAAAGAGACCCCTGTAGGCCTATTTGGTGCCCATGGGCACCACTTTGGAAACCCAGCCCCTATTCTTTTCAATACTTGGAAGCAGAAACTCTGAAACTCTTGCTGAGCCTACTCATGGCCACCTGAGTGTCAGCATCTGGGGCGTGGGTGGCTGGATATCAGGTCAGGGCACCAGGACCCAGGCAACTGGCACGATATACTGGCCCGTTCCAGATCGTAGTCAGGCAGCCCAGAGATCAAGGTGAGTAACAGAAGGGCAAGGCAGGCCAATCCGAATAGGGCAGAGCATTCTGAATGCCAGTCAGGAGTCAAAAGCCAGAGAGACAAGCCGAGGAGAAGCGGGTACCTGGAGCTGGAGCAGGTGAAGCCGGGCATGGGCAGAGGCAGAGGCAGGAGCAAGGCGGCGGGCAGGGTCTCCAGAAGCGGGTTCCAGAAGGCACAGGGAGCTCCAACAGCACCAAGACCCTTTGTTGCTGAGGCCACATCTGAAGGGAAGAGCCGCTTCTGAGCCCCTCCTCCCTCAGGGCTCCCAGGTGGCGCTCGCAACATCCCAGGTGGCTGTGATTGACTGCGGGCCCAGGGCTGCTGTCCTGCTCTCTGGCCAGAAGAGGGAGCCCTGGTGCTGCCTCAGAACCTCACGCAGATGCTGGCTGAGCCAAGCGATCCCTTTCCTAACACGTACTGCTCCTCTGGGGTTGAAGAAATGGGTAACATGACTCCCTAGCCATACAGCTCCTACCTGCGGTTCCAACCTGCCCACTTGGGTTTCATTATCTGGCTGTGCCCCCCCCTCCGATGCCACCGCTAAAGGGACAAAGTGTTGCAAAGCTGGCTGCTTTCACTCCACCTTCTCCCCTTAAAGATTGTCCACGCTTTCCCTTGCTTTCCAGGGTACCTTATTTTGCAGCTGATTCATGCAATCTTGAATCTGTGCCCTGAGATGGATCCTCCGAGCAGGTACAGTGCGGTTAGACTCTTTTTCCTCTGCCCTCCAAGTAAATGCCCAGGCCCATCCTTGCGTAACTCGCATAGTGAGTTGAGCTTGCAGCCCTTACAGCTGCAGAGAGCACACCCTCTGCCCCCTTGTGGTGCTCGCCGTGTCAGGCTGGCCTGCGAGCTGAGGACTGTGCTCTTGCCTTTCAGCAGCACCCCCAGCCTGCAGTCCCTCTGCATCTTCAGCCTGGCTAACACCGAAGCTGGCCAGGCAGTGATCAACATCATGGGCATTGGGGTGGACACCATCGACGTGGTGGTGGCCATGCAGTCCACGAGGTGAGTTGCCTGTCCCTTTCGTATTTTAAGAGAAGCTGAGCTCCAGGGGCTCGTCTTTCTTGGGCTGGCGGCTTCTGGGATGGTAAGAGCAGGCACGTGCTTGACGGGCAAGGTGGGTTCTGATGCTGCTGTGGGACTGTGCGGAGGGGGCTTCTAACGCGGTTCTTGTCGGGCACACAGCGAAGAGCCCCAGACCCCACGTGAGAGCCAGGGCCAGCTGCTCATTCACACCGTGAAACTGGCGTTCTCGGTCATCAACAACGTCATCCGGTTAAAGCCACCGTCCAGCGTTGTGTCTCCTTTAGAGCACGCCCTTACCCAGCACGGTGCGTACCTTTCTGCCCCCCGGATATGCATGCCTTGCGCACATGCGCTGTTTGTAGCATGCATGCCTTCGGGGTGACAGTGGCCTTCTGAGGAAGTGCACTGCTTGCCTTCATTAGGGACGTACTAATGTGCCTGCACCTTTTAAACCCTGTTTTTGCCAGGTGCGCACAGGAACAACCTGGTTGCCGTCCTGGCCAAGTACATCTACCACAAGCACGACGCAGCCTTGCCCCGTCTCGCTATCCAGCTCCTGAAGCGCCTGGCTACAGTAAGGCTTGCCCTCTTCTCAGTTCCCCATTTTTGTGGTTCCGCAGGCTGTGCCTGTGCACTTCAGAAGCTCCGTTTGGGAAGAGGAGCCCTCTTGGCTGCCCTGAAGGGCGATTTGGGCCTGTATGTGTAGGCTTGGTTTTGGATTGAGCCCTTAATGGATTGAGCCTGGCATTTCTGAGGCATCTTCCTTCTGCAGAGCCGATTCCTTCTGGAGTGGCTAAAGACTTGCAATGAGCATCTTTTAAAAGCGCCATTAGACTTTTAATTGGATTATGAGTTGGAGACCTGTTTTATTCCAGTAGACAGGGAGGAATTCCTATTGTTTTATTCCAATGTGATGAACCTGTTGTCTTTGCTTTCTGCTGCTGTTCTGAGGTGTCAGTATAGGATTAGAAATGAAGAGCAAAGGATCTGGAATGTGGGCCATCTTGGCAACTCCTCTGAAGCGTAATATGTAATTGGAGGTCTCCAGTGTGGTACTCACAGGTGACAGTCTGTCTGCAGTCACCTCTCTTGGTGGTCACAGGCTCTCTGCCCTACCTGAGGTTATATTCTTAAGATTGTTTAAATTAATACCATGTTAAAAACTGCATGGTAGTGCTTCAAAGCAAAGTACAGGTTCAGATAACTGGTCCTGTGTTTTAGAGCTCAGAAGCCAGCTCCACCTTGGACTTAGGTTTTTGGCCAAGTTACTTTTCTTGGAATCTCACAGTTTGCCATTTCAGAAATGTGTGTTCTGTGAACTTCCATGCCCACCATGGCAGCCAGTTAATGGAAGCACAAGGCAGCCATTTTGTGAGAGCACCTGTGATACTCTCGGGTTGATGATAATGAGTTTGGGGACCCTCGCATATAAGAAAATGCCAGAAGTGATGAAAAGAGACATGATTTTCCTTTGTAAACAGTGTCAGTAGTCTCTCTTTCCTCCCCGGCTTTTTCCAGGTTGCTCCCATGTCTGTCTATGCCTGCCTTGGAAACGATGCTGCTGCCATCCGAGATGCCTTTCTGACACGCTTGCAGAGCAAAATTGAGGACATGCGTGTTAAAGTCATGATCCTGGAGTTCCTCACCGTTGCAGTAGAAACACAGCCTGGGCTCATTGAGCTGTTCCTCAACTTGGAAGTGAAAGATGGGAGTGAGGGGTCAAAGGTAAACCCTGAGGAAGGTGCTGCTCTGTTTGGGTGACCGAGGGCGCAGCCCTCTGCCGGGCTGGACAGGAAGGAGGCTGCAGCTCCAGCATGCCCTGCTGCTCCTGTCGGCTGAGGCTGCTGGGTGTTGCTCTCTAAACACGTGTAGGTTTGTGCTCTAAGGGCAGAGGTCTTGAAATGGATGAGACTCTTTGCTGGTTGCAACTGACTTAAGTCCCAGAAGGATTTGGTGAAACCTTCATCTTGAGGAACTTAAAAAACAGCAAGCTACAGCCACCACCTTGGTTTATCGCAAGCAAATAGGAATGAAGGCGCTGCTGCAAGTGGGAGGAGCTCAGTGCACCGGGGAGGCTCCATCCCTGGGTTGTTGATTGTTGCCCGGAACTTTGGGATGGTTAAATCTGAGTTCCAACTCTGGGCTGCCTCTCCTCCAAGGACCTGGAATTCCAGGTTTGGGTGTCCTCTTGCATTAAGTGCTGGAATGCCTCTGGGCTTCGTTCTACCTGCTTCTGGTGAGAGCAAGCAACTGACCTGCCAGGAACTGGATCCCTTCTTCCAGTTGTTCACAAAAACCACCCTTGGGGAAATGCTGCCTTTGTGCAGAGCTGACCCATGAGCCTCACTGCTTGGAGAGCACAATATTCTCTCTCTGCTCCCAGCAGCTGGGCTGGGCTGGGCTGCTGAGGTTCGCTGCCGACCGCCAGGCAACTGCCTGGGCCCCTTTGCCTTAGTAAAGTGCGCCTTTCTTTTAGGAATTCAGTTTAGGTGAGTGGAGCTGCCTTCATGTAATCTTAGAGCTTATAGATGTCAAGCAGCCAGAGCGGTACTGGTGCCCCCCACTGCTGCAACGCGCTGCCGTCGCCTTCCTGCATGCCCTGTGGCAAGATCGCCGAGACAGCGCCATGTTAGTCCTCCGGACCAAGTGAGTGCGGTTGATTTCTAGGCTCTTGTGGCCACAGTCAAGGAGGGACCAGAACAGAGCGGTCAAATTCATGGGAACCAGGTTGGGAGAAAGGCGAGATTAATTTCATCAAGTCGTGGCGATGACAACAGACTCTCAGGATGAGGTGAACTTGCAGAGAATTTGTCTGCCAGCCCCATAGCCATCCTGACATCAAGGTTTAGAAGTAACAGCTCCCTTGGGATACCAGAGGTTTGGGAGGCAGATGACTGGGCTGGGGGCAAGGGGGGTGTAGAGGCTCGTTCCTCCTCCTGGGGGTTTCCCAGAAGGTGCACTAGCTGGACTGGCAAGACCCTCTCTTGCTCAGTTCTTACATGATTAGCTATGTTTCGTTTCAAAGAAGGCAAAACAGGCACTAACTTTGATTTCTTTCTTTTAGGCCAAAGTTTTGGGGAAACTTGACCAACCCACTGTTTGGAACCCTCCCTGCTCCCTGTGAAACATCAGAGGTGAGTAGCTCCCACAGAAAGCAGATCTCCTGCTGTTGTGAGCGTGGCCGAAACTTTTGACTGCTGTTTCCCTAAAGAAGCAAAGTGGGATAGAGACTTCACAAATAAATACACCTAACACTGGATAGGTTAAGGGTTCTGCAAGCCTTTGGGGTCAGCAGGTCACTTGAAATGTCGCAAGTGCTCTCACATAATGGGCACATGCTTAAAATGGCGTCCTGGGCATGGTCAGTCACGAAACACACATCTCCCAGAAGGAAAACGAGTGAGATTATAAACCAGGTAGCTTGGGCCTGCGTTTTACTACAGGACAGAAATGTGGGGGGTGGTCCCCAGTGCAACCCCTCACAAGGCCCAACAACTTACCCATTTCGCAAAGGCAAACATGCCTACACACACGGCTAAAATGTCGCGCCAAAACCATCAAGCAAGCCAATGCACGTGCCCCCACCCAGCAGCAGCCGAACGCTGCCCTGGCTTCCAGGTCCCTCACGGTGCCTTCTCAGGATGCTCCCCTGTGCAGGCACAGAGCATGCGAGTTCATTCTTTCCCATCTCCTCTCTCCAGCTCAGTGTCTTGGATACGTGTGCCTTGATCATGAAGATCATTTGTCTGGAGATCTATTACGTGGTCAAGTAAGTTTACTGAAAAGCACTTTGTAGGGAGAGTCGTCCACTGGACCCATTTTGGATGGAGGAGGGGAGACACCGTTTCCTCCTACACCGAATGTCAAACCTCTCAGCCATTTCGAAGAGGCTCTGGATCCCTGTTCCAGGAATGGTCGAGGTGCAGGCTAAGGGAGAGGGTTGAGGGCCCATTCCATCTCAAAGCGCTTCCTGCCCGTGATGGAGCCTTAGAGGAAGCAGCCATGGAAAACCTGTGAAAACAGCTAATTACTGTGGAGAGTGCCCTCCACTTCTACTTCCCCTCCTGGCACATAGAACAATTCACAGTTAGTGGTTTTAAGACAACAACTCACAATTACACACTCCAGCGATGCAGCTCACCCCACAATATTGTCCAACAGTGTGTGAGGTGTGACACAAAAATGACCAGATCAGTAATAAAAAAAATTTATTGATGAATTACAGCATTCTGAACATTGCCACCTTCTGTTTACCTCCCCTCCCGATCTCTGCACTACTCCACACGCGTGAAGGAGTGCTGGAAGTCTCCTTGCGTGAGGCTCTGCAGCAGACTTGCCCTTTTTGTCTTCACTTCGTCCACTGATGCAAAACGTGTTCCCTTCAGGTCACTTCTTATTTTTGGGAGCAAGTAAAAATCACAGGGAGCTAAATCAGGTGAATAAGGAGGATGAGTGAGGACAGGAATGTTTTTTCCACTCAAAAACTGCTTTATGGAAAAAGCATTGTGCGCGGGGGTATGATGTTGATTCGCTGTTAGATTTTTTCCCCCCGACATTATCGTGGCAACATGTGTAGCGAGTGCGAATACTGCCTGGGCTCTTCATAGGACATACCTAGCCGGTCGGCGGTTTGAGAGGGCATGTAGGAGGAGTTCTATGATGTACGTCTAACCGATCTCCAGTCGGTTTTCCAGGAAAGCCCTAAGCACAATCTGGTTATTTCTGTGTCTCACCTCATACAGTAATGGGAATGCATCCATCTGAACATAGCAACAGCGTGCCCATCTAAACCTGTTTCAGCAGATTGCCTTTATTGAACCTTTCTGTCTGGAGAAAGACGTTTTCCCCACCTTCTAGGATGAGCACGTGCATTCATTCCTGTTGCTATACAAAATGATACAGCGGTGAGCTGTATTACTGGGGCTGCGGCCGTTACAGCGTAATTGCCACCTAAGAGAGCCAAGGCACAGGGCCAGTAGTGCATGTGCGTTTGGCAGCTGCTCTAGGATGCCTGCGCGCTAGCAAGCACTGGCTTCTGCAGGTGGTGCATCACCGCACCATGGGATCCTCCCCACGGCTTCCGGCATGTTCCTCGCACTCTTTTCATGCTCTGTAGCACCCTTCCAACCGTGCCTGCCTGTGTAGACGCTTGAGCCCTTCTGTCAGTCCAAGGGTCATTGAAAGACTTGCAGCTCCTGGTGTCTCAATTGCATGCAGGGGCTCTCTGGACCAGTCCCTCACAGACATGCTGAAGAAGTTTTCCACAGAGAAGCGCTTTGCTTATTGGTCTGGCTACGTGAAGTCCTTGGCATTCCATGTGGCAGAGACAGAGGGCAACAGCTGCACTTCCATGGCGGAGTACAGGATGCTAATTTCTGCCTGGCGGATGATGCTCATTGTTTCTTCCAGCCACGTGAGCAGCTTTTTCTTCTTGTGCCCTTTGTCCCCAAAGTTTAAGGGATGGCAGCTGGAAGAGGGAATAACTTAGCTAGGAGCAGCAACAATTTAATAGGTGTAGCCTAGGAGATTAGCACAAGTCAGCTCTGCGTTTAAGTAGAGAATGAAATGTGGTATGTAGATTAGTAAAATCAGTTACACCAGGTAACTCCAAAATTGTTCCATTTTGGAAATGGTAAGGAAAAGGCAAGCGAAACAATAAAATGTCTGGGACATCTTCCCCATGAATTTGGGGCATTTTAGCTTGTGTGGGGGCATGATATAGATCCGGGGACTCCAACTTATTTTTGGTCAGTGGGCAGCTTGGATTCCGAGAAGGATGTTGGGATCTTAGGACGTCTGTCCAAACAGGCATCTGCCGGCACCCGTAGTGACTTGCGCACAGTAGTCGAACAGGTGTTCCTGGTTCAGAGGCTGTTCACACGGGGCCCGTGAGCAGGGGGGTGCCTGCTGGCCGCCCTTCCATCCTCTGCGTCTGAGAGGAAATCCTCCCATGCAGCGGAGGCTTTCGCATGGTGGTTGCAGCTGCCACTTCTTTACCGACTTGGGTCTTCTCAGGCTGACATCATGCACTTGACTGACTCGGAGGTCCGGCCATTGTTCCTGGATGTCCTCGGTGGGACCAAGGCTTTGGTGAGTGTTTCCACTTAAACATTAGCAACTTAAGGGAGCTTTCAGTGTGGCTTGGATAAGACCACTACTGAGAATGATGGAGAGATTCTAGGCCTCTTAGCATAGGAGGCAGGGTCTTCCTTAGGTGTAAGAAAATCCAGTAAGAGTATTCCTCTCTTACGGCTGTATATTTCATTCAACTGGTTGAGCGAATGTTTGGAGTGATTATATCCTGGGCACAAAATTCACAGTAGCTGTGAAAGTAAGGGGCAGACACATACAGTGTAGGGCCAGTGCACAGTGGCTGTGTAGGGTCATGAACTTCTCTTCACGCTTCTAGGTGTCTTTTCTCAAAAGGCAGCGTCCGTTCAGGTTGCCCTCTAGTCCATTCCAGGGACAAATCTCATCTCCACCTGGAGCCGATTTCCTGAAGTTGGGGAGATGGAGGCTTAAACTGGCCTCTTCCCATCCTCACAGGGATCTGCTCTTGTGCAGTTCAGGCAGGGGTCAGAACCTCAAGCCCTGGGCCCAGCCTTGGACTCCCCAGAAAGCCATGCTCTTCCTCCCCGCCCCTTCCCCCTTTCCTTCAAAGGTTTGTGGGTTTCCCAGCCTCCGTGCCATTCCCGTCCCCACACATTCTGAGCACGCAAAATGTCCATCTGAAGGTTTAGTTTCTGGCAAAGAGAGCTTGCGCTGAACTATCCCAGTGCTTTTGGCCCTGCCCAGTTTGCTGCTGGCTGTTCCGCTGCTGGAATGCACCCTTGAGCACTTCCCTGAGATGGAATTCAGCCCTCAAGCTGAATTAGGTCCCCCACACGCCCACAAAGCTGCTGCAAAAAGCATTCATTTTCCGTTTAAGCTGTGCTTAAATAAGCGCCCAGACAGTAACTGTTTGTGCTGGCGGCAGTTGAAATGCACAAGCAGCTCTCCTTGTCACCTGGTACTCAGGAAACACAGGACTTGATGGCTTTTCTGGCATACCCCAGAACGTCAAATCCCTCCTTTGAGATGGCCGCGTTACTCCCTCTCTTTCCTGAAGCAAGTTAAAATAATTTCAGTTATACTTATGGAAATAATTTAAAATGCTTCCTCCCATTATCACCTCTGATGGCTGGCTGCTTTGTATTTTGTTTTTTTCAAAAATTATTTTATGATCTATTTAAGCTTTAACTGACACTTTCTTGAGCTAATGTGCCATACTGCTGTAGAAGCTTTATACTGCGATGCAGTGTTAAGATCTTTCAACTCCATCGCAAATAAATTTCTCCACAGATGCTGGTTCCCACTTCGGTGCGCTGCCTGCAGTTAGGATCCATGCTCTGCACTCTCCTGCTAATCCTGCTGAGACAGTGGAAGAGGTAGGTGTGTTAGGCAAGAGGACTCAGGACAGTGCGAAAGGACTCGGTGGCGGTCCTTGCCTGTGCGAAGCCCCGCAACGGCCCTCCCACCTGGTGTGGTGTCAACCTGACGTAGGCAGCCCACTGGCAGCAGCATGTTCCAGACACCTTTCTTGCCTCGTCCCTCTGACTTTAAGTTGTAAAAAAGTTAACTTCTCCTTACTGGCAGCTAGACTTGCAGCAACATAGGCCTCTGTTGGCACTAAACATGCTGGCTTCAGAAGAGTTCGTTTAGTTTGCTGGGGCTCAGCCTCCAGTTCTGCCCTGGACTCGGTCTTGTGGGCCAAGTCAGTTAGGCTTTTCCTCCATTTTGGGCTAGTGCCCAGCAGAGTTTCTCAAGTTTCAGTTACAGAAAAGGACAAGGGATAATAATCTTGAGAAAGCACAGAAAGGGGCTCCGTCTCTGAGGGAAGAAGCATGAGCAGGTTTCCACAATCCTCTGCCTTGGTGTTGGACTACGGCTCCCATCACCTCCAGCCAGCGGGCTGCTGTCTATGCTGTCCGGCACTGATGGCCAGAGAGCGCCAAGGTGGGAGAGACGGCAGTGGCACCTGGGCTTGCGCCTGCCCGGAGCTGTCTCTCTGCCTCTGCCTTGTCCCAGAGCCAGGACCCCGAGCATCCGCCAGGGCCGTGGCGGTGCTGAGCGGCAGGGTGGCGCATGCTGCGACGAGGTCTCTCAAGTGCTTCCCTTCCCTTCCCTTCCCTTCCTCATGCTCCCTCCCTGGCCGTGCCGGCAGTGAGCTGGGCTCTGTCGATGCAATCGTAAGTTCCTTGACGCAGATCCTGGAGGGGGTGCTGCAGGCTGACCCCCAGCTGATGGAGAAGACCAAGGCCAAGGTGTTCTCTGCACTGATCACCGTCCTGCAGATGAAACACGTGGAAGGTAAGAAGCTGCTGGTGGAGGGACGAGCCCCCACCCCGCCCTGAGTCTTGCTGTCCCATGGCATGCCCTTGGCTGGGAGCAGGGGCTTGGGACCATGGCCCCCGTCCAGCAGGGGCTGTGGTCGGGCAGGAGGGGTGATGAGCTCGAACGGGTATTCTGCTCCTTTGGTGAGTGTTAGGCAGTTTTTTGGGCAGAGAACTGTCCTCGGGTTGCTCCTTTGCAGAATGCCAGGTGCACCGAGAGAGCCTCCTGCCTCTCGCATAAAAAGGGGACAGGGCCCTGTTCAGCCTGGGTCGATATGTAGCACGTGTATCCTCCTGCTTTTCTCTGCTCTGGGTTACAGTGAGTGAGATCCCACAGTACTCCCAGCTGGTTTTGAGCGTGTCTGAGACGCTGCAAGAGGAATTCATCGCCCTCTTTGACCAGACGCGGCACTGCCTGACCTCTGGCGACCCTGTGGAAGACAAAGACAGCATGGAGACGGACGATCCCCTCCGGCATAAGCAGAAGGACCAGCGGGATGGGGCACGTGGCTTTTCACAATCCTTAGCATTCCCGATAGTGGAAGCAACCGTAGTGAGCGTGAAAAGTAGTCTGGCTAAAATGCAGTGGTTTATCAATTTGCCTCGGGGTAGATTCATTTCGGAGGCTGGTGGGCACATCTGACGTTCTGAGAGAGGGTTGTGGGTGTTCCACAAAATGCGTGCGATGTGGGGGGGGCCAGCCCCAGTGTGCTTCCCAGAAGGGCGGTTTTGCAGATGGTACGTGTTGAAGCGTTCTGGGGCTGCTGTTTCCCTGGCTGTGGTCCTGAGGAGGCCCCCGCCCCTGAAAGGGCCCCTCTGGGAGGGGACAGTCCACATGGTGCTGAAGGGAGGCTCTCCCCCAAAGCAGCTTCGGGGAAGCGCAAGGCTGCAGCAGAGGTGGCACAGGGGAAAGGTACTGTTCAGCAGGTGCCTGCTTCTTGCCCAGGTGCAGCTAATGCCGTGTGTTATTTGACCATCTGGGAGCTTCAGGATTAAGCAGGGATTGAACCCGGATCTGCTAAGGCTAGTCATAATAAAGGGGATGCTTACAGACACCTTTCCCGCCTCGTATTCTCCAGATGTGCTGGACTGCAGCATCACCAGCTACTCTAAAAACAGTTTCCGCTCCGTTGCAATTGGCTCAGAGACTGGCTCCATTTGCTGGTTGGCAAAAAAGCAGCACAAACGGAGGATCTTATTTGGGGGTGTCCCAGCTAACCCCATGGAAAAAGCTGTTTTTGGCCAGGTGGTTCCAATTTTAACTGCTGCTTGAAGACACTCTCAAGCATCCGACAAAGGATAAAATGGTTTTCATTCATCTCCAGAACTGAATATGCCTGATTGTTCTTTTTCTTATTTTATGAATGCTTAATTAGATGCTTTAAGGCAGAACTGCATCCCTCACCCATTAGTGCAAGGAGCTGTTCCCCAAAGAAAGTCCTTTACAAATGCCTTTGCTCCCTCTACTTTTTCAAAAGGATGCTACTTTGTTTCTTACTGTGAATGAAGACGGGTCCCCAAAAGCATCAGTTGCAGTAATAGTGCTTCCGGCGGGGCCCTCGGTGACCGCCGTGTCCTTCCCTGACCCACTTTGCCTCCCCCTTGCGGCAGGTGTGTGTGCTGGGACTGCACTTGGCTAAGGAGCTCTGTGAGGCCGACGAAGAGGGAGATTACTGGCTGCAAGTCACCCGCAAGGTCCCCATCCTGCCGACTCTCTTCACCACTTTGGAGATCAGCTTACGAGTCAAGCAGAACCTGCATTTCACAGAAGCCTCGTTGCACCTCCTGCTGACCTTGGCCAGGACCCAGCAGGTGAGCAGCACAACGGCCTCATCCTGGCAACACATCGGGTAGCTACTTGGTTTATGTAGTGCTGGGATGTCCAGCTTGTCAGGAGCAGCTGCACTGGGAATGGCTGTTGTTAATAACACGAGGGGCCCTGTTCTCTCTCTTCTGTGGCAAGGAGCTCGCCCTCAATTGCCACTGGTTGCTTCTGGACTTCAGCAGCATCTCCCCTCCACGTGTGTGTGTGGGTGGGGGGGCGATGAGGACCAGTAAGCTCTCCACACGGCTTCGATGTGCCTGGTTCATAGTGGCTGCCTCTCCCAGAGGCTGAAAGGGACAGACGATTGGAGGGCAGCGAGCACACGCCTCCCGCCAAACCCCTGCTTGGCTTTCAGTGAGGAGAGCCTTGGCAAGGGGCTGCCTGGTGGCAGATGGGCTGCCCGGGAGTCGGAATGGCTGTTTGGATTGTCTTCTCCGCCTGGCCAGAGGCAAGTGTCCTTCCAGCAGTGATGGATGCCTCTCTTGCAGGGGGCAGCAGCCATTGCTGGAGCCGGCATTATGCAGAGCATCTGTTTGCCCCTCTTGAGCGTGTACCAGCTGAGCAGTAATGGAACTGGCCAGGTGAGTGGCACTTCTCTTGCCCACATCTTGCTGTGACCTAGAGATTGCGCTGCATTAACAGTAAGCCTTGCTTATTCTCGGAGACCCCTTTAACCATAGCTGGTCTTCTGAATGGGCTGTGCAGGTGCCCGCATCCTCTCGGAAATCTCTGGATGCCCCCTCGTGGCCTGGAGTCTACCGGCTTTCCGTATCACTGATGGAGCGCCTTCTGAAGACCCTCCGTTACAACTTCTTAACTGATGCTTTGGACTTTGTGGGAGTCCATCAAGAAAGAATCCTCCAGGTTTGTTGACATGAATGGTTTAGTTCGTTCACAATGTTTGCAAGCCCCTCTTCAAAACAAGCAGATTCCAAGAGTTGATAGAACAGTGTAGCAAAATTAAAAGCAGAGGTACCAAATGACAGCAGTGCTTGGTAGCCCTTCAGAAGAACGAGGCCTTGGGTAATGTTTTTGAAAGTCTGCAAGAACACAGCAGCTTTGAGCCTTATCAAACGAAATTGAAGTTTGATTGCAGGAGGAGGGAGGCAAGATACTTGTCAGAACATGGTGAGAAATGGGGGAGTTTTCAGTATTCCTGTAGCACAGAGAGAGAGAGGCGCCTTCTCTGAGGGTCTCGGTTCCTTTCTTCCCAGTGCTTGAATGCCGTTCGCACGGTCCAGAGCTTGGCTTGCCTTGAAGAAGCGGATCACACTGCCGGCTTCATTCTGCAGCTTTCCAACTTCATGAAGGAGTGGCACTTCCACCTGCCCCAGCTGCTGAGGGATGTGCAGGTAGGGAGCACCTGCCGCCACGTGCTCCCGAAGAGCTGCGGCACTGGGCTGGCTGGGGGACGAGCAGCAGCTCTGGCGGAGGGGGGGCAGCTGGGAAGGCGCTGCCCTTGTGGTGCTGGAGCTGCTGGGTCCTTCCCGTCACATCGGGGCTGGGACTGCAGGCCCAGCCCTGCCTGCAGTCTGCACCTGGCTCACTTTGGATGCCCAGCCAGCCAGCCTGCTTTGCAGGGCTGCCCTGGCACGGGCTGTTCTCTCAGCTCCTGTGCTCTGTATGCCCTCCCCAGGGGCTGCGTTACTGGCAGGAGGGCCTCTCTGGAGGCCATGCTGCCCCCACCCCTCGGCCTTCAGCCGTGGCCGCCACTGGGAGGCAGCCCTCGATAGCTCTGGAACGGAGTGCAGCTGAAGAGCCTCCCTGCCGCTGCTTTACCTTCCCTAGTGAAGTTTGGGCCTTGAAGGGGCTGAACACTACCTTAAGAAAGCAGCCAGAACTCTGAGTGGGGATACTTTGGATTCTGCACCCTCCAGATGGGATGCTGCCATTTGCTGGCAGAAGCATCAGACTTGCTTTCTCCTATGCTTCAGGTGAACTTGTGTTACCTGTGCCAGGCCTGCACCTCATTGCTGCACAGCCGCAAAATGCTCCAGCACTACTTACAGGTAAACTTTAGAACAAGAGTCCTGTTCTCATTGAGGGGTCGGCCAGGGTTTGGATGTTCCCGCTTCAGACAGCATGTAGAACGTGAACGGCTTAAGGGAGAAAGCTGCACCAGAACCTTTCTCCCTGGCTTGCTAGTGTTCAAGGTGGGCTTGGTTTTCTGTTTCTTTGGGGGAGTGTTCTGCCATCTGAGCCTTTATTTGTGGTTTGAAATCATACAGCTCAGATGTGGGTTGGCCACCCCCCTGAGAACTAGGCCTTTAATTCAAACTTAATAAATGTAAAACAAAGCAAGATGGCTTGCAACAAAATGAAAACACACATTTTAAAGAATTTGGAACAGTTCATTCCGTGCCCTGCACTCTGGGATGCTCGAGAAGAGATCCTGTCCTTCCTCTTTGTGACAGCCTTTCCGGTACTTGCAGAGTGCCATCCCACCTCCCCTCAGGCTTCTCTTCTCAAGGCTAAATTTCCCCAGTTCTTTCCATCTCTCCTCATAGGGCTTTGTTTCCAGTCCCCAGAGCATCCTCACTGCCCTCCTGTGAACCCTTTCCAGCTTGCTTACATCTCTCTTAAACGCTGGTGCCCAGAACTGAACACAAGTGAGGCCTCGGCAGTGCTGAGCAGAGGGGGACTGGCGCTGGGAGTGATGCTTCTGTTGATGCAGGCCTTGGCAGGCAGGCAGCTGGTGCTGACAGGCCAGAATCCGCCGGAATCTTGAAACTGCAATAGGTTTAGGTGTGACAGCGTTTCCAAGGAAGTCTTTCTGTACTTGCTGCCATTGAGTGGTGCCAAGCGAGGTTTGCGCTCACTCGCTCTCTCTTGCTCTCTCTCCGAAAACAGTGTCCAAATTCTGCACCTAGAATGATTGAGGAGAGATGGGCAGGTGTGTGCATACAGTGCAACTTTGACTAGGCTGACCAGCTGAGTCCCTGCTTGGGTTCCATCGTTCTGCACCTTGCTGGAGGGAGCTGGGCGCTTAAGGGCCGGCCGGCTGGCGGCCAGCAGCATCTTCACTCACCACACACTTGTCCCCAGCAGACACCTTGTGTGAACCTCCTCTGCACTGGTGCCGGTTTTCACACTGAGCGGGGCTTGCCCGGTTCTCTCTCCTGCCCGCTTCCCTTCCTGTGTCTTCCTTTCAGACCAAGAACGGCGAGTCTCTGCCATCAGGGGTCATGCCTCGCGTCCAGAGACCCCCGCAGGCCTCGACCAAGCCGCCAAGCCCCGAGACGGAGGCGGCAGAGCAAAAGGCCCTGCGCATGGTGCAGTACAGCCTCTTGAAAATCCTCAGCAAATCTCTAGCGGCCTTGCGCCACTTCACCCCTGATGTCTGCCAGATCCTCCTGGACCAGGTACGGACCTGATGCCTGCTCTTACTTGTCTCCCCCGACCCGTTTCTCCTGTGCCGGACGGAGCTCACGGAGCAGAGTTTGTGCCTCTCCATGCAGAGAAGCGGGTGGGGATGACGTCGTGGGAGGGAGAGGCCCGGGGAGGCAGTGGGCTTGGTGGAAGATCCTGCAGACAAGACGTGGCGCTTCCACGACTCCTGTGGTGCTTGGCTTGGGCAGCCTCATGGAGATGCATATTCTGGATTCCCCTTGCAGTCACTGGACCTTGCTGAGTACAACATCCTTTTCATGCTGAGCTTCACAACTCCTGCCTTTGATTCTGACGTGGCCCCGTCCTTTGGGACCCTCCTTGCTACTGTCAATGTGGCTCTCAACATGCTCGGGGAGGTAAGACTTCAGAGGGAACCCTGTGGCGAGGAGCCCGGGAGGACTCCTGGAATGGGGCTGGGGGCTCCCTTGGGCCACTTGGTCTCCCGGCTGCCTTTGCTGAAAGGCAGAGACAAGGGAGGGACAGGCAGCTTTGAAGCAAGGGTTTTGAAGGAGAAGCCTCGCTCCTTCAGGAGATGTGATCTCACCTTTTTGGGTAGCAAAGCCTTTGCAGTGGTGTATCGATTCACCATTCTTGTTGCATCGGTAGAGTAACTGATGCCTGACCTGGACTCTTTCTGTCCTGCCTTCCCTAAATGAGTGGCCTGGCATGGGAAGGGAAATGCTGTGCCTTTCCTGGCTGTCAGAAGCCCACGGAGCTTTTCCTAAGACACGTGTTTAATAAGAACGCTGACCTCTGGGCTCCATTGCAAGTGCCAGACCTGTCTGGCATTGTGGGAGACGCCAGCGGCTCGGCCAGCGTGCCTTCGCCAGACTCTGGCTGTAGCACTGCCTTTCCTTCTCCCCAAAGCTGGATAAGAAGAAGGAACCTTTCACTCTGGCGGTGGGACTGGCCACGCAGCAGGAGGGAAGCAAGACACTCAGGTAAGGAGCTAGGTGTGCTTATTGCCCCGGGTTAAGGCAGTAACCGCTCTGGCACCTGTCCCCTTGTGAGGTACAGGTTGCTGCTCCTAACCAGTTTCTCCTCAAGGCTTCCTTGGCTTGTCTGCTTCCCCATGGGCCCCAGCCAGTGTGGCAAATAATGAGGGCTGCTGGGTGTTGTAGTCCGCACCTTCTGAAAAGACTGGGTGACTGAAAAAAAAAAGGTTGACCTGCAGGAATGGAACCCTGCTGGCACCGAGGAAGTGGTCCCCGAAGGGCCAGAAATATAGTTGTCGCTCCTTCTGTCCCTCCTGACAGGTGAGACGTGTCATAGGTGGTGAAGCTGAGCATTACTGGAGGAATTAAAACCTATATTAGGTCTTCAAGAGGAGGCTGGCAAGCCCTGTGTGTTGTGTAGCCCTGCGACACTAACCGCCTGCTGTCAACGCAGAGGGCCTTTAGCAGGGCTGGGAACTCCTGGCATCCCCTCGAGGCCAACCCAGCTGGAGGGCGGCGGGTTGGGAGGGCTTGGCGGAAGTGGTATCACTGCTGATCGCCGTTCTGCTGACCAGGTGTTTTCTCCTCCTCCAGGTCTCTCCTTATGTTTACGATGGAAAACTGCTTCTACCTGCTCATCTCCCAGGCTCTCCGATACTTGAAGGACCCTGCGGTGCACCCACGGGACAAGCAGCGGATGAAACAGGAGCTCAGCTCTGAGCTGGTAAGTAGCCAGATGCTTTGCAGTGCTCTCCCCACAAGAAGCAGGCACTCGACTCCGCTGTTGTGCTGACAGGCGCAGGCATCTGCAAGGAATGTGCGCCTCCGAAGACTGTCTCTTTTTCCACATGTAAGAGTCAGGAAGAGCCCAAAGCAAGCAGCTTTTTTTTTTTTTTTTGGGTGGGGGTGTGGGGAGCGCAAGCCTGTCTCAGGTCCAGGGCTAAATTCCGCTTCAGAGCGGCTTTTGGGGGCACACTCCAGAGGTGGGCAAGAGAGGGTGGGACCAAAATGCCAGCACACTTTAGCTTGGAGCTCCGAGTGCCTTTTTGAAACGTGGGAAAAAACTAGGCAAAAGCTGGGAAATCAGCAAAATATTGGTGGTCAGGAAGAAGGGGGTGTGGTTTCTGCATTCTGGTTTACAGTTTGAGGGACCTGACCCTGCACCATCTTTTCAGAGCACTCTCCTCTCCAGCCTGTCCCGGTATTTCCGCCGTGGCGGCCCCTCTTCCCCTGCTGGTGGCGTTCTCCCCTCTCCACAAGGAAAATCGTCCTCCTCCAAGCTTGGGCCTGAGGGGCAGGAGCCGCTCTTCCAGCTGGTACAGGCCTTCGTCCGACACGTGCAGAGATAAATGCCGCTCGTCCACTTCCAGAGTTCATTTCCACCCGCTTCTGGCCACCCGCTGTGCCTCTGGCACAAAGAGGAAGAGACTCCGGCCCCCGTACTGAGGAGAGAAGCCTCTCAGGATGTGGAACGGCTCGGAGACAAGGCCTTGTTGTGTGTGCTGCGAGTGAATTGGGCTTTGCCTGAGCGAGCCGCTCCCTTCCCTTTTTGCCCATGGACAGCCTGGGAGGGGAAGAGGCTGGTGGCCCCTCCCCAGATCCCGATCCTTCCTGGATCGGGCAGCCACCTCTTGGTAGAGAGGTGCCACCTCTGTGGTGAAGCCCGAGGACACCGCGGCCGCCTCTCGGCTGCTTCCCCTTAGGGGTACCTGCGGGACCACTCGCCGCTGCTCATGCCTGCAGAGCGCAAGGGAGGCGATTTCACAGCTGGCTTCTTCTCTGAGGTCCGAGTTCCACTGCCTGCCCCTCACCTTTTGTACTCCTTGTTCCCTATTTATACTGATTAAAATGTTTCTAAACAATACTTTGGAAATCAAAGTATGGTTTGATACCGCAAATGTGGTGCTGTGTCGTCGTTTCTCAGTTCAGCGGCTGCCGTGATACGGAAGCCGCAGGAGCAACTGGGAGCGGTGCGGCAGCGCCATTAGCCTCGGCAGGGGCTCAGACCGGTGCTGGGACCGCTGCCGAGTCCTGCACAAGCCAAGCCAGCTGTGCCTCCTGCTCTGGTTTGCAGCAAAGGTCCTCCCTGACCGGAGGACGGACCGAGGGCAGCCGTGGTCCAAGGCGGAGCTGGAGCGGCGGGGGGGGGGGAGTGCGCTGGACGGGGAAGCTGGAGCCCTCGGGTCGAGGCCCCGCTCCGGCCACGAAGCTCGCTGGGTGGCTGTGGACCAGCCTCTGACTTTCAGCCAGCCCTCCCACACAGGCCGGTTGCAAGGATGAAATGGAGAGGGGGAACCAGGGAAGCTGCCTGGGGGTTCCCTGCAGGAAAGAAGGTAGCATTTAAATACTACCAGCAGGGTTGCCGACTGCACCTGACAGTGCTTTTCCCGCCATACAGTGAAGAGGATGGGGGAAGCTGGTCCCCTCCAGCAGAAATTAATACTCTGAAAAGAGATGAAGGACAAACCTGAGTGCAGCTTGGCATCCTCGTCATGCTGCCATGGTTTGGGTGGCAAGGGCAGCTGGTACGACTGACTTGCATTCTGCTCCTCTGGGAAGGACCTCCAGGTGGCTCAGTGGCGGGGGCCTCGCCTTGTGTGCAGAAGACCCGGCTGGGCCCCCGGCAGCATCCTTAGAGAGGGCTAGGCCAGGGTCCTGCCAGAAGCTCTGGGGCCCTTGCTAGCAGCCAGGAAGAGGCCCGTGGCCTGTCTGGGAATAGAGCAGTTTCTGTGTCGGGGGGGTTTTAAGGAAGAGCCCGTTCTTGGGTGGTCCACACGGCTGACGACTTGAGAGAGGCTGGACTCACTTGCAGAGCTCAGTGCGGCACGAAAACCTCCGGATGGTCCGGCTGTTTCCATCTGCTTCTTCCTTAGACCTGCTCAGGCTAAAAGCATTTCACCAGGACCGCCACGGGCTTGTCAGCACTGTGCTTTGGCCCCAAGAACGGCTTCCTGGGGCAGGGCAAGGAGTAGCTGCTGGGGTCTAATAGCTGGGGGAAGCTGGGAGTGGCAACACAATCCGTCTGAAGAGGCGGCGGCTGGGGAAGGCGGAACCGCACTCTGCAAGCTACACTTACGCCAGCACAGCCTGAGGAAGGAAGAGACTGGAGGAAGGTAGCAAAGTGAGTTGCATGTATAAGTTTATTAGTCAAAGGTAGCAGTGACAAGAGCATCAGACCTTGCTGTTTACATTTTGCTCCTCGCCCAAAACATTTCAAAGGACTGCACAGCAAAGTAAAAAGTGGAACCTCGGCAAAAATACAAGAGCCCAAAGGAAAGGGTTGACAGGTGTTCCTGGCTGTTCAGGGGCCAGACAGATGCCACAGCAAACGGGGGTGCAGAAAGGTGGCTTTTAGGGGAACTCGGACCAAGACAAGACCATGCAGGAGATGAGCGTTCAGTCAGGAACATCAGTGGCATTGACAGGCCGTTTGTCAGAGAGGAAATGGTCAGGAGGAGTTTGCGTCATGTCAGCTATCGCAAAAGGAAGCAGGCAGCACACTGGCTTCACCCCCGGGGAGAGCAGTGGGCCAGCTGCTGCCCTCCAGATCTCTTTGCCAGCAGCTTCCATCACACAGCATCATTTGCCAGGCCAGCTAGGGCTCATGGGAAGCACAGGCCCCAACACCTCCCGGGCCACAAAGGGCTCCGAGCGAGAGGGCCTCCATTAACAGGTAACCAGGTGGCCAGGAACGGCTGCCTTGAGCTCCCTCTCCAGGTTCATTCCGTCATCCCCCAGTGCCAGAAACACCAGTGTCCTCTCTCAGAAGTGGGGTTACAGCCGGAGACCCCAGGGACGAGGGAAGGAGCTTTCTGCCCCCTCTTGACTGCTGCCTCGGGGGGCCAGGCCACCCACGCTGCAGCGTCAGGCAGGAGCTGACCTGAGCCCCGGTGGAGCCTCGGGAATGAGGAGAGTCCCCAACGGAGCGAGGCAGGGGGCACAAGCAAGGCATTCGCTGGCAAATGCCCGCCATGGGCAGCAGGACGGCTCACTGGACTGGCTCCTCCTGGTGATGAACCAGGACAAAGGCTCAAGGGACGGCTCAAAAGCCACGCAAAGAGGGTGTCGCACACCGTTGCGCCTGGAATGTCAGGCCGTGGGGAAGGTGCTCAGGGTTTTCACTTGCACCAAGCTCTTGTCTTAAAGGGGTGTCCCCCTCCCTCCAGAGAAAGAAATATGGCTTACTCTACACCTGAGCCAGGTGATGGGGAAGGAGAGGCCCTTGGCAAGGATGGGATCTTGCCGTCTGATCAGCACCCCTCCCCCCCCGAGTTTCTCCGCTGCTACTCTGAGTACAAAAGCAGAGCAGGCCAGATAAGCTGTCCAGCAGGGGGCCCTTCCAAGCCTGAAATTGTCCCGGAAGAGAGAAAACCCCCAGAACGGAACTGATCTGTAACCAATGTAAAACGCTAGTTAGTAAACGACCTGGGGGCAGGCAGGTGGTGGGGGGAGGGATAAAAGCAGTTCTTTGGAAGTGGGTGTAGGGGAAGATGGCAATGTAAACTCAGCAACGCAGAAAAGCAAACGGTATCAGGACCTGAACTGGCAAATCCAGCCCCAAACCGTAACTAGCCCCCTCTCCCAGTTCGTCTGGAGTGTGCCTCGTTTTCCGGAAGTGCCTCCAAATCCACCGCTGGCCGAGGTGGTCACCTGTGGCTCTTCAGAGGTGTGGGCCTACAGCTCCCATCATCCCTCACCGCTGGCCAGGGCTGACGTAGGTTGTGGTCCAACACCTTTGAAGGGTCACACGTTGCCCAACCCAGGAAGCAGAAATGCTGCCTTCCAGGAACATCTGAATATTCCTCTGGAGTTCTTGATGTCTCATCTGCCCTCAGTTTGTAACACCTCTGTGAGAATTCTGGATTGGGCTTAAATCGAGAATTAAACCTGCCCTGCAGCATCTTACGCACTCAACTCCAGTGGAATACATGTAAGATGGCCAGCAGGAGGCCTGAGAGGAAACAAGCCGGGACAACATGGCTAGTGGAAACCACAATAGGAAAAGAGAGACGCATCCAGAGATAGCTGAATGCAAGAGAACGTCTGTGCAGCTTGAACGGAAGAAATACCTGTGGCCACGAGAGCAAGCGGGGCAGGGCTGTCGGTGCGCCTGTCAGCCAGCACAAAACGGCTTCTCTCTCCCCACTCTCTCTGCCAACTTTCAGAGCTCCGACTGGGTGGACGATGGACAAGCTCCATCTTGGAAGCGCTGGAAAGGCCGAGGAGCTCCCCACCAGCGTGACCCAACAAGTTACCAGCAACTTCTCAGTCAACTCGGCGCCTTAATCCACACACTAAGTGAGCAAAAACAGACCTCGGATGTTCAAGCGGACGTCAGTGAAAGAGTCAAAAGCCTTTCAGGAGTGAAGAAAAGAGAATGGCCAGGACACAGGAAGGGATGTGGCTTGCTTGGAGAATTCCTTCCCAGGCAGACTTAGCTGAGCAGTTCTAAGTAGGTGACGGGGACCTTGCCTTTTTGGTTGCCCCTCTCTCCTACGAGCCAGTCGGGGTCCATCCCTGGCAGGCTGTACACAGTGATCATCTGAGCGGGGGGGGGGGGGGGGGGAGAGAGAGAGAGAGGCATGCTAGTGATCCACAGTGGCAAACCATGACGCGCAGGCGCTCAGTCACCCCTGCCCCAAGGAGGGGCAAGCTGCACCCCACACATCCTGGAAATACATCCTCTGGTGACCCTCATGCTCCCCCCGTTTCCTGCTAGTGCTGCTGTCTGCTCCTGTTGCGAGGCGTCCACCCTGCTCCCCAGCTCTTATCCCCCACAGGAGCAGGGGCTCGGGCCCCTTCGAGATCGAGCCGGCCAGGACCCTCTGCTTTGCCACGCGGCACGCGGCCTCATGGCCGGAGGATCCCGTCTCCTGCGGCTCCTGCGAGAACGGCAGCTAACCTCATCCGAAAGCAGGGACAGCTCAGTGCTGTCTGCGGCCTCGTAGTCGTACAGCACTCGGGCCTTCCGCGTCCCGCTGGCCGTGGGCTTCACATCACTGGGACTGAGAGCCTCGACAGCCGGGGCAGAGCCGGGCGCGCCAACGACGGTGGGCACCACTGGAATGACCGGCACCGCGGGGCCTGTGGCGGCGGCGACAGCCGTGGGGGAAGCAGTGAGTGGCGGTGGGGACGTGGACTCGGCGTTGCCCACGAATGTTCCTGGAAGCCTACGTGGGGCAGGAGGAGGAAGGGTTACCCCTCCCAATCCTGCCAGGCAGTGCGCACACACAGCCTTCAGCCTCATGGATTCCCGTTTCCTTCTTGAAACATGCAACCATTTCGAAGCTTATTTAACACAGGAAAACCTCAGAGATGAGAAGGGCAAGCATGGGCACCCCACCAACCCTGGGACGTATTTTTCCTCTCCCATCCTCATCCTTTTTTCCTTGTGTGTCATTTTTTTTCAGATTGTAAGCCTGGCTTTCTCAGCCGTTAGAAAGGATGTGAAATGCAAAGTACATCTTTTCAATGTAGCCTTTTACAAGGTGCCATTTTAATGTTTTAAGGCTTTAAATTGCTGTGCGCTGATTTGTGCAGAGCTGAATTCTATGACAGCGAGCCATTTTATGAGCCGTCCAAGTCAGCAGGCAGAGAAAGCAACACGCAACACGCAGCCCCCCCCCCCCCCCCCCCCCCCCCCCCCCCCCCCCCCCCCCCCCCGGCCCCACTGTCGGCCCCACGGGATGCCGTCGGTCGCTTACTTACATCTCTCCTCTGGAGCTGGGAGCAGGGAAGCAAGAGCAGACAGGACAGCGTGAGGGACCTCCTGCGGCACCAGCAGTGCCTGCGAGTGCTGCAGAGCCAGCCGCCTTCGAAGGGTGGCTTCCGGCCCACACACGCAGACGGGCGCCCCCTTCCCCTGCCTTCCCACCCCCCAACCACAGGGTGCCTCCCTGGCAGGGACATGCTCCTCCCCTCTCACCGGAAGGTGGAAATGCCTCTTCCAAGTGGGCAGACCGGCAGCAAGAGGCCTGAAATAACGGGTATTTGGCCCTCCTCCCGGCTGAAGCGCAGCCCCGAGGGCTGAACCGGGACGGAGTTCGGGCCGAAAGCTGCGAGCCCTGGCTGGGCCTACCCTGGCAGCAGAGGGGGCTCCGCACGGACAGGAGGTGTGTGGCATCTTAAACGCTCCAGTGCCTGAGCCGGTGCTCTGGGGGGCTTGGGGGGGCGATGTCTGATTACAGGGGTTTTCTACAGTTTTGGGCAGAGGAGATCTGTGCAATCAGCTGCCACCGGACCCTTCTCAGGAGAGGTCAGAGCGCGAACCCAGCACCGCTGCCATGCAGGGCCTCCAGCCCGCCACAGAGCTCCTTCCCTTCGTCGGCCTTCCCCAGCGTGGCCCCCGCCGGATGTGTCCAGCCACGCCTGGCAGCGGGTCCAGCCTGCCACCCGTTAGTCTGGCGGGCTCCAGGAGAGGGCCGGCTGCCACGGAGCCCGAGCAAGCTTCCCGCAGGGACGCAGAGCCGCAGCGCCGCCAGCGCCTCACCTGCCCAGCTGCTTCTGCAGGTCCAGCATGTACTGGTGACACTGCGCATAATACGCCGCCTGGGCCTCTGCGAACTCATGAAGGCAGCGCAGGTGGTTGATCTGAAGGAAACGGGAGAGGAGCCGCTCACCGGCGCTTCTGGACTGGCGCGCGGCTTCGCTCCACAGGGCTGGAACACCGGCGGATTTGGGGGCCCGATCCAGATGCCCCTGCTCACCTTCGCCGCAGGGAGGACCCATCCCGAGGGGAACGTGGCGTGGGCGCGCCCCTGGGTGTCAGCAGGCGCCGTTTCATTTCCGTGGGAGGCACCGGGTGCCCTCCCAGGACACACGCGAGTCCGGCTGAAGGCTTTGGTTTGCCCCGTGAAGCCAGGGCCCTCTCCAGCCTACAGAGCCCGCTCAAGACGCTAGCTCGGGATGGAGGGCCACTTGGCGCCCCCCCGAGGGCCCCGTTCCCTGCAAGCCCCCCCCAGAACGGAGCCCCAGCCCCCCCGCGAGGACGCACGTGCGTGCTGCTGATCCCCTCCAGGAGGAGGCGGGTCACTTCCGCCTGCCGGTCGAATTCCGTCTGCGCCAGCCGCAGCTCGTGCTCTGCCTGTGGAAGATGGAGACAACAGACAGACAGACGCGAGGCGGGTGATGAGAGGAAGGGAGGCGGCGGCCACGAGGGGCTCCGGGCCAGGCCCCCAAGGCCCCCCGGTGGACGCGGCCCAGGCTGGGGCGTCCACCCACCGCCGCCGGCCCCCTCAAGCCAAGCACACGGAGGTGGCCCGGCAGAGCCAAGGGAGGCGGGCCACGTGCCCCGTGCTGCGAGTCGGGGGCGCCATCTTGGGAGCGGCCGGGCACTCACAAAACGGCAGTGCGGGAGGCATCGCTCGCTGCCCAGGCCACTGCCATGGCGGAGACGTTTCGGGAAGAGTCGCTCCCCCACAGCGGCACACGCCGCTCTCTGGAGCCCAAGGGCCGGTGGTGCTGGGCTGGCGCTCCTCCCGGCGGGAAGCCCGTTCGCCATGTCCTTTGTGCTGCGGAGGACTCTCGACGGCAGCAGTCTGGCAGCTGGAGGGCCGCAGGCTGAGGAGGGCGCCTGGGCCTCCCCCTCCTGCACTGACCCACCGAACCTCCAGAGAAGGGCCGGGCTGGGGCGGGGGGCCCCGGGTCCCAGCCCCCTCCCCCACCAGGAGCCCCTCCCTTGCACTCTTAGGGTTGGGTTCAGGAGCTGTCTCCTGCCAGGGAAGCTCCCTCCGCCCGAGCCCCCCGTCACTGTCTCTTGGTGCGGCGCTTTCAGGGGAGCTGGATGGGCCTCTGTCAATGCAGCTGGCCCAGCATAAACCTGGATCCAACCCCGGGACTGCGCCCACCCATTGCCAGGAATGCTCCTGTGAGAATTTCTCCGTGTTTTCATGTTCAGAACTTCAGGTTTCTGCAAAGTCTCCCACAGTTACAGGGGGATTCTTGGAGACTGTGTGGGGGTGACCCCCTACATGTGGGTCAGGGAGTCTCCTACTTAGAGATGGTATGCCTTCCAAGAGGGGCTCTTCCAAAACCCACATTAGCCTGCCAACCAAAGGGCAAGTGCGAGTGGCGAGCTTTAGCCTGGCCAGAGAAAGGTCGCTCTGCGGATTTCAGAGGTTTTCCTGTGCGCGACCCCCCCCCCCCCCCACTGACGTGCGTGTTACAATTTACTCTTCTATGTCAGGACTACTTTACGTGTTACATGATGGCAATCCACAGCCAAGCGTGGGACCTCGGTGGGTACCTACAAGCTGCGACATATATAACTTACACGCTTACATGCGAGACACGATAAAGGACATCGAACAGCCATTCTGCCCAGGTCGAAAGCTGCACAGGAAGGACCACCGCACGCATGCATCTCTGGCGGTGGGCCACAAGAAGCCGGAAGCAGCACTGGCGCTGTGGCCCCGAGCCGGTTTGCTCAGGTGGGTAGCAGCTGTCCCAGAACTTCCCGCAGGACAGCCGCTGGCTAACTCTCTTGCCCGGAGAGGCAGTGCTGCAGGGGCTCCGCACACCTGGCGCCCCCCAGACCGCTCTGCCACAAGGCGGGGTTCGGGACAGCTGGAGGGCCCCGGGCTGAGGAAAGGCGTGGGGCCCTGCATCCAGATCTGGCTGCTGGGGTCTCGGGGGGCAGGGTGCTCGGCCAAGGAGGAAAGGTGTCGCAGGGGGCTCTGCAGGCCCCTGGGAGTGGCCGGAGGGGGCCAGGGAGCCTCCCGGGTCTCTCCCGCCAGCCCCCCCACGTCCTGAGTGGGGACGGTTCTGGGAAAGGCACCGAAGAGCCGGAAGATGGCTAAGTACTTACTTTTTCCACCTCGTCACTCCAAAGCTGTGGGGGCCACAGAGCAAACAGGAAAGGAGGTCAGCGTTGGGAGACATCGAAAGAGCAACATTCCAAAATGACACTGCCGTCAGCGATGGAGACGCCTCACGAAACGCCGTCAGGTTTGCACCAGGGTGGGGGGCCCGTCCCCCAGCAAGGGCGGCAGCCGGCAACGCTCAACGGGCGGGCGGGCGGGCGGGCGGGCCCTGTGCAGGAAGTCCACCTCCCCCCACGCACACCAGGGCACCCCAAGCCGCCGATGGGAGCGCTTCCCCCGGGGCCTGCCGGACTCCCTCCCGCTCCACGTTTTGCTTTCCTGAGAGTGCAGGATTGGTTGGCAGCCCATCGGCGCGCAGCCTCCCTCTTCCCCCAGGCTTCTGGGAGCGCCCTGTGAGCCGCAGCCCAGCGTGGAGCTCCGGGCAGCTGCTGGGCCTTCCGGGGGGCCTCAGACTCCGGGTTGCGACTCCCCTCGGCAGGGCGACGTCTCGCTCAACTCCTTTTACTGCTGCTTTCAAGCATGCGTTGCACGAATGCTTATCCCATAGCTACACTGGGCTCCTTCTGTGTACTTAACTTGGGCCCAGCTGCACTGCGCGTGATTTTAAGCCCTTCTGCTGGGCGTTAGTCCCCCGTCTGCAACCTGCGCAGGGACGACCGCTTGTCGGCTGCCTAAGTGACGAGCAGCGAGCACCCCAGGAAGTTGCCTCAGACCCTGCGGCCCGGCGGCCAGTCCAGAGCCCTGCTTTGGCAGCACCCATGGCCGTGCCCCGCAGGGACGCGAGGGGAGGGGGCCGCGTCGTGCCCTCTCCCGCCGCCCAGCAGGGTCCTCCCACTAAGCTTCACTGTCGGGGGAGTCCGGACAGGCTTCAGGCAGGGTGGACGTCGCCTCCCCATGACTGGCTACCCATTTGGGCAGCCTGAAACGGGCAGAGGACTAAACAGGGAGGACAAGGCTCTCCGCGGCTACCAGCCCCGAGGCCTGCAGGCTGTCCCTGGGATCAGAGGCGGTTGCTGGGGAACATGGGCAGAGGGCGCTCTTGTGCTCCCCTGCAACGAGAATCAGAGGGGAAAAGCCTCAGACCACCTAATCGACGCTCAGCCAAGCGCGGGCTGGAGCTGCGGCGAGACGGCCGGCCGGTGAAGGGCATGCATGCGCCCCAGGTGCCAGCATGCAGGCCGGCAGCGGGCGAGCGGGGGGCTCCCTAAAAGAGGGGCGGCTGGCGCAGAGGTGGCCAAGCCAGAGGCCTTCCTGCCGCTATTCAGGCAGGTCCGCGTGGCCGGGTGTTGCTTGGTTACCCTGCTTTCGACCCTCGATCTACTGCAGCTGTCGCCCGGCTGCTTCCACTTCACCTAGGACTGCAGGCTGCCCAGGTGCGGCCTTTCCTGACAGAAAGAGGGAGAGCGCCGGCCCGGCCAGCCCACTGCAGCCTCGCAGAGGAAGCGGCCTTCCGTCGCTCAGCGGCCCCCGCCCTTGCGGCCCGCCCCCCGCCTCCCCATGGCTGACCCGGGGCCGTCTGGGGCACAGCGGGGCCGTCTGCGTGCCCCCGCTGGGATCTGGGACCGGACACCCAGCACGGCACGAACGCAAGCACAAGCACAAGCAGCAGAGCCAAAGCGGGCAGGGGGCACCCACGCTCCCACAGCAGGATCCCCAGTCCCGGCTGCTGCCAGCGTCAGAAACTGATCTCGCGGGGGCGGGGGGACAAGGTGGTTGTGGGCCAAACATTCGGGGTTGGAGGTTAGGGACGGGTGTGAGGGATTAACACTGCCGGTGCAAGTACTGAAAAAATCAAGAGAAAGCTTTTCGGTCACAAGGGCCTCAGAAGTGGCAGCCCACTGAATTCTGCCTGCCCTCCTGAGGCCGTTTCCTTCTCTTGGATTACATGCCTGAGGGGAAGCACTGCGACTCGTCTGTGAAAGAAAGCTTTTGGGGCGCTGGGATGAGGAGCAGGGGAAGGTGCTGCAGGTCAGTACATTCAGCCTCCCCGGCTACTGCTCTGGCGGTGAATCCCTCAAACTCCTCAGTTCTGGGACTCAGGGGGAGGTCTGCCTTCTTCGCAAGAAATCATGTTTATCAGAACAGCCCCTGCATCAGTACTATGACTCCTTTTCAAGTGACCCTAAATCATGTTTGAAAGTATAGACCGATCTTGGCCCAATCAGGGTGTTACGCGCTAGGGATCTGGCCTTTCTCCAACGGCCCGCACAGCTGCCTTTGGTTTCGGGCCTTCCTGCAGGCAGCAGCTCCTGCAACCCTGAGCATGGGGCGCCTCAAGGTTCGAGGCCTCCCATTCCTCGAGACCAGAAGAGGTGCCAGCAGCCCTGCCGGGGGACCGCGGAAGGCCCTCTCGCCTCCCTTCCCTCCCCACCGCTGTGCCTTGTGGGCCGTGCCTTTTTGACAAAACCCCGCAGGACAGGAGTGGCCATCCTGGGACTGAGAGAGGGCGAAACGAAGGAAGGAAGGTCGGCACCCCCCTTCCACCTGGCGAGAGAGAGCAGCAGCTTCGAGCCACAGTTCCTGCAGCTGCCCGTGGGGCGGAGGGTGCCATGCAGGGCCCGGCCAGCTGGGGAGGCGCACGCATGTCCGCGGAGCGCAGCCGCTTGAGAGGCGCAAATGAAAGGCGGCCCCAGAAGACAGAGCGCCGCTTTGTGCAACGCCCGCTTCTCCGCCAGTCGATTAAAAATCGATTCGTTTGACAGAGTTAAGAAATGAACTAGCCGGAGTGCCGGGAGAGCTGTTTGCCAGCCCCAGCAGCCAGTCGGGGGTCCCCGGGGGGCAGAGCCTCTTCCGCCGCACAAGAGCCCAGGCCCCGCGGCAGCTGCGCTGAGCGTTGCCCGTGCTTTGCAGCGACAGACACAAAGGGAGCCACACGTGGCAACAAGCCCCAGTCCAGCCGGCCTCCCCCGGGAAGGGAGAAACGCTCCGGCTTTGAAAACACAATGGGGGTTTCTTCCCACAGCAAGGTGCTTCCCACACCGGGAGCGACAAACTACATTTCAGCCGAGGCGCCCGGGGCCGTGCCTGGATTACTGCACGGGCTCAGAGGATCTCTTTCCACCAGGCTCGGGCGCCAGGCTCTCGCTTCTCACCGCTGCAGGACCACGAAGGCCACGTGCTTTGCAACCGAAGTCACAATAAGGTGCCCCCCGACACAGCGCGGACCACGGAGCGCCTCCCTGCCTCCGCCACGCGAGCGTCCCACTGCCCTCGCAGAGTCCGCCAGAGTCCTCCTGCCCCGCTCGCTTCTGGCCTCACAGCACCGCCCCCCATTCCCTGGGCCCACGCAAGCCCTGAACTCCTGCAGGGAACCCCAAGGGGGCAGGGTGGCCAATGCCAGCCGGGCACCCCGGGTTTGCCGGGGAGGCTTCCGGGCCCCTCGCAGGGAAGGGCTGCCCGGCTGGGGTGCCGGAGGCCCCGCACAGATCCGCCTTCTGCAGGAAGCTTGGGGGGACGCCGGGCCTCCCCGCCCTGAGCCTGTCTGGGGGTCGCTGGAGGATAATGGGAGGGGAGCCGGTGGGCGGGAGGCTCCCCGGAGAAAGGGAAGGGGGATCCGGGCTGAATCAAAGAGCGCGTGCGGGACTCCAGCTCAGCTGTACGAAGGGGAAGCAGCCGCGCAAGGGCCATTCCCACGCCGGGCGGGTGCGAGCCCCCCGCACACACAGCGCCCCCCCCACAGCCCTGGCAGTGCACAAAGGGGCTTCCCCCATGAGGGGCCCCCCACCGCCTCTGCCCACTTCGGGGGTGACGGGCTGCCCATCTGGAGCAGGAATGCCCCTCGGGAAAAGAGTTGCCCGGGGGGGTGGTTTGGCCCTCTCCGTCTGCCCGAGGGTGCCTCGAGGCACCAGCACCGCTACTGGAAAGGGTCCGGGGAGCCCCCTGGCGAGAGCGACCCCTTGCACCCCACACCCTGCTCAGCAGCTACAGTAGCCCGCAGAAATCCCCTCCATGGGGGGAGGTTGTTGATATTTCCTCATTATTATTATTATGAACAATAATACACAGATAAAAGAATAAAAATTAAAATCAAATAAAAAGAAAAAGTAAATATCAATAAATTAACAGTATATCAATAATAAAAGTTAATACAAATAAAGACAAAGCAATTGAAAATAATTTTAAAACAAAAATGAAATAACTTTAAAACATTAAGATGACTAATAATGATGTAATTAACAAAAAGGAAAACAAGGAAAAGTTAAATCATCATTAAACAATAAATGAATAAAATTAAAAATGATTTATTTTTAAAATAATGTAAATAATTAAAATTAGTAATAAGTTAGTGACAGAAATTAGTA